CTTGCACGCCATAGCCAAATCGCAATACAATAAATCCGGGCACTCGCCCTTGACGTGAGCTCTCGCGATCGCTATCGCTTGGCATTTCACCATGAAGCTACATGTACTACACGCTTGTGCCTGCGCGCTGACTGCCATCTCATCCGCCCACGCTTTCCACATTCGGCTGGGCGAGAGTCGCACCATATGGCAAGCTAAGCAGGAGGCAAGTGCACACTCCCACTCACTCATCCGTCCTACGCACCCGAACGCTCCAACTGATTGGCTGCAGCTCGCGTCCAAGAAGCCTCCTCAACTCACCAAGCGAGATACCGATCCCGCCCGCCTCTTCTCGGCACACAACCTCTCGGTGCCCATCGACCACTTCCACAACGAAAGCCAATATGAGCCTCACAGCGACGGCACTTTCCCATTGCGCTATTGGTTCGACGCATCTCATTACAAGCCAGGCGGACCGGTCATCATCCTCCAGTCGGGCGAGACGAGTGGAACGGACAGACTTCCATTTCTTCAGAAAGGTCTGCTTGCCCAATTGGCCCGCGCGACCAATGCTATCGCCGTAGTCTTGGAGCATCGCTACTACGGAACCTCCTTCCCCGTCCCAGACTTGTCCACGAAGAACTTCAGATTTCTCACTACCCAGCAAGCGCTCGCAGACGAGGCTTATTTTGCCCAGAACATCAAGTTTCCCGGCCTGGACAAGTATGGCGATCTCACAAGCAAAACGACTCCCTATATCTCATACGGTGGATCGTACGCTGGAGCCTTCTCTGCTTTCCTCAGGCTCCAATACCCGGACATTTTCTGGGGATCCATTTCCAGCTCTGGCGTCACGAAAGCGATCTACAACTACCCTCAGTACTACGAGGCCATCGCGAACAGCGCACCGCAGGACTGCGTGAAGGCTCAGCAGACGCTTATCAACGTCCTGGACAATATCTGGATGGACAAGAATGATACTGCTCTGCCCGCTGAGATCAAGGCGACTTTCGGGTTTGCTAATCTGACGTGGGACAGTGACTTTGCCGGCCTTCTCGTCGATGGCATCGGCAACTGGCAGTCACTGAACTGGGATCCGGCAGTCTCGTCGCCAGAGGTCTACAACTACTGCGACAACATCACTTCCACAGAGGTGCTGTACCCACAAACGGAGAGCAAGCGCGCGAACGCGACGGATATCGTAGTTGGTGGCGGCTACGAGAACAAGACTTCGCTTGTCAATCAGATGTTGAACATGATCGGCTACTTCAATCTCACTCAAGCCTCGCAGTGTTCGGCAACCCAGGATGAGTGCTTCGGTACGCACAATGAAACGTACTACGGCCTTACCAGCATCGAGGAAGCGTCGTACAAATCATGGCCGTACCAGTATTGTACCGAGTGGGGATTCATCATGACTGGCGACACTCCCACGGGCGAACTGCCCCTGGTCTCAAGGGCGTACACCAATCTCGAATTCGGTACCGTGATCTGTCGCGATGCTTTTGGTATCTATGACCCACCGGACGTGAATGCGGTCAACAAGTATGGCGGCTACGACATCTCGTACGAACGACTCGCGATTGTTGATGGAGAATGGGATCCCTGGAGACCAGCAACTCCTCATGCGCTTGAGTGAGTTCACCGTTGCCACGTCAGAATGTGACGAGACTGACGGCGAATAGGTATGGTGCCAGAGACCGTCAAAGCACGACCGATGAACCTTTCATCTTGATCCCCGACGCAGTGCATCACTGGGATGAAAATGGTTTGTTTGCGAACGAGACTACGGCAGATCTTCCACCTCAAAGCATCAAGGACGTCCAATGCCAGGAAGTGGAATTCGTCAAGCAGTGGGTACAAGAGTATCATCAATCGCAGAAGGAGCAGCATGGTGGATGGCATGGAGGCAGTTGGGGTGGATGGGGCAGTTGGTCTGGGTGGGGACACAAGGCAAGTTGGGGAAGCCGGGGCGGACGAGCGTGAGTTGCAAATATCGACAGACTATTGACAGAGATTCTGATACCGAGATCAGGAAGCCTCCAGCGCAGGAGTTGAGACTTTAGAGTTATCGCACGATACATCTCATTGAATCGAGAATGGTTGATGATGTTCTCTCAGCACACTACACCCGGGTACGTTTGCCACAATGTGCTACTCGCTCATCAGCTCTGATAGACGAGACCTTCATCCGCGCGGCCTTCGTGCACCATGACCTCTTTGAGGAAGTCTTTGAATTGCCCACTGCCTTGCAAAGCCTGGACAGTCGAGAGTCGTTCATCTGGACCAACATCATTATACCCTGTCGCGTTGCTACCCCCTGCGTATTATTGTGCACTGTGCAAGTGAGCGAGGACAAAGTTCTGATGAAGAAGCCGGCCATCCGACATCGAGCGAATGTGGAATTCGATCTCGTTGCTGACTCATTGGACCCGAGGGTTCCCGGTGTTGTTAGATGCAACTTCGTTCGGTGTCCCAGACCTCATCAGTACTCGGTCTCGCGCATCTCCGCCATGCGCGCTTAAGGTCTGCTGCACGTCTCGGCTCATGGAATGATGTCCGATGCCGATGCTTGAATTCTCTAGCTGTGGTTCTTTCAGCTCCCAATTGACACCTCGTGCTCTTTGCCTTGACTAAGGGACTTCACGGTTCCAGTCTGAAGGCAGCCGCGGCGAGGCCGAGCTGCTGGGTCTTGCTTCCTCAACCAGATTGTTGGGCGTATTGGGAAGTTGCAGTGGCGAGTCATTTCCCGCTGCTCATACTTTCCGCGGAGCACATGATACCTTAATGCCCTACGCGTGCCATTCGACTTGCGCTCAATCTTGTTGTTGGCAGGCAGGCAGCACCGGGGGCCTCATTTCGCTCGCAGGCATCAGCATCTCATCAAGCTGGCGAGGCAGATAGAGATGGCAAGGAAGTGACGACTTGGGCTTGGCTTTACGATTGTGTTGCAAGGTCCGGGGGCATGGCATGGCGGCGCAAGATTGACCTGATGGCATCGCTTGTGCCCTTGCAGAGGAATGCCTGCCATGCACTGCACAGACGAACGCTTTCTCAGCGCATCCACCGTTGGGGCGTCCACCGCGTTCTCATCACAGGAATCAGATGATGAATGCGCTGGCGGAAGAAGCGCTTCCACATCTCACCGCGCATCGGGCGAGCGAGCAATACGGAAGCTGCGCTGCTGACAACAGCGCTTGCATGATGATCGAATCATTCGATTTTCAGCAATTCGTCCTTCGCCACGACAGTTGAGGCTTTCTCCGCGGTCAGTCTGCGCCACGGGAGCCCGTCATATGCTCCGTGCTATTGGCATTTTACCAAGGGACGGATTCCGGTCACCGGGTTGTGGCACGACAGCGGTCAGGCTGGGTTTTGCGCTCAATTCGGCCGTATGAAACAAAGTCGCTGTTGAGAATGACCGAATCATTGAATTCTCGTCTCCATGCGACTCGCAACCCAACAAGGGTGTCGGCCGCCAAAAGCATGCCTCGATTGGCGCAGCGGCTCTTGCGGACAATCGTATGCGTCGTACGCCTACGGAGACTGGAGTGTAGTGTAGCGGGAGCGGCGAGCACTTACGCACATGGCCATTCCTGAAAGACAAAGAGCGCATCTGCCCTTCTCCTGTGTCCATTCAGCACAACCACGTGATCAGCCGGTTGCCAATGCGCCGCCATGGCAGTCGAGATCTATTTGAAGCCAAGTCGAGTCGGTCGGCAAATTATCTTATGTCAAGCTGTACGAGCCGGCACGTAGATCAGCTACGTTTGTGGTTGGTGCGACAAGGAGTCCGCAGTCTGCCGACAACCCTATTCCGCCCAGACTTCACTTCATCTTAGCTGTACGCGACAACAACAACAACATCATCAACAACGCGAATGAGAGGCTTCATTGCTCAATTTGTTGTTGTTAAGTTACCCACCGCAAACAGCGAACGGGGTATCCACAAAGTCAAAGGGCAACGCTAACACAGTCTTCATATGACCATCCTGCCTCATTCTCCTCATCACCAGCCCCTACGCTTGAGAAGTTACTAGCGAGAGGGCTCTTCGTGCCCAAGAGCACCCTATAGCCGGCTGGAGGCGGATGAGGCGGATGTCTCTATGAGAGGTATTCTCAGGGCTTTCCAAATTTCAACTATTGCTCGTATTTGCACAACAGCCAAGGCACTCGGTCGATTCATGCCGACAATTGCATACACCCTGAAAGAATCCCAGGATTAACGTCGTTGTTATAGATGATTGGATCAAGCAACTCAACAGAACGAGATCACTATGCCCAAGGCGCTGGCACCGCGCATGGGTACGAGGCCCTCATCCTAGCGACTCCGAGCCACGAAATGCGTTGCTTGGCAATCGGAGTATCGCTGCATGACTCCCCTCTGGTGTATACGCTGAACGCTTCACCAGGATCTTGACCTCCTCATGACCAGACTCCAAGCTTGAGTGCATTGTCCGTTGACAACGACGACTTGTCATGGGACATGTAGATTACAGATGTGGACGTGCCATGAATATGAAAGTTGTATCAGCACCACCACAGCACCGCCAGGGCCAACACGCCCCGACGATCTCTTCGAATTGAGTGAACGTCATTCCTTGGCCGGCCGGGGAGGAGTGGTATAAAGAGAGGCTCCGATTCCTCGAAAGACCATCCATTCCATCACTCAGCATTACAACAACAGTCTTTCACTTCCAACAGGACTACTCTTCCAACAGAACTACTTCCAACCCACCATCTTCATCCATCATCAATCATCAAAATGCAATTCACCAACCTTCTCGCTCTCGTGGCTGCCGCCACCATGGTCTCTGCCATCCCCACCGAGCAGGGTGGCTTCCCCCAGGGTGGCGATTACGGTGACCACTCGATGGACTCCAAGTGCTCCAACAACATGAAGGTACTTTCATCCAAATCATCCCACACCACCGTCGCATGCTCGAATACGATTCTAACGCGCTTCTCCAGGCCGTATGCTGCAACAGCCTGCAACAGGGCGGGTCCGAGGGCGCCGGTGGCCTGATCGGCAACATCCCCGTCCTCAACAACGTCCTCAGCGGTAGCTGCGCGCTTACCGTCAGTAAGTACTCCCCGCAAATTTCCCTTACCATCGGTACAGTCGAACGCTGACACACGCACTCGCACAGTTGGTGGTAGCTGCCGCCAGGGTTCGATTGCCTGCTGCAACACCGAGGAGCAGAACGTGAGTTTTCTCCCACCTTCTATACACAAGAGGCGCCACTGACTCTCTTTTTTTCTTTCTCCTGGATAGGGTGTCGTCAACGTCGGCACCATCTGCGCCCCCATCTCTGCCTAAGCATTTGGCGGGGCTGCACCCGTACTTGAGCGTTCCTAATGTCTTTTGGTCATACTGCGAGCTTCAAAACAGCTGATACATGAGGGCATGTTGAGAGGGAGGAACAGCTACAAAGCTCCATCAATTTCAGTCTTGCCGCTGAGATATATAATCGATAATGGATTTTGTTAGTCGTCATGTCACGCATCCCTCTCATTGCAGCATTCGCATGAACATGCTTTGGTTTGTCTCCAAGCACCCGCAATTTCGCCTGTTTCCACCTCACATATCGAAGTAGCGACTTGGAGCTCTTCCACTCATCGCAGCTCGTCTCCCACGTTAACCCAACCATGTTGACTCTGCGCCTCGCCACTTTCACTCCGCGGCTGAAATCATCTCCCAGTCCTCCATCTCATCCTCCATCTCCCAATCCCCCATCTCGTTCGAATTTCCACGAGAACGCCGCAAATGGGCAAGATCCAAGCTGGCCTCGCTCAAATTTTCAAGATCTCGAATATTGGCATCCAACCGCTCGAGCTCTCTCAGCGTCTCGCTGCCGAAATCAAACCGTCGACACTGATCCTCGTCACCTTCCGCACTGAAAATTTCGCCTTCCACATCGTCTCCCGTCGAGCTCAAGCTCAAGCTGACGATTTCCCCTTCAGATGCACGACGTTGAGAAGAAGAAGAAGAAGAAGAAAAAGAAGATTCATCTCGAGAAACTGCCGGGATAAGTTCCGAGCGAGCGTCTCCGGCCCCATCGATCCGGCCAAGCCATCGGTCGATTCTTCCCGAGGCTCGCATGGAGCGTGAAGGCGAGGAAGAAGTTTGCAGATCGTCGTCTCGCTTCCGGCTGCTGGGTGATGGTGCAGGGTTACTACTGCTCATGGCCGCGGCGAGCTCCGCTTCGAGCCAGTGCTGCGCCTCAGCGTCTAGCGGGTCGATTTTAAGCAACGCATCCGAGCGTGCAATGTGGGAGTCCTGCTGTGAGGACCTCGGTGCCTCATGGCCAGCCTTGGAGCTGAAGATCGCGAAACTCGAACCTAGGGTGCGCTGGCTGCTCGCGGCCCTCGCAGGCGGTGTCGGTGTCGGTGTCCTGGTCGCTGCCTGTGATGCGGAAGACGTCTCCCGGGTCGGACGCTCCCAGAGTGTCGGCTGGTAGGGTGGCGTGCAGTGCGTCAGCTTATTGTTAAGTTTCGCAGCCGCTCGGTCGAGGAGGGCGAGGCTCTGGAGATCTTCCCAGGCGGCCTGGTCTGCTCGGGCTTCCGATTGGCGTTGCAGAGCGGTTTCGAGGACTTCGAGACTCGCGCGATCCGCTCGCTGCTGGAGACGCTCCTGGTAGTGTGCGCGGATGTCCTGCTGCATTCTTCTCGTCGCTGACGAGAGGAGCTTTCCCTGGGTGTCCGTGGTGACGGCTGGTGCAAGCTGCGCAGGTGAGAAGGAATGCTCCTGAATCTGGATCGCATTAGCTGGGTAGGCGGTCTTTTGGGTATAGGGGCGGACTTACAGGAATGTCGTTCAGCACCTTCTTGGCAGGCTTCACTACAGCTCGGCCGCGGCGCTTCGTCTTCTTCGGCATGCGTCTAGCGCCCACGCTGGTCTGAAAGATGGCAGTGGCCGAGAAGAGATTCCATCGAAAGTCGACGAGTGCGTTGGTCTCCTCCCAGCGAGAAGAAGAAGAGGCAGCCATGGTCGCGTGTTGCAAGGGGGGAGGGGATTTATTGAATGTGCGCTCAAAATTCGATAGGTGCCTTTTTCAACTTGTTGTAGGAGAAAGTATAAGGAGAGCTAGGAGATGAGAGAGAGGTGGAAGTCGTGATATGGAAAAGAAGCGCACGTCGCGAGAACTGTGTTTCTTCACGTGTAAAATTCACTTACGCCGTCGCGAACGAATGAATGAATGGCTTTTGGGACCAGCGGTCGCAGGGGATGCCGCTACAAGAGGCTTACCGTCCGAGAGGGAAATGCCCACACGTGGACGGAGAAGAACAGATATAAGTGTGTTCTGGTGGAAAGGACTGGTCCTCTTCATCAGAGACGAGACGCGGCCTGTATCCTACCAGATTCGTCGACCTGTTTGAGTTCGTTGTCGCGCGAGATCTGGAGGCTTTCTGAATGTTTGAGATGAGAAAATTTATCCAACCTGAGCGATCCGATCAATGAGATAGCCAGTCTTTGCTGTCGTTGAGGGAAAGCGGCGTTGATGTCGTTCAAAGGAAGCAACAAGTGCGGTGGTGGCTCAAAGGAGTTCGCTTCGGCAAATCGGCCCGAAAAGAACAACCGAGCCGATAAGGTATCGTCCAACTTCACCTTTTCTTCTCAAGCTTATATACACTGCCTATCTATCTACCACACCTCACACCAAACTTCCTAACAAATCTACCCCCAAAATATGGCCCGGAAAAAGGACCCCCTCCAAGAACTCCCACCGGAGCCCGTCGTAGACGAACGCTCCCCCCTCCTAGCCAACGGCAGCGGCAACGACAACGACCAAGAAACCCTCCTCACCCACCAAGCCGAGCAAGAAAGAAGAGAATATGAATCCGGCACCGTCCCGCTGGCCTCGGAACCGACCTTCCAAACCCTGCTGGCGACAATGTCCAGCCTCTGGGTGACGACCTTCTTCGCCGCGCTGGACACCTCGGTGGTAGCGACCCTCTCCGGCCCCATTTCGTCGTCCTTTGAATCGGGCACTTCCTTTTCGTGGATCGCGTCGGGCTATCTGATTGCCAATGCCGCGTGTCAGCCGCTGTCGGGCAAGCTGACGGATATCTACGGGCGCCGGGCCGGGTTGGTGTTTGCGGTGACGTTCTTCGCCGCGGGGACTCTGACCTGTGGGCTGGCGCCGACTGCCGGGTGGATGATTGCGGGGAGGGTGATTGCGGGTGCTGGGGGTGGGTGTATCAATACCGTGTCCGTCTTCATTGCGAGTGATTTGATTCCTCTGCGGAGGAGAGGCGTCTGGCAGGGGATTACGAACATTGTATTCGGGACGGGAATGGCATTGGGTGGAGTTTACGGAGGATGTGAGTATTTCCACACCGATTCATTGTCCGGGGGGATTGCAGACACACGCCGTGCTGACAGTAGCAATCAAGTGATCAACGACAGAATCGGATGGCGATACTGCTTTTACTTTCAAACACCCTTCATCGTAGCGGCAGGAATCATAAGCATCATCCGGGTCAAGGTATCCCGTCTCACCTTCTGTCTCTCCTTTGATCAATCACATAAAATAGCTGACATCGTCCAGGTCCCACTCAAGAAATCCGACACGGCAAAGATTCGTCGCGTGGATTTCCTCGGCGCATTGACTCTCGTCGCCGCCCTCGTCCTCCTACTCCTCGGCCTTAACAGCGGCGGCAACATCGTGCCATGGAACCACCCGCTGGTCTACGTTCCAATTCCCATAAGTCTTGTTTTGTTCCTCGTCTTCATATACATCGAAGATCGCGTTGCACCAGAGCCGGTGATTCCTGTGCGGCTGCTCGCACACCAAAGTGTCCTGGCCGCCTTGCTCACCAACTGGTTCATGACGATGAGCGTGTTCGGTCTCATCTACTACGGACCCGTCTTTTTCCAGGTCGTCCGTGGCGTGTCTGCAACCGAAGCAGGTACACTCTTCATTCCACAAGCCTTCGGAATGGCGTCTGGCTCTCTCGTTTCGGGCTTGTTCATGCGCTGGACGGGCAAATATTACTGGTGGCACGTCGCTCTTCAGGGTTTATCTGTCACGGCTTCCGCCCTGATTCTCGGTTTCTTCCGTCAAGGAGTGCCTCTTGCATTGCCATTCCTCTTCCTACTGCTGGGAGGCTTTGCTTACGGCTCCATGCTGACTGTAACGCTTCTTGCCCTGATCTCCGCAGTCGACCACAAGTACCAAGCAGTCATCACCTCTGCTTCATACGCCTTCCGCTCCACAGGCTCGACTATTGGCATCACGATCGCCAGTGCCGTGTTTCAGAATCTGTTGAAGAAACTCCTCTACGAGCGCTTCGGCGACCTTCCCGACGCCGCAGACAGGATCAGACGAATTCGAGATTCCGCAGACATCATCCGCGATCTCCCTGCATCGTGGAAAGCGGGCGTGATCGAGGCCTATGTTGGCGCTCTGCAAGGCGTGTGGGTCGTGGTACTGGGTTTCGCCATCGCGACAGCGATCGTGAGCGTCTTCATCAAGCAGCATAAACTGTACAGCAGCCTAGATCGAAAATAGATTTAAAGAAGGCCGGATATCTCTCGGCCAAAATGTACAGGCTCTGCGGATTCTGGGGTATCATGTATTAAACTTTCTTTCCTCTTTGTCTGTTTCAGCGCATTGAATGAAGCTCCTGCTCGAGAACAAAAAAGATCAGTATCTGTCCTCGGCTGCTTGTGGAGCTCCATAAACGCGTACGTAGCTCGATTCGCCTTCTTCTTCGTCACGAACGCGCTGGAAACCGGCCTCTGTTGCGATGCTGTTTGCGGTGGGAGGGTATGGCTCGTCGCAGTTACGGGAGAGTAGGGAAGGGTAGTATCTCCGCCAGTTGAAGTAGGCGATTGCCAGACCAAGTGTGGAGCCGGATACCACGTCGAAGACGTCGTGTCTGTAATCTTCCAATCGAGAGATGGCAATCATTGCGGCTGAGAAGTTATCAATACAGAGGAGAGACCGGCATATCTCGTAAGGAATGGTGTTTCTTACCTCCTACCAAAGGCGCCATACAGAGTATCACAGTCGCCAGATTCGCCCTCGGCCTCAGCACATGCAACTGGCTCGCTAGGAGCAGAGCCAGCCACCCCAAACCCGAAAAGGCGAAACTACTATGTCCGCTCGGATAGGATCTCCAACCGTCGTCGAGCACGTGATGTCTCTTCTCCGTGCACACATCCACCGTGATGGGGTGATCTTTTGGCGTGCCTGGCTTTGGCTTGCATCTCGCTATGAGATCAGGACGAGGGCGTCCTATGGCATCTTTGAAGATATCGGTCAAGAGGAGGGTCAGGATGACGGAGATGACGAGACCGAGGAGGGTCACGTGGGTCTTATGGACGGAAGGACGGAGGGTGAGGGCCCAGGCGATGAGGCAGAGTAAGGGAACGAGGGCGGCGTAGATGAAGAGCCAGACTGCATGGCATGGCATCGTCAGCTCTTGGCTTGGCTTGGCTTGGAGGAGAGTTGTAGGAATGTGGGGAGATGATGGTACTTATGTCTACGCGCTCGACCTCGGCGTGAGGATGTTGAATGCGAGGGTCATCGAGACGGAATTGCGAATGGAAAGGCTCGCCGAAGAACTTGACCAGGAGGTATGCGGTGATGAGGAGGGCGAGGCCGAAGTAGTCGAGCGCGTGGCTCTTCTCCGAGAAGCGTCGCCAGGATGCCCAGAATCCTGTTTCGTTGCGGGTCGTCGCCGTTGCTTTGAGTCCACCGTCGCTAATTGACATGGCTCGTCACTTGACTGCGACGGCGCATTCGGAGACGGGGACGGGGACGGGGACGGGAGAGTGTGTTGCGGTGCTGGTGATACCTAGTAGTTGCCAGAACACAGACAGAGGTCGGAATCGGATCGGAATTGGAGATGTGCGGGGATGGAGCTTCCCGGAATCTTCTCTTCATCGGGATGCCCAGTTGTAATGGACATCATACAATAATCCCGATGAGATCCACCCGGCAGCGACAATTGAAGACGCGACACCTCGTGGAGGAATACCGACCTCTCGTTGTATGCGCCGCGACCCGGCGAGACGGCAAGATACATTACATTGCTGTCCCTACCAGAGAGAGCTCTTCCCATTGCGTCACGCTTCATAGCAATCGATCCACCACATCCACATCCATCCCCCAAACCCACTGCAACCTTTTCTCGCCTGCACGCGATCGATCCCTTGATACAATTGACAAGACCAAAAGCAGAAAAACATCTTCGAGACTGATGTTCAGAGCTTCGACCATACATATCATCAAACCACCACAAGATTCCACCGCCAAAACCATGTCACCCCCAACCGACCGCAAACAGATCCTCCAAGCCTTCAGGAACCAAATCCAAAAGGGAACCCCCATCGTCGGAGCCGGAGCAGGTAGGTAACATCAACACCATCCAACATTCTTACTACTCTCAACTTCCCACATCCTCCAATCCTCCAATCAAACAAAAATCTGAACAATGTGTTCCTGTTTATGCCCTCCTTCTTCTTATTGATATATACATGAAACCAGGCATCGGCCTCTCGGCCAAATTCCTCGAAGCCGGCGGCGCCGACCTGCTCATCCTCTACAACTCAGGCCGCTTCCGCATGGCCGGCCGCGGCTCCCTCGCGGGCCTCATGCCCTACTCCAACGCCAACGACGTCGTCTGCGACATGGCGCGGGAAATCCTGCCCCTCGTGCAGACCACGCCCGTCATCGCCGGCGTCTGCGCCACGGACCCATTTAGAGACATGCCGCGATTCCTGGCCCAGTTGAGGGACCTGGGATTCGCGGGCGTGCAGAATTTCCCGACGGTCGGGTTGATTGATGGGAATTTCAGGGCGAATCTGGAGGAGACGGGGATGGGGTTTGATTTGGAAGTGGATGCTATCCGCGTGGCGGGGGAGATGGGCATGTTGACGACGCCGTATGTCTTTAATGGGGACGAGGCCACGAAGATGGCCGAGGCGGGGGCCGATGTGGTGGTGGCGCATATGGGTCTTACTTCTTCCGGGTCCATTGGCGCCCGGACGGGCAAGACGCTGGAGGATTGTGTGCGGGATGTACAGGCGATTCGAGATGCCGCCGCGGCCGTCAATGCAGACATCATTGTGCTGTGTCACGGCGGACCCATCGCCAAGCCGGAAGACGCCCAATTCGTGCTCGAGAGATGCAAAGGGGTGCATGGCTTCTTCGGTGCGAGCTCGATGGAGAGATTACCAGTGGAAGAAGCCATTACGGGCATCACAAAACAGTTCAAAGGCATCGGAGTGAAGCACTCGTAGGATGAACTGGCCTCCATTCTAGCGCATCAAAACACCTCAATCTATGCACTCTACTACGTCTTCCCATTCTATGAGTCTCTAAAACGCCAGCTCAATGCATAGTCGCGTGACATACCCATTACAGAAGAAGAAGCAAAGCCCTCAAACGCCTCCCAGACCACATTGTTGCCGAAGCTGGACAAAGATCCCAAGCCTGGTCATGCTGTCTCCGCGCCGAGCGCCATGCAGAGAGAACCGCATTCCAAAAGAACCCCAAACAAAAAGCGAAACTTTTCACCCATCCATCGTCGTCTCTAGGCTTCATCATCCGTATCCGGGGGATGAGGAGTTCCCTTAGGTGAGTTCAGCCACTCGATATGTCTCAAACGTCTCCGCACCTCACGCTCCTTCATCTGCGCTCTCGTCAACTTCTTCTTCTTCTTCGCCTTGAACTTCATATCATCCGCCGGTGCGCCTTCCGCCTCGGACTGCGCACCAGAGCCGATAGGTGTGCCAGCAGCGGAGGCAGCCGCGGAAGAAGCAACCGTGGAAGCGGCCGCGGAGGAAGCCATAGAGGAGCCTGGACGAGAGTCTTCGAAGCGGTCAAGGCTGACGGCAAGGTGACCCTTCTGAGTGAGTCGACCATCGACGACGTGCCACTGTTCAGGGCAGAGTGCGCCAACGAATTCCTCGTTGTGGGAGATCATGACAACACCACCCTTGTAGTCGCGAATAGCAACAGCGAGACCACCAAGCGAGTCGCGGTCCAAGAAGTTGGTAGGCTCGTCAAGCACCAGTAAATGAGGGTTGTTCCACATCGCACCTGCCAAGACAACCTTTACCTTCTGACCACCAGACAAGCCGGAGATCTCATTGTGGTTCGCAATCTCGGGGTCAAGGCCAACATCCTCGAAGTGTTTCGAGATGATCTTGGGTTCCAGTTGACGGAATCCAAGACCCTCTCGACTTGCCTCGTGGTCATCGAATTCCTGGATGAGCTTCTGAAATCCCCACTCCATCAAAGTCTCGCGAGAAACCATGGAGTTGTACTTTGGCAACCATCCGATCCACTTGACCTCATACTGGAAGCTTTTCTTGTACTTCTGTCGACCAATCAAAGCCTCAAGTTGTCTCGCCGCCTTGCCATCTCCGAGGTCGATGAATTTGTCCATCTGCGCTTGGTCCTCTGCGGTAAGCTGCCGCGTCTGTTTCATAAGTACCTCCCGGTCGTCGCCATTGGCATACCGCCATTGCAAATACTGGTTAGGCGTCTTCTCGAGATGCATTTCGACATGCTCGAGAGCGTGCTGCTTGATATAACCAATCCGCAGGTTGGGATGCTTCTCGACTTTGCCAGTCTGAGGGATGACTTCACCGGTCAAGACCTTGATCAGTGTAGACTTTCCGGCACCGTTTGGTCCAATGATGGCGACTCTGCTGCTCAAACTCAGCTGAGCGGACACGTCGTTGAGACTGGGCTTCGATGCGCCAGGATATGTGAAATTGCAGTTGGTCATGCGGAGGATAGAGCGAGTGTTGGATTTGACACCGGTCAAGATACCAGGAGGCGGGAATTTGAACGACACCAGCGATGCGCTGAGCGTGTAATAGCTCTTCGCTTCAGGGCGGACCTTGACCAAATCCGCCAAATTGCCCTTGTAGTGGACCAACTTCTTGTTCTCGTAGTTGTAGATATCCGTGCAGACTTCATCCAAGAAAGCAGAATCGTGGGACACGATAAGCGAAGTGATATCGGTGTGAGTCTTAAGGTACTCCTGCAACCACTTCACGTTCGCAACATCCAGGTGGTTCGTCGGTTCGTCCAGCAAGAAGACATCGGCGCGCATCAACATAGCTCTGGCCAGAGCGAGCTTCATCTTCCAGCCTCCAGAAAGACTGCCCACCTTCTGCTGTTGTCGGCCTTCTGCGCCACGGGTGAAACCCACCTCTTCCAAGACATTCTCAATGCGCTCCTTGCCCTCGTTCTGCAGTTCTGGATCCTTCAGACAGTACTCCAGAATCGTCAGGTCAGCATCCTCCCCTTGATTGTGCTCTACGAAGCAGGTTCTGACCTCATCTTGAGGTGGGAAGCCATCCAACTTGTCGTTAGCGATGGAGCGCATCAGAGTAGACTTTCCAGCTCCATTTCGACCACAGAGACCATATCTGTGGCCTTTGAGAAGGCGCAGGTTCGTGTGCGAGAGCAGAAGCATTCCTCCGTAGCCGAGCGAGAAGTTGGCGTTGACAATCTCTGTCTCACCATCTTCGATCTGGACTGGATTGCCGTACTTGCGATGATCTTCGGCCACATAAAATCCGTGGATGGCTGCAGCGACAGCGTCGGCCTTTCCATCGTCCATCAGAGGCTGCAAATACGGTGTGATGTTCTTCGTGACCCTCTCCAATAGACGCTGGTTCACGACCTCGGCCACGATGTCTGAGATGTATTTCTTGGCAAAGGTCCAGACTTCGGAATCTCCTGGGTAGTTCAGAAGACCGCCATTTTGTTGAATCTCCTTCTCCAGTAAGGTCAGAGTTTCCTCAGGCTTCACACGGTCCATGGCTTCCTGGACCTTGCTGTCACCATTGTGCATGTCGCCCATGGCTTTCATCATAACATCGTATGCTCTTTGGCCAATCTCGCGCACCTCAGGAAGCGATGCGCCGTCCCTCACAGCCTGGATACCAGGCTTGAGCTTGGGCAAGAAGTTGCGAGCTTCGATTGGGTCGTGAACGAGTTTCGTCAAATTCTCCACAACCACAGCTGTTTGGCGCAAGACTTCCTGGGTTGTTGTAGGCGTGTTGAGTGACCGTTCAAGAAGTGGTGTCAGGAGGGCAAGGACGGGCGATGTTACGATTGTAACGAAAGTAGTCTGGCTGAGCGCGTGGATTGCTTTCCTTTGCGCGTCGGTGCTTGGGTCTTCCATAGCTGCGACCAAGATGGGTATCCGCGGTGCAACATCGTCGTTTTGTAGCAAATCAGTCAAGCTGTTCATGGTCTTGAGGGCTTGCTTGGAAACCTCGCTCTTCAAGTCGTGCATGCCAGCCTCCACGATCGGAATCAGACCTGCCAGCTGTCTACCCATGGATTCTCTCAAGACATCCTTGTTCTGTTCCACCTCTTTACTCTCCGTCCCCATCTTCGCATCGTCTGCCATGCGTCCCATGAGCTCAAATGCCCCGACTGTACCCTGCCACTTGCCCGTGCTCTTTCGCAGATATTGCTGAATCAGTGGCAGGAGGCCGTACACCTTGGCCTCGGACGAGAGGTGTCCGTACAGTGCATCGAGCGCATAGCGGGCTCCCTCCTTGATAGACGATTGTCGGTCGGCAAGAGAATCCAGCGCACAACCCACCAAGGCAGTCTCTTGCAACAGGAAGATTACCTCGCTCAAGGGCGCTTTGGAAGGGAATCGCTCGAAGATTGCGCCCAGAGCGAACATGGCACCTTCTCGCTTGCCAACATCTTTCTTGTTTCCGGCAGCTTTGATGATCTCGGGAAGGATATTGTATGCGGTGAGACCGCGGAAGCCTACACTGTTGAGCAGAACATCGGTGAGCGAGTATGCTGCGTCCAGAGATTCCTGCGACGTCTTTGAACCGTAAATCGACTTGGTGATCTGGGCGACATCGTCGGGCGAAGGGGCGGCCGTCTTGCTAGTCACCATGACCGGCGGCATGGGGGGCGACTCGTGATGAGGCATGTTAGACCTCTCTGGTCGTGGATCTCTCGGACTGTGTGTACGTCCCGAGCGAACGAGTCCTTTGTCTAAATTTCTTCTGAATAGAAATCTCTCTGAGTAAGCAGCTGAAAGTGGGCTGCGCACAGAGTCTGTAGTGTGCGGTACACTGCTCCAAAAGGGGGCTGCGCGGACGACGATCACCGCGGCAGCTGTAATACAAATACGCAGGAAAGGTGAGTGGAGAGGTGCCGTGAAGGGAGAGTGGTATCTTGGGGGAGAAAGCGAGACCTGGCAGAAAAAGTTACCTTTAGCTTTTCTCATCCATTCAAAGATCCACGCGCGATAAGGGCAAGGATTTCGATATCGATTCCAACAAGTCCTCCTTCAAAATTTCATGCGTGACGTGAGGGGCTGACACTCGGCTCAGCATCACGTGAGGGCTCGAGACCTTCACACAAGGGGGGACATGATCTAGCGCAAACTCTAGTACAACCAATCACAATATCCCTCGACGACCCACTCGATATCTGCAGGATCGTCTCCCATCTTCAACACGATGCGTTCTGCGATATCGTCCTCTTCGAGCTCTTCGTATACAGCTGGGAGATCTCGAGGAGGACGCGCAAATACCAAGCTCAGGCTTCCGATAACGCGAGCGCCGCGTGCTCGTGCATACCGAGCGGCGTAATGCCCCAATCCGCCACCAGCACCGACGACCACCACGAAACTTGTCTTTATCAGTCTTGTACGGTATGCTTCCATTCCAGTCGACTTGTCCTCCGACTTTGGGGTCTGCATTCAGCACGGCCTTTGTACGCTGTCAAACCTGCCAGCGAGACGTTGGAGGAACTTTCAATTCTCAGAGCTCTTTATGAGCATACCAGCACACCATGTCGGTGCCGCCAGAACGGGATTCACGTCTGGATATCTGATCAACAGCCACAGTTCTTCAAATTCTTCATTCGTGCTCACCATCAGGCAAAATCGTCAGATAACACGAGTCGAGATACACATGCTCATGAAAAGCTCCGTCCTCGTGGGGCAAATGGTTCGTGGGCTTGAATTCCCCAATGCCTTGACAATACTCCTCCGTCCCCGCAAGACAGCAGGAACATCGACGATGGATACGGCTACAAGAGCGGATGCCAACTGGAGAGCCTATGTGCATCGCGGGATCACGATGCTGGAGACCAGGGCCTAGAGCCAAGATACGACCTCCAACTTCGTGGCAACCCAATGTGTGGAGAGTTGTTATGCGTGATCGGTTTACCATCTGGACCGGAAGCAGTCCTGACTTATATGTGCATGATTCTGTCTATATCACGGCTGTCGTCTGCCAATCTTGACCGGAACATTCCTCTTCCCCTTAACGCTCCTCTTCACGGGGCTGTCGCGGCGACGTATTAGTTGGCTACTACATTCGGCAAATTCACAAGGCTCAGACTTACTTGTTATTGAAAACAGATCCAGGACCAAAGTCTGGCGTGCCTCCCAGAGTTCCAAAGATATCGCCAATGTAATTCGTAGCATTTACACCAGCAGAAAAAGTCGAATTCCATCCTTTCAAAATGCCCTCGACGACCTCGATGCCCGCAAGGTAGATATTCTTCACCGCGGGATCGAAGGCTCCCTGTTCAGCCCACCAGAGGTTGGTAGTAGCCGCTTCACCAGGCCACGGACGATCGAAATCCGAAGCGGTCCTCATGACGATGATGCGGCCGAAGTCGACAACCTTGTCGACAGCGGCGCGCATCAAGGCCTCGAGCGTGGCATTGTCCTCCTGCGCAGTCGTGCAGTAGACACCAGAACCATTCGTCAAAAGCGTCGTGAAGTTGCCAAAAGCCGAGGAAAGGAGAGCGCCACTGTAGTAGACATCCGAAGTAGCGACGTCGCATTCCACCACAGAGGGACCCGCCGCGCCCGCTGCATATCGTGAGTTGGCGGCATACTTGGCCCTGTACGCCACCGCATCGTCGCTGTCATTCAACGTAGCCTTGCGCGCAAGATTGGCCGCCAGCTTTTGGAGATTCTGATTCAGCTCAAAAACCTCCGTACCATAGATGCTGCTGGGATACTCCGAGGGAGCATGGCTTCCGAGAGGAATATAGCCCGTCGAGAAATTGGCCGGAATTTCTCTCGGATCGAATTCGTACTGCAGAGCCACCTGGACGGCGTATCGTGCAAAGGTCGCAGAACAGATGGTTGCGACTTCTGGGTTGACGCCCGCGATACCGGCGACGAACCAGTATGTCGATTTGAGATCGAAGCGACCGTAGCGAACGAGAGACGCAATCGATGTAGCGGCATTGATCTCGCTCTCTCCGATGGTGAGTTGGCAGACATCTCCATTAGCCGTGCAGTGCACGTCCGGATATAGCGGTGAGAGACCGGGAACGGTGATGTTCAGTGCGAGGACGTCGAATTCCGGAATGCCGTACCACGCTTCACCTTCGGGATCACTGTGAACGGATTATCATCACATTCACCGGCTCAATGTCGAATTCCGATACTCACAACATCGAAACAATCATGATCTTTGGCTTGATGATCCATTCGTAAGCCCTTGTCACCATCGGTGCTGGCATTAGAGACGCCGAAACGCCAGACAACAGCGCCGCCGTCGCGAGGAGGGACCTCATCTTGCCAAGCATATGAATTCAATCGATGAAGGTTGCAAAAGAACCTACCCAGCCAGCAGGGCATGCATGTCTTTATACTTGTCACTCCGTCTAGCCATGTTGATCGGATCTAGTCCACGCGGGTCCGGCCCAATCACACAACTACCATGCTAGCATACCAGGCCGACAGAGATCGAAATCTCGGTAACTGCAGGTACAGTATTGGTGCTAATTTACATGTGGTAGGTCCAGCACGAGAAGGCGTTTGATAAGCAATCATCCGGCCGCGTGGTGTTATCTTAGAAGACCTTTTCCCAGCCTCACCGGATTCGCGCTGACGGCCGTCTCCGCTTCCTGGCGATGACGTAAAATAGCGCCGGTCAGATGGCTTTGGGTGATAATGAATGTGGAACGACCTGTGCGACTTTAGCTTCGCACTCGCTTTTTGCGTCGCACGAGAGTTAGCAAGAGAGAGGATGATGCATGACGCTTCGACTGTGCGACTTTCACCTTGGTTGAAAATGAGCGCTCTCAGCTGGCGACTTCGATGAGCGGGATCCTACTGACGCAGATTAGTTGCAGAGAAGCAATATTGCGAGAGAGCTGCAATAAGAGCTGCGATATATCCTAGATGCAGGTTCTCGCCGTAAGATGTGAAGGTAGAAAGTGAACCCAGATTTCGTGAATCATGATGAAAGGCATTTATCGCCGGACTCCGCGCTCGGAATCATCGCACAAGATCAAAGATCCTCCCAGACAACCACATTGCCGGCTTCACACAAACGTGAATGTTGCCTGGCAACGTAAATTGTCGCAAAATGTACGCTCGCCAGTATCAGAGACTGCCGCAGACTGAAATCCAAGAGGCCTAAATCCAACGCGGCCAGGCCAACAAGGGGATAGAGGAGCCAAAGATTCGTCGCATAGGGAGCGCAAGGCAGGGATAGCGAGAGAAGCTTGCCCAAGAAGAAGATCGCTCGCAGACAAGTGGTAATGCGTGGCTCGTGAGTGATGCGCACCAGCCAGGTGTACATCGGCTTGTCAGGCGGCGGCGGAAGCATCAAGTGTGGGCTTTGCTGGGGTGGCGTCTCTTCTCCAGGTGAACGCGGTGGTAGCTCGATCTTCTTCCTCGCACCTATTGTCATGGATGACTCCAGAGGACTTATAGGTCTGCTCCGGGACCGATCCTGTTTCACGGGATTCCGGTCTCGGACGCTCTCACCAGACGATTGCCTTCCAGTCGACGGCAGATCAGGTCGTGAGATGTAAGATCTTCGCATTTGTAAAGAGGGTTTGGGAGCTGGCGAGTCCATAGATGATACCCGAGGGCTATAGTCTTCACTGGTCCATTTCTTATCATCCAAGATGACGCCGCCTTTGATACTGGCCAGGATTTCATCCGTACTTGGTCGCTCATTCGGGTCGACACTAAGAAGTCTCTTCAAGTATTTGTAAAGCCTCTCCGGCAAGTCTGTACGAGCGCGTGCCTCTTCATTGAAGCCGACCCATCCTGTAATTTCAGCTCTGAGCTGATCCAGGTCCTCGTTCTCCTCATTCACATCGTCCGCATTCGCATATGGTAATCGGCCGAAGCACATGAAGTACACAATCATGCCTAGTGAGAAGATGTCAGATTTCGTGGTGAAATTGCCGAATGAGCCGTCGGAAGTCCTCTGCAGAACTTCTGGTGCGCAGTAGGAAATGGTACCAGTAGCGCCTGACGAGCCTCGTGTTGTACCTGCGGCTTGCACTTCGCCAAAGTCCGATATCAAGACTCTGGTACGGCCACCGTCTCGTTGCAGCAGGCAGTTGGATGGCTTCAGATCCCGATGGATGTAACCCTTCGTGTGTAAGTGGTGAAGTCCGGAGGTAATGTCTCTGAAAAAGGAGAAAATCTCGTCGAAAGCGAGCTTGCTTGGACCGCGAGCATCCTGAGGCGGGCTTATTTCACCTCTAGATTTCCTGCGCAGCCTTTGCTTCAGCTTCTCTGTCGTCGATGGTCCGTTCTGGGGCCCCAAAACGTAGCTGTGCAAGTCACCACCATTACAATAGTCCTGGAGAACCCACAAGCAAGGGATGCTTGGTCCAAAGGTAGAGGGCTGATGGTCCTCGAGCCATGTCCAATGATATGCCACGAGATTCTTGTGCGGGATTTTCTGCAGCAGTCTTACTTCGATGATGACTTTCTCGAAATAAGCTCTACTGTCGCCGACTGGAATCCTCTTACAAGCAAAGTGACCAAGCGAAACATTGTCGATGACGTGCTCCACCAGCAGGACTACGCCGTTCCCACCACGTCCAAGTTCTCGTTCTTCCCTGAAGAATTGCTGGAAGTAGCCGGGAGAAAAAGCCGAAGCGCTGATTCCCTGACCAGTTGTTGTCGTCGGCTCGCTGCCAACGAATTCGGCACCGGTGGGTGGATCAGCTGAGCTGCTGACATCTCGCGAGCGCCCCGATCGTAGTGCAGGCTGTACTCTCCGGCTCGGCGTTGAGGGACCAGACGAAGCTGGCGACGGCCTGCGACTCGCGGCAAGCATAGCAAAGTAGTCTGGGTCGACAAAAGGGCGTTCGGGCCCGAAGGCTCTTCCATGTTCGCCATCTTCTCCCGAAGAGTCTCTCTCACGCAGCGGTCGGTGGCAGTAAGGACATTCGGAAAAGTCGATGGGTTGGTCGGAAGCATCCCTCACCGAGAGCTGCCTCGAGTGGGCATCGTACACGACCACGGAATTGCCACGCCGTCTACACGATTGTGAGCGAGGGAATAGGACTGGTCTCAAGAGTAAGAGAGAACATACAATACGACCTCGCGGGAATCATGAGTGTATGGTATTAGCGACATCTGCCGCCCGGATGGCAGGTGAGGTGGTGTTTCGTCAGCCATTGGCCGAAGCTTCTTATCCACACGCTCCGAAACGACGACGGCAGCCAGTGGATGTCAGCAAGAAGAAGGTCATAAGGGTCGGTTGGTAATGCAAGATTGGCCGAGAGCTCAATTGTGTCCGATCAGATGACTTTCAACCAGCGCTGTGGAGCAAGCCCAGCCGCAGACCACCGTCAACTCCGTCACACAGGTTTGCATAGAGACATTGATGGGAGCGCGACTTTGTTGTGTTGTGCTGTGTTTACGCCGACTGAGTCGTAGACTGAGTTGTAGACTGAGCTGTAGACTGAGTTTCGGGAAGCTTGTGTTTGCTTACATAATCGCGCTTGTCCCAAGATAGCTAGTCGCATCGCCTCGGCTACAAGCGTACTTAACGTCGTCGCCTTAGACAGTTGCGTCGACCTCAAACACGACTTTCCCAATACCCTGAGACGAAGTAGCGTACCATTCCACCATGTAGCCACCGAGGTCACGAGCTGGCCATGCTCCAAGCGTTATTCTCCAGCCTTCCGCGAACCAACGGCGAGGATGTCCTTCTTGTGGTCGGATATGGAGCGATAGGAATATGGCTTTCCTCAGTTGCCGCTGTCTTCGATAGTCGCGGTAGGTAGAAGTATAGCTCGCATTGGCAGTGGCTCTGTCTCCGGCATGAAGGTCCCCGTAGCTGAGCGCAAAAGAGCATCCCAAATTCGCCATGGTCATGCCGCCCTCGACCAAGCATTCAGAGAAGGCTTCGTGTCCATATCAGCCATGCCGCCTGACAACTCGACCCGCAACATGTTCTCGGAGGCCGAGTTCCAAAGCAGGAACTGCACTAGCTCAATTATCAACGTTGGCCGCGGAGGCGTCATCAACGAAAAAGACTCGGGCACGGCTCTCCGAAACAGAGACATAGCCGGCGCGGCAACGAATGTCTTCGAACAGTGGCCGGCAACGAAATCCTACAGTCCATTGCTGGATGAAACGATTCTCAATCTGGTTCTGAATCCACATGTTGCCTGGTTATCTTCCAAGACTATTCAATGCACCATTGCGACGGCGGAACCGAACATCGAAGGCTTCGTTGCCGGAAAGCCACACAATCTGGCATAGCCGGTAGCAAGCGTCAGTAGCCGGACCAGCTGTGTTTCCAATCGGTCCTTGAGCGATCAATTCAGAGCTCTTCCAACGTACACATGCTACATCGGTAGATGCGCACCGCTAGAGACCGATCATTGAGAGATAGGTTCGATCTTCGACAATAGAGGCACAGTCGACCAACACATTGAAGGCGTTGAATCCGGTGTATCGTCGGGTCTTAGTTTGCGGCCATGATCGTTTGCAATAGCATGTAGGCATGTCATAGCATATGCAACGAAATACCGAATTTCAGGCGAGCTGGACCAGCTCGCCTACGACGGTTAGGGGACTGCTACGAGCAAAGTAGCGCATCCTTCCCGAACGATACATTTTCGCAATCCAGTCAAGGACAAAGAACTTCCTGTGCACTTCGTCGCTCGACAGACGTCCAAGGCGGGAGCCTTTTTTATATTGCTTTGCTACGACACAGTTACAATACTCACTACCCACGAACCAGGAAATATAAAACCTGAACACCTGCAGCCGAGATACATGCTCTCCACATTTGTGGATCGCAGCCATGGGTGTTGAGGGGTGCCTTGTGGATACCGAAGCTTGCCGCAATTTTCAAGTGCTCATCTGGCAGAACATACACGGAGAGAGGCTAGGTATAAAAACTTTGAGAACCTCCCGGTCCATCGAACAAACCCATTTGCACCCATCATCGACTTGCGCTTCAAGTCGGTCCAGTTCATTTCAGCACCCGTCATGGACACCCGCCTGAAGGACCGCATTACTATCAGTACGTAACGCTCTTGAGCCTATTGGTCGCAAAAGAAATACTAGGAGCTAATCCAATTTCGGTGGCGCAGTCACTGGAGCGAGCTCAGGCCTCGGTAAAGGTGAGATAAAGAAATCACCGACAATGGAGCAGTACATTGAACAAAATCTATACAGCCACTGCTCTGAAGTTTGCCAACGCTGGCGCACGCATTGTCTGCGCGGATCTGAAATCCATTGGGCTGGAGGAGAGCATCTGTTCCGAGCATGGAGCCCACCGAGCCACATTTGTGAAATGCGATGTCACCAAGGAGGAAGATGTCAAGAATCTAGTCGAAGAGGCTGTGAAATTTGGTGGAAGATTGGATATCATTTGCAACTACGTAAGAAAGCACCTCATTGAGCCTGGAGAGTTGGCATATCGCTGATAGGAGACTCAGGCCGGAATTGCTCTCGAATGCGGCGACAAGTATCAAATGCAGGCGCGAGCCCACGACCTTGCTACTGAGCATTTTGATCTCGAGCTGAAGGTCAACATGCGAGGCGTCTGGCTTTGTTGCAAGTACGCGCTACAGCAAATGCTCAAGCAAGAACCACGGGAACCCAATGCACGAGGAGAGAGAACGCGAGGGTGGATCGTGAATGCAGCTAGTACGCTGGTGAGCCAAGTTTCCCGTCGACGTGCACGTCCTCGACACTTTCCATTGACAGCTGCCAGGGCCTGGTGGCGCACACAAACGTTCCAGCATACTGTCCCTCCAAGTTCGCCGTCGTGGGGATGACGAAGCAGATGGCCCTCGACTATGCCAAGGACAGAATCCATGTGAACGCATTATGTCCTAGTTTTGTGGCAACGCCTCTCATTGAGAATTTGACTTCCGATGCAGGCACTGCGAGGCATATGGCAGGCGCGCATCCCTGGGGCGAATTGGGTAGGCCGGAGGATGTTGCTGATGCGGCGATGTTTCTATGCAGTGACGAGTCGTAAGTCCTATGCTTTTTGGGTGCTGCATGCAATGGACGATGTAAATGCTAATGTCTCCACAGGCAATGGGTAACGGGACATACCCTCACCCTTGACGGTGGGTCTACAGCGCAGTGAACGAGATTCGGATTATTCGAATAGAATGTGCTATTCTGTTCCTGGCGTCTCCGCCTTGGAACCTCTTCGTAGAAACTTGTCTACGATTGAGCCATTTCTCGAAGTGCTGGTCAAGTTGGACCATACTGAACTTCTTCTTTGAGGTGCTATCCAAGAGAATATGATCAGCGACGACGTTCCGCAATGAGTAATGGCGTGAATGTTCACCTTCTTCATCGGCTGCCTGGCGGTCTGCGAACAGCGCTTGAAAATCTGCTGGTGTTTCTTTCGTCTCGTCAACATGTGCTTGCTTCGGCTGACCGGAAAGTCGACTCGACTCGACTCGACTCACTCATATTTCCCGCCCCACCTCGGCCATACGATCTCCTGCGCTCAATGAACATTTCACCGTTCTCTGCGGAAGACATGCTGGCTTGCTTCAGAGTGGATTGAAGATCGAAAATCTGACTGTGTGTGTGAGTGTCTGCGCATCTCTCCATTGCGATTTGGCTCGAATCGCGGCATATATATCCTCCACGAGAACAGACTGTGTCATTCGAAGCCAGATAACGTTTTGCTGGACGATTGGCTAAGCCTTGCTAAGCAGCGATGCAGTGTCGATCTGGAGAAAGCAAGACCCCGTGGGGACGTCACTGCGGCTTTTTGGGGTGTCATGCTGCAGGAGATCTGGGGATGGGACGAACTATTGTCCTTGGCGTTATCAGGTACGTCTCGCGGTGGCTGCTGGTCTTGAGACCAAGGTGTGGAAGTGGCGTGCTGACTTTGCCATAGGTTTGTTCTTCCTTTTGTTCTTCCTTTGCCAGAAAAGTCTCAGCACCGTTCTGCCACGCTGTGTCCCACTGAACGGGGTGGAAAGCCAATTTAATGTGACCGCAGATGCAAGCTTGTGGCAGGCTATGCGGCCTCTGCCCATGGAACATAATCAATTTCTGCGCACTGGCAAGGGAACGAATCATCTGGCCTATGCAGACAAGTCGTTAGCATCGCTTCAGCGCTCGATATTAACAAGAGACATGGCACCAACCCAAGTACGATATCACGATCCGCGCATATGGGGATGCCTTGACGACCGTCGTAGTCTCACGCCACCACGTAGGGTGCGTCCATTACTTAGTTCATCTTCGGGCTCCCAATCTTTGACGGGCTTGGCGCATGGAGTGTTCCTCAACCAACTTGTCCGAAAGGTCGTTTCTCATGGACGACCATAGCACACCTTGCGTTGCTCTTTTCTCATATGAATCGGACGTGAGTCTCGAGCGTATTTCTGGCAATGATTCCCGGTTGTGATGGGCGGGGTTGAGCCGTTGATTGAGGTAACATGAAGCTTCGCATGGCTCTTCGAAGCCTTCTCTGTGCCTCCAATCTACCGGAGGACGACGAGCGAGATAATTCTTTCCAATTCGGACGCTCAGTAAGTTGGTGAAAAAAACGACAGGCATGTAGATACGCGGTATCGGGGCGGCCAATAAGTCCCATGTATCAACTGGATGAAGTGGCGATCGCTGCAACGGTAAGACAGTCGTGCCAATTTCCACTGCCAATGCGTGGGTGTTATATCTTGCCGTCATTTGGACAGTATTGAGCAGAAAGCAAGGACAGGTCTTAGCTCAAGGCAGACCTGCGAAGCAAGCTCATCCTTTCGGATAAGACCTGGCAAAAGACACGGCGACCTGCCGGATTGTAAGTGGATTTGGAATGTGTCAAAGACGAGGATCACCGGCATCGAGGACATGTTCCAGTGGAGTTAGGCTTAGGTGAGATTCGACTTGGACGACTTACCGGGAATGGGGTAGAAAGATCGAATTCAAGCAAGTTGCGGGAAGTTGCTCGCTCAGCCATCACGCAGAGCACAAGTTATGGATGCCTCGCAGTGGAAGCTCTTCGCTATGAGGGGCGTCGCTCTCTCCGATCCATGCCGCGAAGAACGATACGCGCCCTCGTATTATTCCTTCGCCGCTATCTTCGCCGGCCCCACACCATCGATGGCGAGCACTGCCTCGAAGTCATCCAAGAACACGACGGCGACGACGACGTAGTACTTGCCGAGAAGGAGGGCCAATATCCACGCTACGTGAGTCGAACTTGGGCGTATGGTTCTCGAAGGATGCAGGATCTGCTAGATGTGATCTATCGCCATTCGGAGATCAGACCTCTTTTCAGTCCACTAGATCCTAACGCTATGGGCAGGAAAGAGGTGGCCAATCCTCCTTATGGTACCGAGTCCGCCCATTGAAGTGTGTAATTCTTGTTTTTTTTTTTCGCACCTGGTTTGAGCGTCTTGCTGACGGAGTTCGTAGAAGAGCCAGAACAAGTTCCTGCCGTGTCGCGTACTATCCGCGAGCGGATATTGGCCGCAGCTCTGAAGAACGCGCATACCCAGATGATCGAAGATATGACAAGCGCGCCCATCGCGAAGAAAGAGGGGCCATATCGCGTTTTGTCAAACAACAGCGGTTTCGAGCACCAATTCAAAGGCCATCTTCAACCGAGAAACCCCGGATGAGGCGACCTTAAGACAGAGTTGTTAGCAGGTCCTCACCCTACCAAATATCACAAAGAAAATGCGGGTATAACATGAGAATGCTCGACACTTTATCTCTACGGTGACCGGCGCTAATCGTTCCACTGTACGACGTAATTGCCTGTCCCGTCAATGGCAATGTGCGCAGCTTTCTGATTGTCCCCCTCTGCCTCAAATTGAGCCATTTGTCGGAGACGTCGTCTAGTTGCTGGACTTGAAACTCCCGTAATTCGAGCTTCCCAGATTACCGCTTGCTCCAGAAGCGCAAGCAGCTTGTCCCGACCTCTATGTCGCTTCTGTACGACAGGACCTTTCGCTTGAAGCATTCCGAGGTGTTCAAATATGTCCGGCAAGGCAGGGTAGAGCTCTGTTTGATCCTTGAGCAGGTCCGCCAAGGACTCTCCTTTTTCCATGATAGCATTGACTTCTTTCATCATGATTTTGGTCCTTTGCACAAGTCGGCTCTGATCCGCGTTGAAAGTTCGAATAGCCTCCCGCTGAGTCTCCGCGCCGTCTGTGTCAGCACAGACTGTGCACAAGCATGTGAAGCCCCATTTCTGGGTCTTTGCTTGACGTTCTGATCGCGGGAGGAGGATGTTGAAGTAAGATATGAGTATTTCAGCTCCCGATTCTAGTTTATTCAATGCGTGGACAGTCATGCGACCGCGCGACTCTCCTCCGTTTGGAGGGTAGAAGCATACATGGGCATTCGGCGCACAAGAATGGTTGATCCTCGCAATACTTGGGAACAAAGCTCGATGTCGTGGTCCCTGACCGTCATGCAGATCTACATTGAATGCATTGGTCTGCATGATTCCAGCGACATTGGCCATCTCTTCCAGGCCTTCTGTACCAAAGCCACGCTGGAGGAGTTTGTCCTTGAGCAGAGCATCGCGACTGAGATCTGCATGCTGACTGAGGGAGAGATATCGCTCTTGGTCCTCTTTTGGTAGATTGGCGAATTGCTTATACAGCTCCGGCAGGTCATCATTGGGTTTCATTAGGATGAGTGGGGTGTCGCAGAGGATCTGAGAGAAGGCGGCGATCGGTTGGGTAGCGAAGAGGCCTAGTCCTCGACCTTCACCAGCATCGCGAGCTTCCACCGACGGAGTGCCCAAGAGAAGTGTCGATGCGACTGGTCGTGCTGAAAGCCATTGCCTGGCAGCGAACGACTGACACCTTGATGTCATGACGAATATTGTTTATGCGATGGAAGCAAAGTCGTTGGTGGATCTTCCGGCATCGCAACTCTTTCCGCGTGACTGCGGGAGTATTCCAGATGCGCGTCGGCGCCCGTCTTCAGGTGTCATTGAAGTGTGATCTGGCCTGGCCGTCTACGGTACATCTCTTAGCGAACAGGAACTCCCACGTGCTTTTCAAAATGCCCGAAAGAATGAGGTGTGGTCGACGGATGGCGAGCCACGAGGTGAAGTGTTGGAGGGACTCTCCTTCCGGTCCGATCCGCAGCTCCCAGAAAGCTCCGAAATGCTTGGCTTCCTGCTGGGTATTGGCATTGTGTAGGCCTGAGGTAGTTTCTAGGTGAAGCTGAATGAGAAGCTGAGCGAGGGAAGAGGCGAGTATCTGGCAGGCTCAGGAGGCTGTGCGGAATCTCCTGATGGATTGAAAGCTGATCACAGGAACAGATGGGAAAGCACACTCTGGATTTGCGTGTGTCCGCTCACTAACATAGAATAGGCTCTGTCTTTTGACGAACACGCAAGTCGACTTCGGATTCGTCGTTGGCACAATTGTATCGTGGCTCGGATCGCTCCAAACAACCCGGACTTGTCTGGCGACTATCTGTACCTTCGAATCAGACTCAGGGAGCCCGAGCCCTTCTCTTACGAAGGCTTCAAACTTATGCATACTCCTTACTGACTGGCCCTCAAATTCTATGGTTTGAAACTCCTGCTCGCTGCCGGCATTTGGTTCATCTATGACTTTCTCACCTAGCCCTTTAGCATCTACTCCTCTGCATGGATCGACGTAATCGAGCCTGACGCGGCGCTGTGGCAGATATTTGGCTGGTCAGCTCTGGCGAGCTTTCCTATCTTCCCGGCCCCACTCTTGGGTCCTTCACCCTGGACTGGATGGGACTTCGAAGAGCTCTCATGACGTTCGTCATCTGTCAGGGAATCTGGGGCTTTATTATGTCGAGGCTTTGACACCACCACAATGGGTAATGAGGATTGGCGTGAGCAACGAGCAAGCCTTGCGTCTGCTGCGGGCAAAGATGCTGGGCAGTAAGTATCGCTGCACATATAGCTGTTATGATCCGTGAGGACTTCGTAAAATCGTGAATATTGCGACCGTGTGTCTTGCCAATCGAAACTAGAAGCCAGAGGCATGACATCAAGTATTTGGCTTCTCCCATTAGTCCTGCAGAGATCAGGGCAGCAGCGAGTCGGGCAAACCCCAAACAGCATAAACTCTCTTTGAGGTCACGTTCGAACGTCTCGAGATGCTGTCCAATGTGCCAAGATAGGGTACTAGGTACGCGCTTTCCAGGTAAACAAAGGATGCCTTGGATTGTGCCGGGGCGACAAAGCAGCCAAAACCGGCGGAGGAAAATGTATACTGAGGAAGTCCACGTACAATCTCAGCAGATACCAATGTCCTCGTAACATGTGCTGCCACCGCCGCATCATCTACGCGATCTGCGGCCACAGTACGTTCTCTCCCACGCCTCTTATGGAATGCCGCAATGCATCGATCGATCCCACACTGCAGTGGTCGACCGTTTGCGAAATCGTGGGGCATCCGTACAAGAGCTTGCGCATCGATTCTCTATGTCCCGCGTGCCAGGCACGACGCGATACGCTTCTCCGAGAGATCGAAGAGAGTCAGGTTGTTCGGTTCGATGAGTGGCAGTGGAAGGTTAGCTACGGTATGCCGAGCAACAACGAGGGGGACGAATATTGGAATCGGAAGGCGGAAGAGCGAGAGGAGATGCATAAGAGGGAGGAGAAAGCGACGCGGTCGAAGTCGAAACGATTTAGTTGGCGGAAGAGTAAGAGGAAGAGTGCGAAGGCGGTTGTTGTTGGTGATGAACCCAAGACGCCCAAAACGCCTGGGATGAGGTGAGTAAGCGGAGTCGCGCATTGGCCAATGGCCTCCGGCTCGCTCTCGTACCTGACCTCAGAGAGCACCTCACTTCGCGACCGCTGCATATCAACGATCTGGAGCGCCCACTCCCATATCCCTGAGCTCTCTCCTCAAGCTCATGCGATAAATTATATCCCAATTCGAGCCCGCGACATCCCTTCAGTCAGGCCGCATCCGGCCATCAATCCATCACCATGCCGACGCCCGAATCCGCCTCCTTCAAAGCAGCCAAACCCACGGTCCCACCTACCTTCGACGGGGTAGACTACGATGACAATAAAGCGCTCAAAGCTGCGCAGGATTCGATTATCCGCGAGCAGTGGGTACAGAGCATGATGGCGCGGCTGATCCGCGAGGAGATGGGAAAGTGCTACAACAGGGAGGGCGTGAACCATTTGGAGAAGTGCGGACATCTGCGAGGTGAGATACAGCGCACTGTTTGACATGTGATGGTTCTGGACGCTGATCGGAGGGACAGAGCGGTATTTGCAGCAATTGAAGCATGCGAAGGTTAAGGGATACTTGTTTCAGCAGCAGAATTACATACCCAAGGAATAGAGGAGGTTATGGAAGCAGGAGGTTTGCAAGGATGGGCGCTGTATGAGGTGCGAATTGCGAATGCGTGAATAGAAGCAAAGACTTCAAGACAGTTACAACCACGCCCACAAGGGCCATACGGCATCATAGCAGGTGAGCATCAAGAGGCCAAGGAAAAGAAACAAGACGAACCCCAGCGCGACCGCCTCGATTGCACTTATCCAAGATGTCTCAGAATCGCTGTAAGAGAAAGCTGGAAGAGCAGACCAAACCTCAGACACTGTGAAGCAAAATGGACATTCGAGAGGCCTGCGAAAACTATGAGGCATGTATTAAGGATGGCGTCTGCCGTACTACATGTCTTGCAGTCCAGATGTCTGACGCTTCCGAGCTCCCCATCGAAGTTGCAGGCTAAGTATCCAACAGCAGCGTGTTTGCCGAAAGACAATTGTCTTGCTCCTAACCATCGCCTCTATCACTTGTCTCAACCAGTCCTCCTATCAAGACTATATAACCCACCCGAGGTCATTCATACGAAAACGGCAGGAACAGCAATCTCCACCTAAGCCAACCCCATACTGAGAACCACCACAATCTGAGCAAGAATAGATGCTTAACATGACCAATCTCCTCCGGCGTTCCCTCCTCGCCATCCTACGCTACACACCAACGCTGACCGCCTCTCTCCACTTCAACAGTACCGCCAACAGCCTTTCCCTCTCTTGCGCGCTCTTAGAAGCAGCCCGTCTCTGCAACCAACTCCTCGAACACCTCATCTCCTTCGACGCAGCAGGCGATCGGACACGCTTTTCCATCTCTCGATTCGAAATCTTCCGCGCTGGGGTATGCAACAGAGCATTCGTAGAGCTCTACGAGAGGTTCAACGAACAGGCGATTGATGGGAATATGGCGGCTAAAGAAATCTTTTTGCGGGATGGACATTTTGAGTTCTTTTGGAGGGCGGTTGACAGGGATGTTAAGGCGTTGTTGAAGCATCTCTAAAGATTTAAGAATGTCGGATCAGGGTAAGACACGAGAGATGAGGGTTGAGAGGATAACGGGAAGGAGGTCACTTTTTGGTGGCGATTCGCTAATAAGCGTCGTGTATTGAGTGTCAAACCCTGCACTCATCTTGTACATGATCGTCATTTTCTCGTAACGTACTCGTAGCAGGGCTCCATGCGCAAGATTCAATGTAGAGGAAACTCCATCGCCATGCTGGAAACACGCCCATCTATGCCGAGACCTGCTGCTCGTACCATGCGGGCTCCTCACGCTGAAGCATCGTGGTCACCTTCTCCACTTCCTCTGCCAGGCTCTGCACATTGGCATCCCATGCCCGCAAGTCCATCTTCACATTATTGTGGCCGCCCTCTTTGGTATTGAAATGGATGGTGCCGGCAATCTGGTCGATGGATCCGGACAAGCGCTTGCTTTCCATCATGCCAGAAGCGTACATCTCCGCTCGGTCGGCGTCGACGCCTAGCAAGGCGCCCAAGTCCTGGAAGGTGATATTGGCATAGATGCGAGATACTGCGAGGAGATTGTGCTCCAAGACGGCCTTGTCCAGCACTGTGCTGCCGTCTGAAGTCTTGGCAAGTTGGTGTTCCTTGAGGCCATTGGCAAAGGCAGCGACTTCTGAGGGAGAGAGTAGCCGGTCGAGGAAGATCTTCTCTAGGATTCCGTACTCTGGTGTATTGGTGGCACGGTCGTCTTTATAGAGCTTAGCTAGTTGCTTGCCACGTTGAGGGCCCGCTGGAGCTAGGACAGCGCATGTGATGGCGGCAGATAGAGCTTGTAGCCGCTCCTCGGCATCAATGACGGCTTCGTTGGACAACAGCAGATATGCAGAAGAGGCGTCGAGGAAGTTGCGTTGTGAGTCGCTGATTCGTGCCTGGGAGAGTTGGAACTGAAGGCGCGTGGTGTTGTCCGTGACGGTATAGTAGATCTGCTTGATCTTGTTCAGGTATGTGAGTGCATTGGTCGGATCTTCTTCCTCGAGGTAGCAGCGACAGATGCGCATCCAGACCCTCGCCTTCTCGTCATCGCTCACGGAGCGTTGTGATGACTCGAGCGTGATGGTCTGCAGGGTCTTGGCGGAATTTGTGAAGTCTTCGTCTGCTTCATAAGCGTCGGCCAGGGCAAACTTGAGCTCGCTGTCCTGCTGCTCGAATGAGATGATCTTAGGAGCAAGTAGCTGCACGATCTGAGTTCTATCCGAAGTTAGCCAAACACTAATTCACAAGGTATGATCCTTGTAACCTACCCTGCGCTAATCTTCACATCATTGTCTGGAATCTGGCGGTACTGCTCGATGAATGCGGACAACAAGGGCCGGGAGTTGATGACTCCGATGCTGTCGGATGTGGTTGATTGAACGTAGGCGATCAGGTTATTCTCGGAGTTCTCGGCCTCTGCGATGATGCCTTGAAGTACGCTGTTGTATTCTGCCGCTCGTTGTTGCGTGGGAGCTCCCTCGAGCTCGCTCAACCGAGACGCCACGCTGCTGGAAGCCATATTGACGATTGACGTGCTCGTGTAGCTTTGACAAGTCGAATACGAAAGTAAGAACGGCAAGGACTTGATGCCCTGCTCGGCTTTGGTTGTTTGTCTGACGCTGAGCTCAATGTTTGATGGAGGCTGCCAGATGCAAGTGTTGTTCGATTCGCCCAATCGGGACTGTCTCGCTTATGTCAGCATACATCCATTCGTGACTCTCGCACGGACGTGATACTGTAAACTTAATCTGACGTACGTCAATACTGAAATATTGTCGTAATGCGCCCCACGCGCGTCGATCAACCAGCATTACTCACGCATCGTTATATTTCCAGACATGCCGTTCCCATTTACTCTCCCGACCACCAGCTCCGTCTTGCTCCCGGACTTCTACGACAGCGTAACGCACCCATCGCTTCCCTTGACGGCAACGACCCGTCGGAGCGTGCTGAAAGATGCCTTGAAGAAGCACAAAAGGCTGCAGCCGCACGCGAAGGAGTCCGACCTGCCAGCAGTACAGGACGCGGCCAGCAGCTACCTACCGTACTTACTGGCGCTCAATGCGGGCTCTGGCTATCGAGATGTCGGCCCAGAGAGGCTTGACGTAGAGGTCAAACGACCGCTGGAGGTCGAATGGCGCAGTACGCTCTCAGTTGCGCTGCCGGGACGAGATACAGCACGCCCGAAGTTGACCGGTCTGCATCATGAGATTGCCTTCTCACTATCGACTCTGGCATATGTGCATTCACTTCTAGCACGTTCGCAGTTGAGGTCGCTCTATGGCGCCGCATCGCTTTCCAACGACCAGCGAACTGCAGCTGTCGCGGCGGCGATGAAGCACCTGCTAGAAGCGCACAGCATCCACACCTATCTCCTGTCTTTGCCTTCGATCTCGGCTTCAAAAGATGCGCCAGTTGATATCCAGCCATCTACGATTTCGGCTCTGGCTTCGCTCGCACTGGCTGAAGCCACAATCATCGTTGTAGCAAAGGACGATCCTTACACGGCAGCTGTGGCAGATGACAGGGACCAGAGCAACAAGGATTGGATGTATAAGGCTCCCTCAATACCCAAAGTTCGAGCTCATCTCTACGCTCGGATATGTCTTGCCGCAGGAGAACATGCAACGAACGCCAATAGTTTACTTGCCCGCAGCGGAGCAGGTAGAGTCAATGAGGATCTGGTCAAGTATGCTACTGACTTGCGCAGTACTGCGAGAGGTAAAGCAGCGCGATTCCTCGCGATTGATGCTGAAATTTCTGGAAAAACTGGAGAAGGCCTCGCCTGGCTGAAAGGTGCTAAGAAGGAGCTTGGTCTCTCTGTGGATCTCGAGGATGGTAAACGAAAAGGCTTCAAAGGTCTGAAACAGAGCTGGCAGGAACGACGGGAAGATCGCAAGGTCGAGAAAGGCAGAGAATGGGGAATGGATGCCGGCCGTTTCGAAGAAGCTAGAGTCGTCGAGATGCTTGAAACCAAATGGGACAGGGAGAACAGCACCATCAACATCCAGAACATTCCTCCCTTTGAACCACTGCTGGCGAGCATGCCTTCTGGAAGGGAATACCACACCCCACAGACGTATACACCTCCAACGCTGGCTCCAGACGTATTTGCTAGCATGCGTGCCCCTCCCGAACCTGAAGAAGCTGCTTTCCGTGGAAACGAGGAGGACAGCGGAGGCGAAGATGCATATGGGGGATCAAGCGAGCCTGTAGTCGGTGCGTTCCCGGGCTCTGGCCAAGAATACGGACGCAGCGCTACAAGTAATAGCTACTACTAGGATCGAAAATCCGTTCTGAGAGCGATCAGGCAAAAGAGCGCTCCTTCGAAGCACCATTCTGCAGCCTGCAAGATGTACTGTTGCAGACGCGTTGCTCGCACGCGCTCTTCTGCCGTGTCGCGAGGCTTATCTATCTCGGATCCGTTTGCCTCATTGCGCTTCTCAGCCGAACAAGGGTCTCGAACGTGAGGCCGAGCGAACTTCGTACAAGCAGCAGATAAGCTATCGATGCGTAAGCACTTGGCTACAAGACACAACGCAGCTTGATTGGTGAACACGTTGGCCGAAAGCTAGCTATCGACTCCTACGTCGCCACTTTCATTCAATGGCTGGGCATACCGCATTGGGCTCCGCGTGGGTTAGATCTGCGACACTGCATGTTGTCGCGCAACAATGCCTTGCAATTGTTGCCGCCCGGAGCCGCCGACGTCAAATATTCAGCCATGCGACGATCTCATAAGTACCTTCTGTTCCCCTCGTTCTGCGTGCTGTTTTCTCATCCATGCTGGCTTGACGAGGTGCGGCCAAATCTGAATTAACACAAACCCACAAGTATCATAGAATAATGGAAGGACGGAACGCGAGCATGATCTCCGCGGATGCCAGAAGACGAAGCGTGAACGAAGAGCCCGTCACATCCGTTCTAAACGGCGGCGACATACCCATTAATGATTCTGGAAAAGAATGGAATGCCGACGAAGAGGTTCTTGCAGCTCTGGGTTACAAGCCTGAATTCAAGCGTGAATTCAGCCTCTGGACTACATTCTGCGTTAGCTTTGCTGTGCTGGGCCTACTACCTTCATTCGCGACGACGCTTTACTATGGAATGGGATATGCTGGAACCGCTGGTATGACGTGGGGATGGCTCGTCGCTATGATCGGTATCCAGTCCGTCGCCGCTTCGATGGCGGAACTGTGTTCTTCCATGCCCACCTCCGGGGGGCTATACTATGCTTCGGCCGTTCTGGCGCCTGAAGGCTGGGGTCCTCTCGCTGCGTGGATCACAGGCTGGAGCAACTGGCTCGGACAAATTACCGGTGCTCCATCGGTGAACTATGGAACAGCCGCCATGATCCTCGCAGCTGCTAGCATACAGAATCCGAAGTACGTGATGGAACTCTAGCAAACGTTTTAGAATCGATGCTGACCTTACCTGCCACGAATAGCTACGTTCCAACGGACTACCAGACCTACCTTCTGACTGTTTTTATCATGCTGATCCATGCGTGCATGGCCAGCGCGCCCACCAAGTGGATAGCCCGTATCAACAGCGTGGGAAGTACCTTCAACATCATTGCGCTTGTTGTCGTTATAATCCTTATACCAGCTGGAACCAACCGCGAGGAAAGGGGTCTATCGCGCTTCACGCCTTCGAGCGAGGTCTGGGGAGATATTTACAAAGGAACGGACTACCCAAATGGAGTCTCGATCTTGATGTCCTTTATCGGAGTCATTTGGACAATGGTAAGCACACAGAAGTCCGAAATACGAGGAGACCATCACCAATGCTACCTTACTCATCATAGAGCGGCTACGACAGCCCCTTCCACCTCGCGGAGGAGTGCAGCAACGCCAACATCGCCTCTCCGCGCGCCATCTTCCTCACCTCCGCCGTCGGAGGCACCTTCGGCTGGTTCCTCCAACTCGTCGTCGCCTACACCGTCGTCGACATCAGCGCCTGCCTCGACTCCGACCTCGGCCAACCCTTCGCCGCCTACCTCATCCAAGTGCTGCCGCAGAAAGCCGTCCTCGCCGTCCTCTCCCTCACCATCATCGCCGGCTTCGCCATGGGCCAAGGCTGCATGATCGCCGCCTCGCGCGTCACCTTCGCCTACGCCCGCGACGACTGCTTCCCCTTCTCCCACGTCTGGAAGACCGTCAACCCCCGCACCAAAACCCCCGTCAATGCCGTCTGGATGAACACCTTCCTCGGCTGCCTCATGCTCCTGCTCATCTTCGGGGGCTCCGTCACCATCGGCGCGCTGTTCAGCATCGGTGCCTGCGCCGCGTTCGTGGCCTTCACCACCCCCATCTTCATCCGGGTGTTCTTTGTGGGCAATCGTTTCCGTCCGGGACCGTGGAACTTGGGACGCTTCAGTATTCCCATCGGGGTCGTGGCGAGTGCGTTTGTTGCTCTGATGGTGCCGATTCTCTGCCTGCCGAGTGTGACGGGAAGCGATCTGACTGCTGATGGGATGAACTGGACTGCCGTGGTCTATGGAGGGCCAATGGTGCTGGTCATGATTTGGTGGCTGGTCTCGGCGCGCAAATGGTTCAAGGGTCCAAAGGTCAACCTGGGTCATCTCATGCATGGACGTGAGACGGAAGGTCTAGTGCTAGAGGGCAAGACGCCGTCGCTGGAGCGGAGTGGTAGCGTGGCAGAGTCGGGAAAGCAAGCCGGTGATGTGAAAGAGACACAACTGTAGACATGTTCGTGGCATGTAATTGACAATCGACAGTCGGGCGTGTTTGAATACTGTGCTTGCATTGCCACTAGTCTCACAATCTCTGGCTACTAAACAGACTCCCTTCAAGCATGCAGAATGTCAAGCATGCCATGGGTATCAATCACTCTTCTCAGCCAATCCATCAAAAGCAAAGCAAATAGTCAATCCTCTCATTGCATCCAGCAAGGTACTACTGCACAACACCGTCAAGGCGCATCCTCGTCGACCCCGGAATCCTCGGGCACATCATCAATCGACAACAATTCGTGCGGATACAAAGCAGTGCCTTTCTTGTCCTCCACATCTGCTGCAACTTTGGAATTCGGGCTGATGCGGGCTTTCTTACCAGTGTCTGCCGGCTGCTAACCGTTTGCTGGCTCTGCTGCGAGGTGCTCAGAAGTCGAGATCGTCGGCACCCGCTTGCGCTTGTTGTCTTGATCGGGCACTGGGACGCACGTCAGCATCAACCTCTGGGTCCGAATCGTCTCCAATGCCCCTAAAAGCAAGTTAGCCATTTGGTCTCACTAGTCTACACTCTAGACTTACCAAGCTCGACCACCAGCGCGAGATCCCATGCCATCCCCAGCAGTCTTGTATATCTTCTTACCACCGGCGGGCGAATTGTCCGTCATGCTATAGTGCGCACCAAAATCATCACCTCGGCGGCCGTTGTTGGCCTTGACTGGATTGCGCGTAGAAGCGCGCTCGTCCTCCATGATGGGGTCTTGGTAGAGACCCATGCCCTTCTGTCGCTGAAAGGACTTGGCCTTCGCAGGAGCAGGAGACTCGTCGACGAGCTCGAAGTGTGGATCGGCGTCTTTGCGGGCGGCATGAACAATTGGTCGCTTGGGTGGGCTAGCCGGGTCGTCCTAGGGAGGGATTAGACCTGACCCGTCTGCATGCTCCGAGCATGAACTCACCTCATCGACTCCGGCACCCCACTGCCGCTCATCGTCACGTCTATACTTCTCGGTATGCTTTGGTGGGGTCGCGAAGTCCTCGAAACTGAAACTAGCCCCCTGCTGGTTGTTGCTCTTACCGCTTATGGGTCGATCCCCCTTTGGCGCATCCTCGCCATTGCCGAATGCGAAGTGCTCATATTTCTGTCCGTAGGTCTTCTTCCGCACAGGCGATCTGGCAGGCTCTTCAGCCTCATTCTCGTCGAAGAGGCGGTTACCAGAGAAGTGCTTGCCCGCACCTGCCTTGAGGATGGTGCCGTCAGTCTTGTGAGGCGATGGGCTTCTAGCCGTCGACCCAGCGGCTGCGGCAGTCTCCTCGCTGGCAAACAGCTCACCGTAGTCACGCGGACCAGGCTTGGCAGACTTGACAGGCTCGTATTTGGGACCGGAGTAGGAACGACCCTCATTGGGGTCGCGCTCCGCGAAGAGGGCGAGGCTGGCATGTGGATCGCGAGTGACGGAGACGCTGTCGCGCTTGTGATGGTCCCTAATCACAACTTCGTTCGGGTTGCGCGCTGACAATGGCGCTCCGTTGCTCTGAGCGTTTCCGCTCTGGCCGCCCGATTTGACGCTAGCGGTGACAGCTTCAACCTGAGCCTTGCCGTCACGGATGGGCCAGTTCCTTCCCGTCTTTCCAATGGCCTCGACCTGCTTGAGGAGACTGCCCTGGTCCCAGTACAGGCGGATCTGCTGGATCTTGCCGTCGCGGTTGTAGGTGAAGACGTGTGTGACGGGAAAGACGACCTCGCGTTCGTCCAGCATGTTGGCATCCATGCCCGGCAGCCAGGCGCCGCCTCCCATGCGAAATTGCAAAGTGGTGAGAGTCTCGATGCAGCAGCCATTGGAGCTCTCGATTGTGTGAAGCACCTTCTCTTCCTTCTTCTCTGCCTGCTTGGCTTGGGCGCTGAGGTGCTTCAGAATGGCGGTAGGCTCGGTGATGGATGTAGTGGTGGTGATGTAGTTGATGGATGCGTCGCTGGCGAGGTCACTGGTGGATGGCGACTGCAGGAAGCGCAGTGCCGCCATGGTGGAAGGATGGCGTGCGCGTTGGCGTAGTCGGTGGTACTGTACGTGTTGGTGTTTGGTGTTGCAGATGCGGGTGTGGACTGCGGAGATGAGGTGGATGCAAGGTGGTGGATGCGATTGAAGGTGCAAGGTGGGGTGGCAGAGGGGCTCTGCCTCGCTGCCCTGTGTTTGTCGTTTGTTGTCGCGAGGGGACGAGACGGTGCAGAACAACCCTTGGAACAGCACACAGCACGCACCTGCAGGGCCAGGGCTGGCGCGCGGCCGACTTCCCCGAAACCTTAGCGCCGACTCCATCTTCTCACATATCTCACCTCGCTTCCATCCCCTCACTTCACTACATGAACCTCACTAACATCCATCGTGACTTCCATGTGAAAGACAACTTGTTCAGCTTTCCGGGCTCCTGGAATTGCCCGCATTGTCCGGCATACTAGCGGCGAGCGCCATGTGCAGATGGCTGTCGTTCCTGCATTAGACGCTGAGGCTAAACCCATGGTTCGCCTGGCGTCCATAGCAACGGAGCCTATTGTATGCTTGGCTGAAACGACGAACCGATTGTCCCCATGCGCTTCTCACACATCGCCATAAGAACAATGTCTCGTCCCAAATGTACCGGCAAAGACAGACACGATCGGCGGTAGCAACCAGGGAGATGCAATTTCAATACGCAAAAACGCTGTAATCACATCGGCATCTGATCGCGAATTGCCGACTTTTCAGCCCTCTCTATGGTAATCTGCAAATTCATGCACTATTGTGAGCTTCCTGTCTTCGATAGCTAAGTCTTGTACCGGCATTCACCTCTGAGGACTCCTTCCCTATGCTTAGAGCGATCGGGCTTCCTTACTCGCCCTCCACAATATCCAAGAAAATCAAGGTTCTCCGGGCGTTCTGGCTGCAGGCTCACCGGGAGTTCTGGCTGGCTCTCCGGAACTTCTTACGAAGATCCATCTCCCCAAAACAATAAACATATTTCGAGACACCCGCGTGCTGGCTTGGATGGCCGTCTCATCATTGGAACTTCCCTCGGCAAGGACCATGTCCGCGTGAAGATGTCAAATGAGTCTGAAATACCACAGTCGTCAAAGTCGTAGGACCCTGCAGAAGGTACAGGTGCGAGTTATAACAAATCAGACGGCTCGAACGATGGGAGCGGAGCAGGCAGTTCTTCTGACCTTGCATTGGACCACCTCTCTTCTATTGCCTCCGCATGCTACTCCAACAAGTTGTCCGCCTGACGACAGACACTAACGCCTTCCAAGCCCATGATCACGTCTATAGAAGAGCTCTCTGGTCGCTCCCATACCGGTCCACCCCAGCGAATCTCGATCTCAGAGAAGCCACCTTCTCCTCCGCAACCTCCTTCTCAGAGATCAAACTCCCCGCCAAAGAAGGCAGATCTCCTACGTTCGGCTTCTTGATCGCTAGGGAAGAAGACGCCACTCTCTCATCGTCCGAAGACGTCGGCGTATCATCCGGCGTCGTCGCGTGTGATAGCGCAGGCGGAGTAGTCGCCGAGGGAGTAGCAGGAGGCGTCTTCTCTTCGGCAGGATACTTCGCCTTCAGAGCACGGAGACTTTCATTCATCTTGCGAGCGGCATTCATGGCTCCTCGACGGCATTCTTCTCGCCGAGCGGAGTCGCATAGTTTTCCGTCGTCTTCGGAGAGCCAGGGAGTCTGGAGGTCGTTAGTAGTGTCCTGTTCTTTCTTCTCGGCCGGCGCCTGACCAGCTTTCGGAAGGTAGTGGTGACGGAAACCTACCGAGCACATGGTTCTCTGACACGGTATTCTTCGAGGTCGTCTTTCGTTAGGGGCTTGTAGTGTGCTTGTTTTCTGAGTTCCGTCGAAGATGGAGCTCAACTCGTTTCCTTCGATGACCGACCTGCGGCAGAGAGACGGATCGTTGGAGCGATGTATAGAATGAAGGAACGAAGGATACTTGCCATATAACACAGCAACCGTGAATGAATCGCATTGTGAGAACAAAGGAGGAGGACAGAGCAGTCCTTGTCTTTAGCGGCACAGAGGCTTGATTTGTCCTTGTGCTTTCGTTTTTTGTTTGCTATGCGTAGTTGCGCAGATTGCTGCGTTGAGATGCCGGGGTAGGAGTCCTGGGATTTTGCTTCGCTGACTTGTGGGCAAACTTTGTGTCCGAATTTGGGTAATCTGTTGTACCTAGATCTCAAGTCAACGGCTCATCTGGCCTCGACACGATTTCCTCGATGGCTCTGCTGCCACGGTGGTGGCAGTGTTGAATGTCTCAAAGAGGTAGCATTCTATACAGACGCGCCAAGCTTGGCGAGTAATCTATCTTCTACACCATCGAGAATATACCGGTGCTCAATGACCTCGAGGTTCTCAATTTCATTTGCGAAGATCTTGTCGGGATCTTCTTGGCCGCCCATGGGGTTCTGGCCCATCTGTGCCTGAGCCATCTGTTGGGTAGCCATTGCGGCAGCTTTGGACAGTTAGCGCAAGCAGTCACTGATCAGGACTTCTCGGAATACGTACCATTGTTGCTTCCCAGAATGAAATTATAGACTGGCTGCAATCCGAACAAGGTGAGGAAGTACCAAGACAAGCTCGACACCCATCTCACGTCAAGATCTCTCGTGCCGACACCAGCTTGCAGCATCTGCTTGAATTGCGGCGTGAGTGGGAATGGCAGCTTCACTGTGGAGTGTGTTAGCACCGCAAAAGCCCATGTATCTCGTATAGTTGCACATACTGATCACGTATCCGGAAAAGAAGGCATTGATCCACCCCATGATCAAGCTCTGGGGCACCATCATGGCGACATTGCCCTTCATCATGCCCATCATTCCCTCCATCATCGCTGGGTCTGACATGGGATTCGGTCTAGCCTTTCCTCTATTCTCTGGATCTGCCAGAAATTTGCCATCTTTTACCCCATCAATGAAGAATTCTTTCCGTCGTTCGAACGCTGACTTGGAAATCTGCTGGTAGTTGTTGCGGAGGTTCTGGGCGCGCATGAGCGAGCGCTGCTCTCGCATCTTTTCTAGGGCTTGCTTTTTCGGCGCCGTTTGGAGGAGAGTGCTCAGGTAATGTCGCAGAACTCCGGTCAGGATCATGACGACCGTAATGGGAAGGAGGATCCAGTAGCTGTTGAAGGTGTCAGTTCGTGAGATGCGACTTTGAACCAAGGGGTGAGCGTGTACAAGAGAGCGGGATCCCGATGGATCTGCTGTTCCACTGGTCCAGCCATGGCGACGGCTGTGCGTAGTCGAAGAGAAGTCTTGATGGTTCTGAGGGGATGGTGTGTGTTAGGGATCCAGGTGGGAGCTTCACATGCTGCGGAGCTTGCCGCGTCGTGCCTGAGGCTCGGTTGAAGCTTGACACATGTAGAAGGACAGCTGGACGAAGTGACAGCAACAGCAATTGCTTTCCAACCACCTCACATCCTGCGAAAGACTTCGATAATTCTACGATGCGACAAGCACAACTCTTCTAACAAATAAGCCAAGTGAAGCTGCAGCACGCACCGCCGAGCATCATGTCCGACTCTAGAATCTCGCCGTACTCCCTTAACGACCTCAAGAACACGACCGACGATGCGTTGGCCAACTACCTTCGAGGACTTTCGTTCAAGCAGGACAATTCAAAACTTGATATACGATTGCTCCTTGGCTACACTGCAGTCATCATAGCAGGTGTTATATTCGGGTTGGACTACAAGTACGGATGGGAAGCCACCAAGACATTGACCGCAGTTGCGGTTGCGGTCTACGGCGTACTGAATAGTGCTCTCACACTCTGGATGTGGTTCGTTGAGAAGGGACTTGTGTTTGAGGGCGAGCGAGACGGCAACAGGGTGAGCATGTGCATTGAAGGCAGCATCGAGTATGAGCGCAGCTGACGACTCGAAGATCTCGATATATTCAAAGACAAAGAAACACGACCCTACCTACTACATCACCGTCACGGCCGTCAAGCCGACCTCAACGCCCAGCGAATGGCAGATCCGAGCCCCCTTTACGACCTGGTTCACACGCGACGGGTACTTCGTAGCCAGACCGTTCCAGCAATGGCTCGCGACAAGCATTGAGGCCATTGGGAATGTGGATACCAAGAACGCGAATAGAGATGAGCGGGACGAGCTTGCTTCTCCGTCAGACCATCACGTCTTGCAAAGCAACGGCGGCGTGGAGGCAACAGGGTTGGAAAATACCGGCAAAGCCAGCAAGAGGTCAAAAAAGAAGTGATTGAACTGGCTTTGATGTGACATATTAGCGAATTTGAGCCTCGTTCGGTCTGTAGCGACACGAATATCAAAAGGTGTGCTGAAGGCCATGGGGATTCAATTGAAAAACTGCCTGCCATAACATGTCAACGGAAACTCCTTGCAGGAAGGTCATCCCCCACCCTTCAGTGCGCCTTGTCAGAGTGATTGTTGCACGGGCACTTGAGAGATTCTGGTCACATCGAGATGCACAAGATGTTCAGGTCCTTCATATCTCAGGCGTGCTTTGAATGAGCCTGTTGTGTAGATCAAATACGGCGGACAACGTCTATAGAATGTTGCGTACCTGAGCTCTATCCTCTGCCCAACTGGCGGCTCTTTCAACTGATGCCTGGGGCAGCACTATTCTGCCACCGCCCTGTCACATGACTTTGGAGATGATACTGCTTCAACCAATTGGAGCCGTCGAGCTGGAAGCACTGACCTTCATCGGGAGCTCCCGAGAGTTCCTTGGCATGCGACCAAATCTCAACAAACCAACTACTCGGACAAGAGAGCGCCAAGAAATGACATTAGCTAGCGCCCGCGCTTCCCGAGCGTCTCTGAGCCAATGAGAGCGCGTAATCCGGTCTGACGGCCAAATTTGACGGCCTTCAACACGGTTTTCGCCATGGCGGATGTTCCAGCGACGTCGCCCTGCTCTGAAATTCATGTCCAAGATACTATAGATGATTACCGAGATGGTGCTCCAAGTCTTCGGGCGTGCGCTCATGGAGTTGTTGGCCGCCGGGCTCTTCTTTGGCTGACCCAAGGTCATGAAGCCAGCGGTGCAAGCAGCCCACTCACACAAGCACACACAAGCCATACGACTACCGACCACCTTACTCTTCAACACCATTACACGATAGTACCTAGTAGGCAAATGAGAGGGACAATACCAGTAATAACATCGCGCTCCAATGCAACGACGATCATCACCACTGCGCCGATCCTGCTTATGTAAACGGCTCCGCACCAACATATCTCCAAACTTCCTTCCCTCGGCTCTCAAAAACAGACAGCATTGAGTAGGTGCAGTGTTTCCTTTCACCAACATCACTTCCACAGCATTGCGGCGTTCGGCGTTCCTGAATTCTCTCCTCGCGTGTAACCCGCAAGATACCAGAAAGTCATGGCCAGCATACGACCCAGAATCCTCTCCCGTCTCTCGGCGCCTTCACGGCTGAAGAACAATAACATGGTATTCAAAAGACAATTCGCCAAAGGCCACGACATCGAGAACATGCTCCAACAGAAGTCCTCCTGGGAGACGTATCCCGATTCCATTCGAAAATTAGCCGTTTTCGCCGAACACGCCAGAGCCCACAACTATCAAATCCCCCTCCTCTCGAAAGCCCAACAGGGAGACTTTGACCAAGCCCGAGCATATCACGTAGCAGCCGCCATCCGTCAGCTCCGTGAAATGAACGGCGAGGTCATCGCAGGCCGCAAGATTGGATTCTCGAATAAGAATCTCTGGCCAAAGTACGGGATTCAAGAATCTAATTGGAGTTATATGTATCAGAATACTGTCGTTGATCTGCCTGAGAAGAGTGAGCTAGGGGAGGGCAAAGTTGTAATGGCAAACATCAGCCATATGTGGGCGTTGGAACCACGGATTGAACCGGAAATCATTTTTGGACTGAAGAGGCCTGTAAATCCGAGCATGAGCGATTTGGAATTTCTTGGTTGTATTGACTGGATCTCGCATGGATTCGAGGTCGTTGCTTCCATATTTCCTCATTGGAAGTTTACGGCTGTGGACTGTACGGCTGCGTTTGCTCTACATGGCTTGCTGCTTGTTGGTCCGAAGCAATCTCTTTCAAGTCCGGGGCTTATGGGCGACAAACTACTGGAGAACCTCAAGAATTTCAACGTGGAACTTCAAAGGAATAAGGAAAAGGTGGCAAATGGCACTGGAAGCAATGTTCTTGGCAGTCCGATTCTTGCTCTGCGACATCTGACGGAGCTTTTGGCCAAGGACGAACACAATAAGCCGCTCCAGGCTGGAGAGGTCGTTACTACGGGCACATTGACGGATGCAATGCCTATAAAAGACGGCGATCACTGGTCTACCAAGGTGGACGGTATCAATCTCCCTGGACTAGAGGTCACGTTCAAGTTGCAGTGAGGGTTTACTGTCCCGCTAGCTTGAGAAGAACAAGATACAAAAACCAGGGCAGGTTCACGGCGAGTCATAAAACAGCAAGCGATTGATCCTGCCCGTCGAGAGACACTTCCCTTCAGGAGAGACGCTCTTCGAATCTACCCGAGCTGGCCTAGATCTCTCGCTCCTGGCCCTCGCGCCTCTCGTGGAACTCAATCTCGATACTTGAAATACCAAACGACCACGGTCTCCCATCAGAAGCCCTCGGTTCAAGTTCAACATGTTCACCTCACTTTCCCGTGCCCGAAAATACTTCGGGAATTCTGCCGAAATCGGCTTCACATAATCTCCAGGACCCCAGCACGCGCCGCTCGAGTATATATTGATCGCTTTACCGCTGTGAATCTGCCAGGCATGAAACGCGATCTCGAATCCTGGCGATACAGGGTGCGATGAGAGCCGCGCTCTCCCAACAGAAGACCCATCGCCATAGTTGAGGACAAGTTGATCCTGGATCGGGGCTGGAGCGGGTAACGAGGGCCGGATAGTCGACAGCCAGAGAAGCGAATTTCCAGCTGCACTGAATTGATGTGCTGTTCTGCGCACGGCAGCATCAGGCTGGAATAGCCCTCGGACTCTGGAACCAACACTTGCCGCACACAACTTTTTGCGCCGACACTTGGAGATTTTAGAGCATGGTCGAAAGAGGGACAGCGCAGAGTTACAGGCTTATCGCATGTGATGCTGGTGTTGGGTCGAAAACCAAGGGCTGGAGTGCTTGCGAAGCCAGCGAGCGCTACTGCCAGCCGTGTATACCCGCGAAGTCAAAGAGCGGTTCGCATATGTGCAATAAGAGTGTCAGCATATGCTCCGAGGACTCGTCACGTCGTGCCTTATTCACAGAGGCGCTGTTGATCGGCAAGCCGATGTGGAGGTGGCCTATGCCGAGATGGGTGGTCTGATACATTTATTGTTAGCACAGCTTCGCAAGATTCCCACGGTAGAATCTTTCGCTCACCGTAGTGGATATTGAAGAGATGTTAGCAAGAAAGATATGTCAACCATGCAATTAAGAAAGTGGAACAACAACGTGATTCTCAATCAGTGTCATTGTACAAATGCATTACCACGCAGAGGCATTCCATACTATGATTCCGCGAAGTACTGTGCGGTATGTGACGATATGCTGGCTGTCTACTATATGCCTTCTCCCTCACCCCTCACTCTTCTTCAACCTGCTCGGTGTCTTGTCGAGCCTCCTCACACTCCTTCGACTTCCTCAGTGTCTTGTAGAACATGCTCGGTGTCTTGTCGAGCCTGCTGCGCGTCTTCTAGAGCCTGAACGAAATCAACCCACTCCTGATTATGCGTCGGAAGCAGGGCCTGCAGCACGTAAGGCTGGGCCGTCTCTGCGTTCCCCTATCGCGGCCTTTACAGTTCCCGTTGCACTTGCTATTGCCGATGCCGTTAAGGTTGCCACCACGGGTGTTGGTCTAGGCATCTGTAGTTTCGAGGGTGGCGTTACCATTCCTCTGAGCAACAACTTGGGCAACTGGGAGTCCGGTACTACTAAGCGACTCTGCTTCAAATTTGCTCGAGCTCGAAATCACGCCGCCGCACGAGCCACTCACTCTCACCTACACCAGGCTGACACACTGTTCAAGTGTCTCGGAGAGACTGTAAGTCCGGGATTTCGTGAAGAGGCGGTATATACCCTGGACGAGCTCGTCGTCCTCGCTTCTGTCAATCAAGACAAAAAGATCGTGACGTTGCCTTGGCCCTCGAGTCTTGGGTAGGCTCGGTGCTCGGGTCAGGAATCGGGGTGTCGGGTTGATGGGCACTCGAGTCCTCGGTAGGCTCAGTGCTTGGATCTGCGGTCGTGCTGTCGGCTTTTCCGGCGACCACGACTTCGTTGTAAGGGTCGCAGTTGCCCCATGGTGTCGGTGGCGACAGCGGTGCTGGTTGGATTCGGTGGCATAGGCGCGTCGGCAGACGTGTTGTTGTCAGCCATCGTGGTTGACATGTGAAAGTGAAGTCCGTGCACCAGGGACATCAAGGATAGTCCATTTCCTGTGCGTGCCACCCCTGACTTTGCCTGTTACAATCCATGTCTCAGGCTCGAGTGACGAACGACGAGCTTGTCGCGAAGGGCTGCCTTTGCTGGTCAGCATGCGCTGCCGGGAAAGACGAAGCAAAAGTGCCAATTCACGTGTACAAACTTCCATGCCACGGAGACGTCTCGCGCGTGCGTGCCCTAGTGATCTATCGATTGCGCGTGAAAAGGCTGAAGCATTCAAACGCCTTTACATGCTTTAGTCAATCTGGGTGTATACTGCCATTGGGAATGAATCTTAGAACCAACCACGGTTGAATTTCGTAGCACCGATACCTCTCTGTCGTCATCTCTCCGTTCCTGACTAATGCAGCAAGTACCATGTTCAGCGGCATATTCTCTGCTCTCGAGCTGGAGTCGATTATACAGCAAGCATGTACGCAAACGACTACCTCCTCTTCAGGCGCGCTTCGTGACTTCCTTCTTCCACACCCACTTTCTATTGCGCGACTAGTAGGTGGAGTTACCACACCTTCTAGTCCGCACGAGTCTCATTGGAGATAGGCCTGGGCTACAAACTCCATATCCATTCACACACGACCCGATTTCGCAGGGACAGGGCTCTGTACATAGAGCAATCCGCGTACCGTCGCCAAGAGAGCATCTATTGACTGCATTTTCAACGCCTGGTGCGCTTCTCGCTCTGGGTGGCAATCCGCCACAAGACCAAGCTTTCTCTTCTCGCCCACACCTGACCCTGCGAATCCGAATGCTGGTACCGCCTCCACAGGGCTACCGTCACCGTAATCAATCAATCAATGAAAGAGCATTGCCTGGCTGGCCATTAAGCGAATGGCAGGCCTTCGATGCATATCGTCCAGCAATGTGTTGTCGACGTGAAATGCGCCTGAGAGGACAAAGGGGCATTTGAGTGTGGCAGTCTTCACCAGCATCAAATTTTACAACCTGCTGATGGGTGCTCACATGCTCCAGGAGATCCAGAATCACTCGATGTGTCCGATTAGGCGCCGGTGTCATGGAGGGACATTCGTGGTTGCCGATGATGAAGTGAAAGCTCTAAACGCAGGTCATGGCCACGTTTACCTGTTGCTCCGATGGCAGATCCGTGGGCCGACTTGCAAGTGCAATAGCATTGTAGTAGCACTGTGATCACGACTTAATATAGTAGTAATATTCGCAACATCGAAGTTGGCCGAATCGTCTTTAGAATCAGAAGCAGGGATATTCAGGATTTTGCAATCCATGTCCGACCCCGTGGCTGACCAGAGTGACATCTCAGGGAATATCCAAATTGGGTATCGGGTTAAGGTTCTCTCCCACGGAGTCGCTGTCGGTCAGCTGGGTCCGAGAGGTCTTCGGTCTGTCGCTAGGTAGAGCGCATGGGCGTGGACGTCTGGCGCCCCGGGGCGAATGATTTGCCGCGACAGCAGCTTCATCTCCATGGCACCTCCACCCCGACCTCAGCCACGGTAGAAAGTCTCTTCGATCAGTGGCTGTCGTCAACCAAGCTTGGAGCGTACGAGATGACCGAGAGGAGCACGAGCCGGGCATGGAGCTCTATCTCCGTACAGACCGTTCGCAAGCTTGCTGCGCATAGCATCTCCACGTCCAACGTAACACGTTGCGAGTCTGGCGGCGGCGTGAGTATCTATCCTGTCTGGTCGTTGTAGGCGGAGTATTCAGGTGTCTCGGCTCCCTTTCCATACCCAGGATGCTCCAATCGCTTCGGCGAACAATGGTTGGTGACATGCATAGCTTCCTGCGCCGAATACGATCGAATGGCGAGTTGTCGGGGAACGTCGGCGAAGTAGGGTTCGGTTCCCGCTTCGGCACTCAAGAGGGCATCCGTCCAGACGATGAGTTGCACGGTGGTGTTCGGAAGTCCCATGTTTGCCAACCCGCCGCGTAGGCTGATCATTCTGCTCGAACGTTAGTTAGCATTCATTCATTACGTGGCCCGGCTTTTTTTTCAGGAACCTTGCCTTACCGTTTCTGTACCGGCCTATGCACGCCGTGCGCGAGCTGACGATTGCCATAGATGTGCTCGTGGAGAGCGATGCGACCCACCGCGAGGATGACGGGCGTGCTCAGGGACCTCTCGGGATCGGCAACGGCTTCTTTCATGGCCTCTACGGTTTTGTATCGCAGCCATAGAGCGGCTTCGACGGGGAAGAGGCCTTCAGCGACCGGGATGCCGCTTGCCAGGAACAGAGCAGAGTAGAACAGCGCAGGCTCTTAAAGACAGGTCAGATGTCTACTCTTCTCGAGCGAAGTCATGCATGATACACACACCTTGGAGCTCTTGGCGTCTTGACCAAATCGTATACTCGTCCAGTTCACTCTTTGTTGCTTTCAAGACTCTTATGCTTCGCGCGAAGACGACGTTGTACCAAAAGGATATCAATTTGCCATACCAGTCTCTATGACGTACGGGTTGCGTGTCGAAAGGATCTCGCATGCTAGCATCGAGAAAGGCAGGGTCAGGCAATGCATATTCGAAGGCACCTGGCGAAAGGGATCGACTGCTACGATTGCTCTGGATAGAAGAAGCCCGCGCCCGTCCTCGTCTCACAGGCAGAGCAGCGCGTTTGCGGGAGATGTTTGCGGTACCGGCAACCAGTGAGGTGTGTTGTTGATGTAGCGGCGAACCCCGTCTCCGCTTTCCCGATGTAGACGTGGTCGAGGAGAGGGTGGAAGTGACGGAAGGTCTTCTAGACGGCCCATTGCTGCTGTCTTCGGCGCTACGCAACCTCCGCAAGGCTACCTCTTGCTTGGCGGTGCCTCGGGGAGCGACGCGGTGACTGTATGCAGTGGCCTGGGAGCGCACGACCTTGCGGGAGGTCCTCTTCTGATGCTCGTCCTCATCGCAGTCAAAGTTGACGAAGACGAAGTCTGGACGTTGAATTGATTGGGCCTCTCCGAGTCGGCTTGCAGTCTCGATCCTCTCCTGGTCGTAGTCGGCATTGGCAAACACGAAGTTCGGCTCCGTATTCATGGAGAAAGCTAAGCATTGATGGCTGACGGTCTACTTCAATCTGCGTCGTCAATGGAGATTTTGGGGTGCTCTCTAGCACGGTACTGCCGCTTAATGTGATTACTAAGAAGCTGCGGTGCCAAGTGCTAGCTGATTGTTCTCTTTCAAGAATGGTACATTGCGGCCCGAGGGTATTGTGTCTGACCTGTGTTGCGGCCTAGGTACCAACTTTCTGGGAATGGGTCGGGTCGTGCAGAAGGAGCCGGTTGATGAGACGGACGGGTACACGGTAGGCAGGCATTCGAAGGGACATATGGCTGTATGCTTTCATAGCGCTCGTCATCTCCTTCTCGTACCTTCGGAGCATCAAGTGAGATGGGGTCAGGACGCACTGCAGCGGAAGGCGCAGTTAGTGTCCGCAGCCCTGCTGAAAGATGCAACCCACTCACTGCTCGGTCACTGCCGTTCGTTCCGCAGGCATTGACGAGGTCGATGAGAGAAAGATCATCTCACATCTGATGCATGCACGATCAAATCGCCGGATGACACTTGCAGGAGAGATCAAAGCGCACAATTCGCGAGCACTTCCCAATGCTCTCTCTCCTCTGAAAGAGCAGGACTGGGGCAGCTGTGAACCACACACCATACCCTCCAGAACCCGAGCATCGCCGAACTCCTGCTCTCAAAGCCTTGCGCAGCGGCGAGACCGTGTGTGTCATTTAAACCAACCAGGGAAATCACCAATCAATATCCATCCATAGAAATTATCGTCCTAGGGCATAGAGATCATCAACTCCAGTCTCGAGATGGATTATTTAGAGGCAAATTGCATACAGAATGCTATACATGCCCATACCAAGCCAAGGTGTCAAGTTCAAGTTCAACTTCATCTCAGCACAGTCAGGGTGAGAGAAAAAGCACGTTCCATGCCTTGGCAGTCGGTCTGTCTCAAACCCGGTCGGGGCCGGTTGAACCGGAATGAAGCGATATATCGGTTAATTTGTTTCCAGGGGAATGAATGGGAATGCTCGAGCCCACCATGGCGGTCTCATCTCATCTCATCTCATTACTTTCGAGCGAAGGTGTGCCGCTGGGTCTGAGTAGCCTTTGCTGCGGCTCACGGAAAGAATAATGTTGATTGAGCTCGTCGTGGTGGTGGAGACATGCAGTGGGAGAGGGAGAGGGAGAGGGAGGGAGTCTTGGCATGTCGTCAACTTTCCGCGGGATGTGAGCTTGCGTGGAGAGCGAGGCAAAAGCAACACTCTGCAATTGTTGTTCTCACCTCTCGACGGGACGCGTGGCACGTCGGCCTGCTTCTCCTCATCAAAAAACCTGAAACACTGATGATGATAAGAATGTGGAGCCCGCAGCTTGCATGTGAGATGGGGACCTGTACCAGTGCCACCTATCGGTGATCTTTGTTTGGTACATCCAATCATGAGAACTCGTCCTAACTCTGCAAATTATCATTGTTGTTCAACAGGAATGCAACACACATCATCAGGGGACAGCAAAATTGTTGTTGTTGTTGTTGTTGTTGTTGCAATTCTAGCAAGAGAAGAAGTAGTCAATAGTAGCAGCGAACGACGGACGGATATACGCCTTGCCATCATCCCTGATGATCCATCCTCCTGATCAGCTCGCTCGCTCGCTCGCTGCGGCGAATCGAATGTGCCAGTAGCTCATAGCGTTACATTAAATGACTTTCGTCGCTGCTTTGTGTCCCGTTTTCGTTCGGTCGTTCGGTCGTAGAGAATGTCATGTGCAAATTGGAATCGTTGAATGGCAAGCTGTATAGTTCCACGAAGCTGCAGGGACATGTGATGTGTGGCGGAAGTAATGGCAGAGGGTCGAAACACTGGGAGCGCGCGAATTTTAACACTCGCCGAGACGCCACCGACAACGCTACGGAGAGATACCATGGCGGAGGGAGAAGGGCGGAGGGAGAAGATGAGAAGAAACTGTGAGGTAGGCAAAAGATTTTTCCTGTCCTTGCGGGTTTTCTTCTAACCCTTGACGCTTTTTCAAATTTCTCTACTCATGTTTCCGCGCGTGCAGGCCATGCAGTTCCAAGTAAGTACATGCAATGCAGTTCATTCCGCCGTTCCCAGCCACTGCCAGTGACCTATTACTATGTATTAATCGTGCCCGGTCGTGCTGTGGGCCGTGAAATCAAACAAGGATCGTATTCACATTGAAAGTCATTTGGGTTGGTTCCTTCGTATCCCCACAGGATGTGGAATGAGCCACCTTTCACCGTGGGCGGGGCGCAATTGATGCCTGGAAAAGCGTTTAAAGCATGGCGACGGCGATGGCGGCGATACCGAGAAGGCCGCTGCCAAGGGTGGGGAGAGCGGCGGCGCCGGTGTACGTGGCGACAGCTGTGGCGGCGGAGGTGGCGTTGGCAGGTCCAGTCGAGGCCTGCAACTGCCCGTCTGAGATGGCGGAGACTGGGCGGCCGGATGAAGAGGAGGGACGAGCGGTGGTAGCCTGGATTTGGCCGTCCCTGTTGACACAAGTCATTAATAATTCTGAACGGTGGGGAAAGGCTAAATATCTACCCGATCTGGGAGACAGGACGACCAGAGGAGGAAGGACGAGCGGTAGTAGCCTGGATCTGTCCGTCACTGTAGAAACTGTTAGCTTCGAGTTCATGATAACGCAAAGTGGGTAATGCCTTATTTGCGCGACAGGTCTTCCTGTGCTAGCCGGGCGCGAAGTGGCGATTTGGAGTTGGCCGTCACTGCGGGCACTGTTAGCTTGGTATTCCTCATGATGACTGTCAGGGCACGCACGTTATCTGCTGGACTGGCATAGCAGCCGCGGAGGTGGTGGCTTGGAGCTGGCCGTCCTAGTGATGTGTTAGCATTCGTGAATGAAAAGAGTCTCGGCCAACCGTACCGATATTTGGCTTACGGGCCTGGCGCTCGCACTGGTAGAAGCTTGCACCGGGGGGTTGTTAGCTTGGTTGAGCAACATGTGAGTTTCAATCCGACTGCTTACGTTGGCCGTCCGTCACCTGCGAAACTGGACGGGAGCTGGCGCCAGGGCTCGCCTGAGTCACCTGGCCATCGGCCGCTTGAGAGGCAGAGCCGCTCTGGGAAGCACCGCTGGAACCGGAGGTACCGATAGTCTGGATGTAGATAGGACCGCACTGGCCGCCCTGGCTCTGGTCGTAGAGGTTGTAGAAGTTGCCAGACAAGCACTGGTAGAAGACGGCCTGGTTGCCGAGGACGAGGGAGCCGTTGCTGCAGACGGCCCAGCCGGAGGTGTAGATGGCGTTGGGCTGGAGGATCTGGTCGAACTGGAACTGGTGGTTGGCGACGACCTCGCCGGTGCGGCCGCTCTGGTCCTTGAGGACACCGTTGTTGAGGGTGATCTGGAGCGAGCCGGATTGTCTCTGTCGCGCGAGTCAGTACAACATCCATAATAGAGGGGCTGCGGGGATGGGAGCGACGAACCTCCTCGAGGACATCACGCTTCTTGGTGACGTTGACAACCTGGATCTGGAAGGAGCCGGAGACGGTCTTCTGGCAGGAAGATGCTGGCTGGGTGGTGGGGGCCTTGACCGCCTGAGGGACGGCGTAGGAGAGGCCAGCGAGGGCCAGGGCGGCGAGAGAGTAACGCATGGTTGCTGAGCGATTGGCTTTGGGGAGTATTAATGGTGGTGGGTATTATGGACGACAGTGAAGGCGAGTGCGATAGATGTGCTGGATAGACGCCTGGAGCGAGAGTGAGTCTATGAGGTGGATAGACTGGGATACGGGAGAAGTCTTTTGAGGGAGACGCCGGGGCGGAGATGTGATGTTGTTGTGATGGGGAGAGGGAGAGTGGGTAGTGGAATGCTGCAGCAGTTATGTATTTAAACGCGGGAGTTGTGGTGTGTGGACAGGACCAGGACACGGACCCGGGGATTGGAGCGAATGGATTGGATCCATTTGGGCGAGGGGTGGGGAGGCTGGTAGGCTGGTTCGCTGATGCGCTAGTTCCTCTCCCACAGGGGCCATTGTGCATGGCAGGCGGCGCACCGTCCATAATCCCTCTCAACCCATCGCTGTGCAGTGCACTGTCCCGGGCGAGGTGGTGAGGTAGACTTTTGGTTGACTTTCAGCTTGTCCCGTTCGAGGGTTCGAATGCTGTTCGGCGGCCTGGCAACATGGCTGTATCTTCGGTGAGGCGTTGCCGTCGGCGGCTGCTCTGCCGTTTCTTATTACGAGATGGAGATCGGCGGCGCTGGGAGAGGACGGGAGCTGTTCGTCCAGCGTCCACTTTCCTCACCACGGCTGTCTTGCCCGGCGGAGCGCACACTCTTCAAGTTGCCTCTGGAGATGATGTCGCCGTGCTGCCCGAGCTCGTGTACCCTCGCCAGCCTGCAGCGTGCAGCAGCAGTAGCGACAGCAGCAGCGACAGCAGCAGCAGCAGCAGCAGCAGTCGGGTGGAGAAGTCTCTGCCGCCGATCGCAGGAGGCCAATCCCCATCCCCATCCCCCTTCCACCTCGATGCGCCCCTTGGACGGAGGTGGAACGTTGCCGAGAGTGCTCCTGCTCGTGCTCGCCTGGCAACGGCGGTCTCGTCGAGTCCAATGTCGGCGGTCGCTGTGCAATAATCATGTCAGTCTCATCAGTTCCGCGGTGAGCGGCGCTGTCACGGAAACGGCCGCCACCGCCCCACTCGTCTTGTCGTCGTGCCTGTGGTGCGGTCGTTGCAGGCAAGCACCGACCAGCGTGCGCGACGTCCAGTAGACGATGGACGGTAGAGAACACAAGCACAAGGTTACGATGGGGGGAGTACAAAGTTCATGCAGCGAGGCTAGCTGCATCTCGCAAACCGCATGCGGCTCTGACCTGCGGATATCTGCGATGGCGGGATCATGAGCAGGACCGCCATGCCGAACTGGGGTGGCTGTCAACACAAGACGTGACGTGAGCTTCCTGGCAATAGCGACCATGGCATGATTCACACAACACCAACATCGTATACAACACCACATGGCCGCATGGATATCCATTCCCGGGCCTGCACTGCACTCGCCACATCGAGCCGTCTGTATTCATCAGGCAACTGCGACTAGTCAGTAGCATCGAGAACCCATCATACCACCGCCGCCCACAGCCCGGCCCGCCGCGCGAAAGAGAAAGACTCCTCTCTCCCGTCGACTGTCTGTCCTCTAGCATCACAGACAGCATCATACAAAGCGCCGACGAGCATGCCAAGCCCCGATTCCGCGTCCTGGCTTCGCCTCCTTCGGCCACCATCCGATCAAACCACCAATCACGCGTGTCGAGCCGCGCTCGAGCAAAGCAACATCTCTGCGCAGCCCCCGCCACACGACGACCTCCGCGGCTGGCTGACAGAACAATAGCACAAGCACGCGATACACCGGCATACACTCGAAAGCAAATGTGAAAGCAAGATCCTCCATGCTTCGGTAGACCCGAGCGTGCAGAAGGCCACCCACGTGCCCGCATCCAAAGCTGATATGTGATGATGGAAGAAGCAACTCCACCCTTCCTTCCACCTTCCCTCCCCATCGAGGTGTACAGTGACGCCCGGATCGTCTAGCACCAAACACAAAAGGTATCTCCCTCCTCGTTCGCACCTCTCGGTGGTCCCTGCGCAGGGTCTTCTTGCTTTTTCCATCCATAGAACTCGGACCTTCTCGGTGTGCTTGGTCTGTCCGCCAACAACGGCCGCTTCGCGATTCACTCTCGACCACTCATGATTTCCTCGCAGCCACAGCGATTCACTCTCGACCACTCATGATTCCCTCGCAGCCACGCGCCAGCCAGCCTGCCTGCCTGCTTCGTTGGCACAGAGAGAGCACCTCCTGCCGTACATGTAGCTTTTCCGCCGTCTTCTCGCCCACAAACCCCGCAAATCGCCCCAGCCCCCTATCCTTGTCCACACAAGCGGGTTGGGAGGCGCATAATGCTTTTGCGAATGAGAACTTGAAGCTGGATTCTCCAGTCCCGAACAGGAATAATGCATGACGTCTCTATACCCTCATCATCATTCACATCCTGCAATTCAGCTTCTCCACCAGACAGACCAGCAAACGAGGCGAGAAAGTTCCAAGTTGTCAGTCAGCTTTTTTGCTCCGCTTCCCAAAGCTGCAAGCACGGCTGCCATCTCCCTACCGGAATCTTAGACTTCCGGTGTCGCTTTGTAAGAACCAAGTTGAAGACCAATCACCCAGATAGATTCCATTCAGTGCATTCACCAGCCGAGGGGCTCGCAGATGGGTAAAGGCAGCATTAGTTGGTCCTGCATCATTGACGTGCTATGTGTACATTCTGGTTTACTATATAACAACACCATCGATCGATCGCATCCACACTCCGAATAATCCGATGCTGGCGTGTCGAAACAGCCGATTGCCGTCCGTTCGATGCCACGAGCCCTGAAATGCCGATGGGATATCAGTCTGGCGCATTTCATCCTTGATTGCCCATTCTTATTCGCTTTTTTTTCCGTGACCGACCGAACTATGCCTCGCCCCGCCTCGCCCCGCCCATATCAAGAAAGCCAACCGTGCCCATCCATACCCGATGATATATCCCCGATGATACATCCCCTTTGCGCCGCCGCTGACCCGAACGCTTAACGCTGCAAGATTGCAAGACAAAAAAAAATGTCGAAGCGAAGCGGAGGTGGATATCATGTGCAACCAACAGCGAAACAGTAGCAGGCTGAAACACGCTCGTGTCGCGCCCGCCAGCCAAGTGGGCATTTCGCATTGCCTCGCAGTGCTTGTAGTGTAACATTGCGAAACAATCAGTCCTCAGCCAACAGGCCTACTGACCGAGCGCGCCGGCTTGATGTGGGAGCGAAAAGATGCCTTGCTTGCCAGGAGGACTAGGCTTCTTGACGTTGCCGTGCGCGTCGACAATGGGGAATCGCGCTCGGCGTTCCAAGTCGTCGAGGTCCATGTGACTGCGAATGTACTTGTCCTGGCTGTTGTCGGGCACGCTGTAGTCCCAGCTGGTCCACTGGCCTTGCCTCAGCGCCGAGAAGCAGAAACGTCGCTGGCGTTGGCGCTTGAGCACGTCCTGCGTGATGGCGTCCATGTCCCATTTCGCTCTGGCTTCGGCGACGAAAGCATCGTACACCTTCTTCGTCTCGGAATCAGTGCTGGTAGCCAGATTGTTCAGCTCGTCGGGGTCCTCGGCTAGGTTGTAGAAGAGATCGGGGTCGGCTGGGCAGGTGATGTACTTCCACGGTCCGCGACGGATCATCATCATCGGTGCAATGGTGCCTTCGCCCATGTACTCAGCAAAGACATTGTCATGAGTGTGGTGACCCTTCAGATGAGGCATGATGGAAACGCCGTCCATGGGTAGATTTGGAATCAGCTTGGAGCCAACGAGGTCTACCAGCGTGGGAAGGATGTCGAGGGTGCTCACACTCTGCGGCACACGGTGTGGCGCCCACTGTTTGGGGTAGCTGAAGAGCATCGGCACTCGCACTGACGATTCATAGTAGGACATCTTGTACCACAGGCCACGCTCGCCCAGCATGTCTCCGTGATCGCCAGAGAAGATGACAATGGTGTTATCCGCGAGACCGCATTGCTCGAGGGTCTGCATGAGCTTGCCAATGTTGTCGTCGACGTAGCTGACAGATCCGTAGTACGCACGCTTGGCCCGCTTGATCTGCTCCGGAGTGAAGTCGTAGTCCTCGAGGTCGACTACGTGCTGCAGACGCTTGCTGTGTGCATCCAACTGGTCTTTGGGAATCTGGACCTTGGGCATGTCGATGTCCACATCCTCGTACATGTCCCAGTATTTGTGTTCGATCGTGTATGGATCGTGAGGATGGGTCAGGGAGACGGTCAAGCAGAAAGGTCGGCTACCCGGCGGCTTGCGGACGTGATCGTACAGAAATTGCTTGGACTTGTACATGACCTCTTCGTCGTAGTCCAGCTGGTTGCTCCGAATGCAAGGCCCGGCCTGAAGGATGGATGAGCTGTTGTGGTACCACTCAAGACGAGTATCTGGCTCGTCCCAGTTGACAGACCAGCCTAGATCAGCGGGATAGATGTCGGCAGTGAGTCGATACTCATATCCGTGGAGCTGGTCGCCAATGAAATGCATCTTTCCGCCCAACACGCACTCGTAGCCTTCATTGCGGAGGTAGTGCGCGTAGGTTGGAGTGTCCTCGGAGATGGGAGAGGCGTTGTCATATGCACCAATTCTGGACGGCAGCTGGCCTGTGATCATGGCCATACGGCTGGGAGCGCAGAGCGGCGAGTTGCAGTACGCCGAGTCGAATACCACGGAACGCTCAGCAAGTTTGTCGAGGTGGGGCGTCTTGATCTGGGAGTCCTTGTTGTAGATTTTGAGCTGGGGCGCCGCCAGCTGGTCGGCCATGATGTACAGGATGTTGGGCTTCTCCGGGAAGAGCGGCGTGCTGAAGCCATTCTGGCCAGCAAAGCCGGTGGGCGGCGAGACGGGAGGGGTCTCCGGCAGCTGCTTGCGGAGGCGCTCCATCTGATCCATGTTGTGGTGAGGGTGTAGGTGTTGGAGAGGTATGTTAAGAGGTGATGAGACGCAGAGTGCGGACTCCGAGAATGGCGGACTCCGACAATGGCGGGCTCTCAGTGAGGACTACCTCGGTGAGGACTGGGAGCCGCCGACAGGCTTTATATGTTGGATCGATGTTCTGATCTGGACACTAGTAGGGGTAGCACACGTAGCAGCCTAGGAGGGATGGTATACGCGCGACGGCCGGTAGTGTTGGATGGTCTGGGGGGCAGGCGAGAGTGGAGAGTGAGACAAAGGCGGCCGCGAGTTGATATATATGGTGTTTGGGCCGGCGACTCCTGAGGTCATGGCGGGGGCCATTGGACTAGAGCAAGATGAATTTCTCATCGGTGCGCCGCAGCAGCAATCGCCCTCACGAGCGCAAGCACGCCATATTGGAAAAAGAGCACGAAACAATCCACGTGTGAGGGCAGTTCGGGAGGCTAAAGCGTCCTCCCGTGCGTCTGGCCCGCTCGCGCTAAGCCTTTGTGCCGGGCCCGCCAAGCCAATTAGCGTCCTGCACTCCAGAAGCCTGGGGGTCGTCGCTCCTTGTATCTGAGACATGACGTGCTTTTGGGAAGCCTTCCTTTCCGATTCCCAGGGCAACTTTGGAACTCGCAGTCAATCTGCAAGGTACGCGTCGTGAGTGCGCTTTTGGTGCTTTTGTGTGGGACGGCGGCCGCGTTCCGCCGGGCTGTCGGCTGCCAAGCCATATCCTCCCCCGGCCTGTCGTTCCAGTCATCAATCGCTAGCGCCGCACAGCTTTGCGCACGCGACCTCGCACTTGATTCACCACCACGCACCAGCACCGAGCGGGCGCGGCCAACAGCATTGATTTCTGCTCCCGGCAGCAGCAGCAGCAGCAGCAGCGTTCATCACCTCTCGCGCGCACATTCCCTATCCGGTATTCCCTGGCCCGCCCTCGCAATCAATCCACTCTCACCGCCCATCTGCCCTCCCCGGCCATGAATGTCCAGCAAGAGCGGGCGCCGCCGTCAGCTATAGCAATCGCGATCGGTTTCAGCGTCATCACCGGCATCACCGGCTACTACCTCGGCCAGGCGCAGTCCATAGGTGTTTTCGGCCGATCGGCCAGCTCCAAACATTCATCAGGAGCACGCGCCGACGCTGATGACGACCCCGACGACAGCGATGCCCTCTCCGAAGATGAGGGTCCCAGTTTGGGAGAACTGAAACACTTCCGAGACGTCACGGAGGAATGCAAGCTGGTTCTCGTCGTCAGGACCGATCTTGGCATGGGCAAAGGTCAGTACCACTCTCAAACTCTCCCGCGCACTACTGCATTGCCTGTGCTACACCTGTGTCTTTCAGGCTTATCGTACACCCCTACTACTGCTCAACTGTAAACTGATACCGCTTCCAGGCAAAATAGCCGCACAATGTTCACATGCCACGCTCGCTTGCTACAAGGCAATGCTCCGCGCAGATCCAGCTCACCCTCTCCTCCGCCGATGGGAGAAACTCGGCCAAGCCAAGGTCGCTCTGAAGGTCAGCAGCGAGGACAACATGCTCTTATTGCAAGCCCAAGCCGTCAGTCTTGGCTTGTGTGCGCAGGTCATCCATGACGCTGGACGAACGCAGATTGCCAGCGGATCGGCCACTGTACTAGGCATCGGGCCAGCTCCCAAGAGCAGGATCGATGAAGTGACGGGTCATCTCTCGCTGCTATGACCGAACGAGCACTCAAAGCTCGCGCTGCCGCAAGAGCGTTTGCTGCCCGCACGTGTGCCTACGGGGAAGATGCGCTGAGTGGCGGCTACCGGGGGCCGGGGGGTAACGCTGGGGAAAAGAGCACTGCGGGTGACCACGCGCGCGGCTTTGCGAAGTAAGCGTAGCCACTCATCATATAAGATGCGACACCCCGTTGGTCAGACTCATGCATTTGCAAGCCACGACAGAGGAGCGGTTCGCGCTCTGCGAAAAGAACCTGTCTGGAACCGGTGGATGTCAACTTAAGGTGGAATCTTTACGCGCTAGCGAGACGGAAAGACGAGCCGAGACGCGGAACCGGAGAGCTGTGCAACCACCACGTTCGCAGAAGTATTGAAGGCGGCAATCTATCTGCACACGTACACCCTGCCGACAGCTGCGGCCGTGAGAGCGCAGTCTGTCGCAGGATATGCAGATGACCGATCTTGCCATTGAATCAGACTTGCAAATCGCCCGGGGGGGCTGTGGTTCTAGTACACTGAGTTTCACTTTCGTTTCTCTCACGCAATCAGGGTGTTCGCACGAACGGAGCGTAACAAGATCTTCGAAAGACATCGAATAAAAGGCACACATGACCCTAAATCTCACATGAGAGAGGCGCCAGGCCACACACAACACCGCGTATCGGAACATCCTACCTCACGAACAACCTGCACAATTGTGGTATTGTCCAGGTGAGATCTTTGCTCTAGGTCAATAGGCGAGTCATAGGGGAGTCTTGGGTTCTGAAGCAAGAGCTCCTGCTCCCGTCCTGAAATCCAGCTGATCGAGGAGGTAGTCATACAGCAGTCAGGCGATCAAAGACCAGTTCGCTTGATGCCTCGACTGCTCTGATGGATGTAGCTTGAATTCGCATGTGAAGTCGCAGATGATTCTTGGCTTGCTGAATGAACGCCGGGGCGTGACCACAATCGGCAGAACTGCGAGTCACCAGTTGGCCCGTTGTGAATCACGCAGGATTTCAATGCGCCGTGGCCAGCTCCCAACAGTGGCTGCTAGTCTAAGCATTCGACACTGAACAGAGGCAGAGAATTTCCTGAAGACTGTCGCCAGCTTGTGGTGACATCCAGATTTCGTTTGTCCTGTACAGAGTTTGAGTGAAGAATAGCCGCTGGCCTGCTTGCTATGCATATCCACCAACGCCTCGCTAACATACTCTTTACATTTTGCAAAAGTCTTTCTCTTGTCTGTCCATGTGGAGTTCCCCCATACTCTTTTCAAGGCGCTCCCTTTTCCAAAAACTCTTTCGCTTCGTTGATCTTGGTCGCGAGGTATGGACTTCCTCCTCGATCTGGGTGGTTGAGCAGCATCATCTGCCGGTGCTTTTTGCGTATGATGTCTCTCGTGACGCCTCGCTCTCTGCAAGATGACAAAAGTAAGTCGGCCTGCGCTCGCGCTCGCGTGTGTGCAAGGTGGGTTATGTATGCTCACGAGGTCTCCAATATCAACGCTGCTTCTCTCCGGTTCATCTGCTTTTCGAAACCGCCCTTGTAGTATGCTTTCCCGAGCGCACTTGTTCCTCCTCGGTATCTTCGTAATGCGACGAGTCCTGCGCGACCCTTTTGTGGGGGGGGGGGGGTTTATCAGCCAGATGTGCTTGGATGGCGGTTGTGCGCGCAACGTACGAAGAAAGCTGCGGCGGCGACTCCGACGCCCACGGCGAGGACGGTTGCCATGGTGCTGCGAGGTTTTGGCTCTTCCTGCTGAGGCTCCAGCGCGAACTAGGTTGGCGAGATAGCGGAATGGACAGTATCTGTACTAATAAGGCTACTCTGCGAAGAGATCTCGAAAGAAGACGACGTCGGCTCGGAACCTAAGGAAGATGCATGTTCGCGGCTTGCGCACGGGCCCCCGATTTTTCCTCCACTTCAGATTTCTTTCCGGTCTGAATTTTTGCAGCGACAACAATCTCGTCCCTCCCACTCGACCCACCACAATCTCATTGAAGCCGCCGAGATGAGGATCGAGACCTGTTACTTTTGCTCGGCGCCGTGCTACCCGTCCAAGGGTATCACCTTTGTCCGCAACGATGCCAAAGTCTTCAAGTTCTGCAAATCAAAATGCCACAAAAACGTGAGTAATAATATTTCCTGTCTTCTTCTTCTCCGAGAAGGGGGATCACAAGGTACTAAGATAAGATTTTGCAGTTCAAAATGAAGCGCAATCCTCGCAAGCTGGCATGGACCAAGGCCTTCCGCCGCGCACACGGCAAAGAAATGACCGTCGATTCCACCCTCGCGTTCGCCCAACGCCGCAACATCCCCGTCCGCTACAACCGTGACCTCGTGGCCACCACGCTGCAAGCCATGCAACGCGTGTCGGAGATCCGCGCTCGAAGGGAGAGGCAATTCTACACGAACCGCATGAAGGGCAACAAAGCCGCACAACTGGAAGCGGATCGGAAATTGGTGGCGGAGAATCAGCATTTGCTGCCACCGCAGTATCGGGACCAGGTGGAAGAGGTGCTGCAGGAGGTGGAAGCGCAGACGGAAGAGATGGAAGAGGAATTGGACGAGTTGGAATTGGAGGAGCAGGAGAGGCTGAAGCCCGCGAAGAGCGCGTTGAAGCAGAAGAAGAAGCAGCGGCTTGTGAGAGGGAAGGGGGTCGAGGAGACGGAAGAGATGGATGTCGACGAGTAATGATCTCGCTGCGCTTTGAGTGCTTTATAAGCGAAGGTGTTCTGGCGTTCGAGGCATTTCTTAAGAGGTCGAAGGGACGGCAAGTGGACAGACCGGTAAAAGCAGATATTGATTGCGGGATACCCCATCGAATCACGAAGAATAGAGTGTGGCATGGCAGAATAACCTTACATGGATTTGAATGCTACAATTCTGTCGACACATCCCGCTCTGCGTTCGGCGCCATGGGGTGTATGCACGTGAGAAGGCGGATTCCGGCAGGCCCTTGGAAACCAATGCACACGCAGACCGCAGAAAGATTCTCTGGAGTTCCACGGCGAAAGTTGAAGAATTGGATCCCTATCTCCACGCACGCTCTTCCTACTGCCGATCCAACTCCGGATAACGCCTAAACAGCCCCATACTATACTTCAACCGCCTCTCACTCCCCAAATACTCCTTCAGCCCCTCCTCCTCCTCCTTCAACCCCTCATAAAACTCGAACAGATCCGGAAATTCCTTCCGTCGAACTTCCATCTCCCTGGGGAAAGCGTACAGGATTCCATCCAGAACTTGCCAGACCGTCGTATCCGCATACGTCAGCCGCGAGCCTACCAAATACTTCCCATGGCCCGATTTCGCCCGGTTCCATTTCAGTTGGCGTTCGAAGTAGGAGAGGAATTTCGGGATGCGGGTCTCGCGGAGATCCGTGGCCTTTTCCAGGGCGGCGGGCTTTTGGTCTTCGTAGTATTTCCTAGCAAATTAACAAAGAATATCAGCGAACGACGTTCCTCCGCGGGAGGGAGCCACTAAAAAACCAAAAAAAAGAAATTGGGTTGGATTTCAACTCTCACTTACCTCACCGCAATCGGATGATGCGAATCATGAACCTCATTGCTCAGATCCAAAGCCGTCATGGTGATCTGATGCACATACCACTTCTGGTGCGCCCCTTCACCCCCCTCACCACCACCACCACCACCACCACCACCACCACCACCACCGCCCAACCCAATCTTCTCCCCAAGAAACATCAAAATATTCCCCGTCTGCGAAATCACCAACGGGGCCCCGCCACCCTGCCCGGAGGAAATTCTCAGAGCCGGAGGCGCGAACACGGGAGGATTGCCGGCCTCGCTTTCGAGATTGTCGGGGTTCATGCAGATTTTTCGGACGGCGCTGTAGCCTGTCTCGATCTCCTCGTTGGCGATGTCCCGGTAGGGGGTTCGCGTGGCTTCGAGCGCGAGGCGGATGAATTCGCCGCGTCCGGGGATGGAGGGGTGGTAGAGGAGCTCGTACGTTGGGAGGATGCGTTGGTTTTTGTCATTATTGTTGGGACCGGTGGATTGGGCCATTTTTTTTTTGGTGCTTGTGGCGAGTGCGAGTGGAGGGCGCGGGGGGATATTAGTCTAGTCTGGTCTGGTCTGGAGGATGGGTAGTAAGGTAGGAGTTCGTGTAGCTGTCCTTAGACGAACAGCAGTTCCAGCTCTAAACAGGTAAAGTAGAGAGACGTATAGAATCTTGGCTGGAGATAAGTGGTCGTGTGTGGCCAAGGGCCGCCCGAGGAGAGAGCTTACGACTGCAATGTTCAAAAGTCAGCAATAAATGCGAAAGTCACCAATTGCGTTCTGCCTTGAAGTGGAATGAATATGAATGGTCCACGCCAACCAACTGCATGTAAATAAATGCAATCATTCTTCTTCTAGTACGAGCTGAGCTGAGCTGTTGCTGCTCTATCATACTACCTTACCTACCTTACGCACGGAAAGTCATCGAAAGCTGAAGCTGACATATGCGGTACATGTACCGCTGAAAAGTGGAGTCCCATTCACTCAAACCCGACGTCAGAGTCACGTGGCATGGCGGTTTTGATTCCGCGACCTACGCTAAAGACCAAGAAGTGAGAGTAACATGTCGTGTCGGATGATACTGCACGTGGTGGATCTGGTATTATTATTAATTGCTCAATCATGCCAAGCACAGCACAGCAGTGACACTACACTACATGGCATGTACTGTACCCCGGCTTCCACGACACGAGTCAAGCACACCGCAGTTTCTTGATGCCCAAGAGTCTGGACCGGTCAGCAGTCGTACGAGAACTGTCATCGTTTCGGTTCGAGACCGGTGGGGTGAGCAGGGAACGAGCGCGCTGTGCTCCCAAGGCATCCATGAGATTCTCATTACAATCGTTACTGTTAGGTCTATTGAGCAAGCCGTCTCCTCTCCGTGGTGGGCAGCACCACCATGCTCGAGGATGGAGGGATAGAGTGATAAAAGTCTCATCCGTCACACCCGAGCTCCGTCCAAATTGCCCCCCCCCACGCGAAATGTTTCTGTTGAAGACAGCCGTCGCCCTTTGTGCACGCTCTCGACTGAAAGCGAGCGAATATGTACAATGTTTCGTGAATCGGTAGTCCTCGTTGTTCGCCTCGGAACGCTGGTGCTCACTCGTGAAACCTCTGCTATGCCTTTCCCCAAAACGCCATCGAATAAATGCAAGTAGTTTATCAAGCGCGAGCGCTGGTGTAGATCGGGTTGCTGCTTCCGCTGCGACTGAAAGTCGGTCGGTCACCACGCTTGTAGCTGCTGTAGCCGGAGGCAGCCCGAATGCTCTCAGGACGGACCGGCCGTTGCTGACGAACGTTATCTTCCTCCAGAGCTTCATACGCGCTGTATCTCTGCCTGGGTGACCCTGTTGCCCGAACTTCGCCGTAGAGCCTGTCCGGATAGCCTCGGGGATCTCGTGGGTCTGCGCCACGGCCATTGCTGGGTCGTGATCTTTCGTATCCGCCCTCAGCAACGCCTTGCCCCGGCGTGTACACGTAGCTCGTGCTGCGCAAGTTTGGTGGCGGTTGTTGCTGCGGAGCCGCTGAGTACCGCGAAGAAGCGGCTCTCGCTTTCTCTGGCCTCTCACGCCGGTCTTCGCGGCTGTCGCGAGGGTCGCGTGACTCCCGAGCCTCCTTGATGGGAGAAGGGCTCCGAGTACTCTTGCGGGTGGAGTTTGGTCTACTCGCGGGCTCTCGAGCCTCGGTACGGTATCCATCAGGAGTAGGGTATTCCCTGTCATCGGCATACTGCCGACCATAGTTGACCTTGGTGGAGTTTGGCTCAGCTGGACCGTTGTGCTCGGTGGGCGTGGCTGCGGGAGTTGCGAGGCCTTCCACAATCTCCGTTGGCCTACTATTCGAGGTCTTGGGAGGAGCGGCATTCTCAGTGCGTCGTGAGCCTGGGCCATGTGGCATCGTCTCCGACCGCTTGACCTTTGGAATGTCGGCCACAGAATCTGTATCGTGTTGGAGGGATTGCGAACGCGGCTTCTCCGACGGCGGCGGGATGTGGAGACCAGCCGGTGATGACTTGGATTGATTCAAGGTCGGCGGTCTTCGAGTCGGCTCCTCGTTTGCTTCAGGACTGGATTTGCGATTGCTCTCGCGGGATGAAGCCTTCTTCGAGTCCTCGGAATCCCTGGTGGCGGTCTTGGGCCGCTGAGAAGCCCGTCGCATTACCACGGCTGGTCGTCCACCGCGTTGTTCCACGTACTCGGTCTTGTCTTTTGACGAGCCCATGCGTACTGGCGACGGACGCCGTTCCGACTCGGGCCTCTGCCGGCCACGAGATGATCGAATGTAGTCCCAAGCGTCTGCAGTCGTGGTGAACATTTTGCGAGTCCGCTCATCGAAGTAGCCACCGTTACTGCTCGCCTCCTGCTTCTGTTTGTAGGCCTGCTCGCGGTACGCTTCCTTTGCTCTGCGTGCTTCGTCCTCCTCGCGCATTCTTCTTGATCTGCGGGTGTATTCATCCGAATCACTGTCGGAGTCATCCTCCGCATATGTCGCGTTGTGTTTCCTGTCCCGTTCTCTGCGTGCTTCTTGCTCGGCTTTCCTCGCTGCCTCTCTCCGCTTTTCTCTTTCTTTCTCCTTCTGAGCCTCCTTGCTTTCGCGAGTTGAGGTCCTGGTCTTCTCTTTCGTGTCGTGTGTGGATCGTCTCCAACTACGCTGGTACTCCGGCTCCTTACGCGCTGTGGCTCTCGGCGGTTGATCGAAGTAATCTGTAGCGAACGACGGCCGGCGCTCTTCGTACTGCGGTGCGACTCGTTCGGAAGCACGTCCTTCGGGAGCGCGTCCCTCGGAAGAACGTCCAGGGTAGGCACTTCTGGGTACCGACTCTGATGAGCTCTTGTAAGGTGATGGCGCTGCCCGCGACTCTCTACTGCGAGGCTTTCCACTCCCTTGCCGCTCCATGGCCTCCTTCCTCAACTCGGCCAAGCGAACCTGCGCATCATACCGCGCTCTCCTCTCCTCATCGACCAAGATCTCGTAGGCGGTTTGAATCTTGTGGAACTGATCCGATGCGGCCAGCTTGGCGGCAGGATCCGTGACCTTGTCCGGATGGCATTTCAGGACGAGTTTCCGGTGTGTCTTCTTCACCTGGTCCGTCGTGGCAGTCTTGGAGACGCCCAGAGCCAGATATGGGTCCGGGGGCAAAGGCGACCCCATGATTGAGGCCTAGCAATATGACCGGTCAGGTGAGACCGGTGAAGTGTGGGGAGAGGGTTGATGTGGATGTGGATGAGGTTGACGACGAGGCCGGGCGGTCAGCCGGGCGGGAATTTGTACAGTCAGGCTCAGGCTCGCTGTGTTGGATAGATGGGGGGGGGGGCGTCGGGCGATGGCAAGACTGCGCCTCACGACAGGTGTGGACTGCACGAGGTGCGGGTGCAGAGTGGAATGTGAGGTGGAAGGCAAGTCGGAGGTTGATCGCTTCAAGTCGGCTGGAGAACGCGTGCGCTGGTTGGGCGGGCTGAAGGTCGGCTGAAGTGGATGAGTGAGCAGCCGAACTACCCGACCGGGCCCGAGTGACGTGGATGGGATGCGTGCGTGAAGGAAGGTGGGTCCTATGCTTCTCGCGGCGCGCCGTGCAGAGGAATTGGATGCCTTGGCGCGGATAGTAAGCAGGACAGAGCGGGACAGGGCTGCGAGAAGGATGCGCCGCAAGAGGGAAAGTGGTATGCTGTGCTCGCAGCAGCAGAGACCGCGTGCACCTGTTGCAGTCGCGCAGACGGTCGGCACAGGTCGGGGTCGGGGTCGGGGTCGGTCAGGGAAGCCTGGCCAGATGCGCGCCCGGTGCGAGAGGAGGGTGTTTTCGTTTGGGACGGAGAGTTTGGGGCGAAGGCTGTGCTCTTGGGGTGTCCTGGGGAGAGAGAGAGGGATGGAGTTGTCCAAGAGGCTACCCTAGATACGCGTAGTCGGAGACTTCTCTCTCTCTCTCATCAGGAACTCATCACGACATGCAGCACGGCACCGCTCCCCTCACATGCTCACGGCGCCTGTCGTCCTATTCGTCGTGGCACCTCGCCGTGGCCTGGGCCGTGGACTGCAACACTGGACACTGCGATGCTGGAGAAGGGTGTTTACTGCAGACTACTGCGTGCTAGGGAGGATCGCGATGCCACTCGGCCCACGATCGGATTGGACGAGAGTGGAGCAGACTGGACCCAGCACACCGGCCGCGTTCCTACTGGTGGCAACTGGAGAGGGAGGTGGAAACATCCATGGAACCAGGCGGCAGAGGCAACAATCCGCCAGAGGCAAATCCATAGAACAGACTGTCTTGACTGTGCTCACTGTGAGCTCAGCTCAGCTCAGCTGCTGACTGTTGTGTTGTGTTGAGTTGAGGCGAGCAGCGGGCGGGCGCCTGCTGGACGTTCGCAGCCAATCATGCACTCGACGCTCGTCCATCACACAAGTCCCTCGACCGGCGACAGGGGCAGCGACACCCACGCAGCGCCGTCCACCTTTCTCATTGATACACGATCTTCAGGGTACAAGCCTGATCCTCCCCTTTCCACCACACACTCGCTGGGCAACAACTCGCTTGGCCACAACTCGGCACCGCGGGGCCCAACGCGCACCTCTTGCTCTTTGGCTTTGGCTTTGGCTTTCTACCAAAACCGAGTGAACCATCGTTTCGCATGTGCAACACCCGCTGCCCATGTGATGCCTTGCTTGTGCAAACTCTCACACCGAGAATTCCTAATACCGACTCACTGGCTGCTGCTGTCCCTCCGATGGCCGAGGCGTCGTCTAGGAACATCTGGTGCCCCGACAACCGGTCCGGTCCCACTGGTCATGAGCTCGCTGCTACATGTCATGTACCACACCAGCAACCTCGCCATGTCATTCATCATGTCACTGTGGAGCGCTGCAAGCGGAACCAACCACGACGACATTCGGTGAGAGATGACATACCGAGGCAAGATCGCCTGGTTTGCAGTTGGCCCGACTTCCCTTTCGTGCCAGTGCAGCGCCGCCGCTAACCCACCGCGAACACATCTCTGATCTCTCTCTCCTCCCAACAGCAACCCGATGCGTGTACGACACGCGCTTCAATCCTTTGCTCCTTTCATGTGTTGTCCATGCCGCTCTCCCCCCGACGAGCAAAGCTGATGTCAATCACGATCGGCTTGTGGAATCCCTTCTGCTTTCCCCGACCGAACGACTCCGCCATGATGCTGGCGTTCACCACGGCCGTCTCCATGCCCGGAACAACACCAGGCGGATTGCCCGACTTGCCGGAGAGGTCCAACAGGCTCTGCTTCTTGCTGCTTGCGACGCTGGCATCTTCCCATGTCCAAGCCACCCTGGGTATTTCCGTCGCATTCTTCTCCCAACTGAGCACCAGTGCGCCTCTTCCTTCATGACAATGCCCGCAGACGTGCAACACAGGCTTGATGCGGGATAATGCAGCTTTCAAAGCACGACAGCCACCTTCTTCCCAATGCCGACTCCGGTCGCAGTAGCCGGCAGGCGGTGTGTGCGTGATGAGGATGGCCACATCTTCCGGTACGCACTTCCAAATGGCCTCCGCTTCATGCTCGTCGTACTGAAAAGCCCACCTCTGCTTCCCTCGACCACGAGGACTACACGGCGACCCGAAAACACGAATCTTCTCGCTCGTACCGGGCAGATCTATCACCCCATCCGAGTGTTGCAGATACACAATGTCCGCGCAGCCTTTCACGAGCTTTGCGCATGCTTCGACGTCTTCTGCTGCAGGCACAGCATTTTCGTGCTGCTTTGAAGTCGATGTGAAGTCCGTGTCCAAAGATAGGTCGTGATTTCCTAAGCATGGTTATGCAGTAAGTGCTACGTTCACTCATCTTGAGAATTTCTCATAGTTGCACGACAACGTACCCGCTACGACGACCTTCACCGCGAAGTCTGTCTTGGTGATCCAATCCAGAGCCCTTTGAAGTTCGGCCCGAGTCCCTTGGTTCGTCAGGTCGCCTGCGTGTATGAGGATATCGCCTTTTGGGAGTGTGAAGCCTTCTCCGGGGCGATAGTTGTGCTTCCAACATGTCAGCACACTGCTCCATTTGCTCCTGCAACTTGGTCCGTTCTCACCGTGTCCGAAATGCACACTATCCGGACTCTGGGAGAACTCATGGCCATCGGTGACTGCTGATGCGTCCGTACTACTCATTCATGGCAGATGAGACTAGAACCATGCCTCAGGTGACAGACAACAAGAGTCATCGAAGCCGAGAGAAAAGGAATCTGGAAGTCACCACCGGGTCCGTGCGCCCGAAGCCAAGACCTCAGCGTACGCGACGATGAGAGGTAAGTGAATGAACCGACCACCCACAAGTCTTCTCCAAGCCCCCACCGCAACCTACGCACCTTGACATCAAATTCCATTCCCGGACTTGCAAAGCCGCTGTCTCTGCCCTTTCACGCCCCTTTGCAATTTTCTACCACCCATCCGCCGACTCGCAATTCCCCTGCGGTAAATCGTGGCCAGACCTTCGACGTTCCCATTTGACTGACCATTTCCGTCTTTGAGAGGAGCCTGTTGTACGAATCGCACCGAGCGATGAATGGCGATTGACCGAGGTGGAAGGCTCTCCTTGCCGAGCATGGTTGGAGGATGAGGGAGAAGAGAGGAGAGGTCTATAGTTCGAGGTAGCGGCAGGTGCGGGAGATTTCGTAGGAGAGTCTACATGTTTTTCGCCGGTGTGGAAGCGATGCCTGCGATAATAGAGAGAAGGGCTCTAGATTAAGACTGAGGCATATCTTTCGGCCCATCATCAAAGTCTATTCATCTCCTACTTGAGCACCTATTCACCTCCCTTCTTCCTCGTCTCCTCCTCCAATTGTTCGTTATACTCTCGAACCGCGCCTTCAAGTCCTCTCTTCAAACGCCTTTGCCTCTGGCCTTTGATCGTCCTCGCCACCTCCTCGACAAACCCACCCGAGACAAGCGTCCTCCCAGCGACATGAGGCCAGACCGTGGGCGTGCCGGACGTCCATTGAGGATCCCAGTCCTGCAAACGCCGTGAGAAGCGCAGGCAGCGCAGGTTCCGAAGCCCGAGCTTCGTCATGTTGCGCACAACCTTGGCATTTGAGAGGAAGATGTGGTCCAATTCGAGGTAGGAGAGCGATGGGAGGTCACGGAGAAGAGACCACATCGAGGGTCCGGTTTGCCGTTGCCGCAAATAGCCGGCGTGACCAACATCCGTCCTCGCGAGGACTTCGTCCGGTCGCATTTCGAACGACAGCGCCATGATGCTGACTTTGGAAACGACGCCGCGCCACTTTGGGTTCAGCGTCCTGACAAACGCGGCGAAGGTGCTCGCGTTTTCAAAAGCGAAGATGTTCGCGGTGTAGAACACCCGTCCCGCTTCTGCGTACCACTGCTTGCACACGAGGAGGATTTCCAGCCCGTCGCGGCGCGCACAGAGACACGGGAGACTGCTCGCCTTCGGGAAGGGGCGTGCGCGGAAGCGTTCGCTGCAGTCTGAACAGAGATAGGGGTTCGTGTGTCCCGGAGCCCACTTGCTGCTCCACGGGGAGACGGTGGCGGGCACACCGGCCCGCGTGATGCGCCGCCAATGTGCAAAGTGCCGCGCACCACCGCCACAGTACCGATTGCAGGTATATGGAGTGAGGTTGACGCTTGAGTTCCGCAGTGGACAATCGTCCTGATGTTCGATCTCCCACTTGCACGGCTGAACGAGTGCTTTGGAGAAGATCTGAGCGCGCAGTTCCGGCGGAAGGGCATGCAGACGATCCGCGAGAGTTGGACGGGTGGGCCAGAGGGAGTTGTTGTTGTTGTTGTTGATGTTGTCGTACTTGTGCTTTTCGTGAGCCTGTCGGACTCGGCGCTTTGTCTTGTTGATGAGCTGGTCGTGTTCTGGACACGGCGAGAGTTGCTGTGGTTTCGTTGAAGCGACTGGCTTTCGAAAATCTCGTAGTGGTTTACGCTTGGCCATGATCTGGGAGATTCTGCAATATCGCGTGAGTGATGTTGTCAAGGGAGAGTGGAAGCAGATGTGGAAGCATCATTCATAGTAGTAGGTAAATGCATCGGATTGTGTGCCTGAGGCGCCGATTGGTGATTCATGGGGTGAGTCAACGAGGCGGTGCTGGGCAGAGCGAAGTCCATGGTTGCGGTGTCTCGAGAAGGAAAGAGAGAGTTGGTAGACGTGTGAATATACGCCTCACATGATTTATGGTCGACGATGTGCTTAAGGGAGGTGTCGCGTGAGGCCGGATATCCAGCCAGGCCCAGGTTGAGACGACGCCAGCAGAGTGACATGGAACCCATGATGGCTGTCGACGGGCTCGTGCGCCGGCAACTCTATCGTCTTGTCTTGTCGTGAGCGTGAGCGGACATGCAGGCATCTCGTCTGTACGCTGCATCCGACCTCACATCCCCCGTCTCCAGAACACAGAGGGCAGAAAGGAGTTGAAGACGTCTCCCAACTTCCAATTCAGAGTACCATCGGCGCCGGAAGAACCGAATCGCCGTCGGCAGTGGGAGCGAGGGCAAACCTTCCACCTATTAAGCGGGCAGAATGGCGCATCTCGACATTGCCAGCAACAATCCCTGGGGCGCCATGGACGAAGGAAGCTCGCCGTGGGATGGTAAGCTCGACAGAATAATACACAATTGCACAGCCAAAGTACAGCACTGAAATCACTACAGACGTCCCCTCGCGCTCGCCCTCCAACCACAACCTTCCCACACAGGCTGAAGACGCCCAATCCGCTGCCGGTATGCTACACCTGACGGAAACATCCCTCTGCGCATCGCATGGCCTGCCCTGACAAGAAGCAGCAGAGCAGTCGCCGCCTTCCAAGCTCTCCCAGTCCACACCGAACCTCGCTGGCGCCAGACCAGCTCCCTCCAAATCACGCGGTCCCCGACGATACGGCAACCTCACGCAGTCCACCACGCTCGAAAGCCTCGACAATGATTCCATGGGTCCTCTTGGGCCGCTTGGCCTCGAGCCAGCAGACGAGCCGGCAGCGCCCATGCCACCCGTGAAAGAGCTAGCATCGAGAACCAGACAGACTACCGCTTCAAGGCCGTCCACCTCTGCCTCTGCTGTGTCTTCCACTCGCAGTGCCGAATACGACGACGATGCTTCCTCCTTGAATGGTGGTCCTCGCGTACCGCCTCCAGTACAACCCCATGATGGAAGGACGAGGCAAGCGCAACCTTCAATGCCGGTAGACCAAGCAGCGAAGCCCACCTTCAACATCACAGTCGGCGACCCTCACACAGTGGGCAATGCCGCGAGTAGCCATACCGTGTACGCTGTCATCACAAAGACAACATCCAAAGCGTACATTAATCCTACTTTCACTGTGCAGAGGCGATACCGCGACTTCCTCTGGCTATACGAGAGACTGCACGATAACAATCCTGGAGTAGTCGTGCCGCCTCCGCCGGAGAAGCAGGCCATGGGCAGATTCGATGCCAACTTCATCGAGTCGCGACGTATGGCGCTGGAACGTATGATCAACAAGACTGCTGCACATCCGGTCCTCCAGATGGACGGAGACCTCAAGACGTTCCTGGAGAGCGAATCGTTCAATGTCGCAATCAAGCACTCGAACGGGAAAGATCCTCTACTTGGCAACACAGAGTCGAAGGGCTTCATGAGCTCGATAGGCATCGGCAGCTCGACTGGCGGCAAATTCATTGAACATGATGACTGGTTTCACGATCGACGGATATATCTGGACGCTTTGGAGAATCAGCTCAAGGCACTGCAGAAGAGTACGGACACGGTGGTTTCCCAGCGAAAGCATTTGTCTGACTCATGCGGCGAGTTCAGCATATCCCTACACAACCTTGCAGCCGTCGAGCTGTCGCCGAGTTTATCTGGACCCTTGGACTCGCTTGGAGATCTTCAATTGCGCATCCAGGAGCTGTATCAACGGCAAGCCATGCAAGATATGTTGACTATCGGCATTGTCATTGACGAGTATATCCGCTTGATTGGCTCGGTGAAGAAAGCCTTCGAACAGCGCCAGAAGGCATATCACTCATGGCACTCAGCAGAAGCCAAACATCAGGAGATCAAGAAACAGCAGGACAAGCTTCTCCGGTCCGGACGGTCTCAGCAGGACCGCATGGGTCAGATGCAGGCAGATGTTGCAGATGCGGAGAGACGAGTGCACGCGAGTCGACTGCTATTCGAAGACATGGGCCGCCTGATGAGAGGCGAGTTGGACCGGTTCGAAAAAGAAAAGGTGGAAGACTTCAAGAGTGGTGTGGAGACGTTTCTGGAAAGCGCGATCGAGGCACAGAAGGAGGTGAGAAGTCTTCATCCATTTGAGACGCTCAAGAGGATGCTAACAACAGTACTCAGCTCATCGAACTCTGGGAGACTTATTTGCTGCAGCTCGACAGTGACGAAGACGGCCCGCCACTGATGCCAGCCGGCGTGGTGGCCGAATCGGATGCGCAAAACAAGCAACACGCCGAGACAGCGCCTCTGGAATCTCAGCAACCGGATGACCACGCGGCTCACACGGATCCACGGTTGTCAGGCACCACCGCCCGAGACAGTGAGGATATCATGCGAGGTGGTGAAGATACCAGTGTCTTCGAGGAAGCAGCACGCGCGATAGCCGCTCATGGCTCCGACGAGACGGACTCTTAGCGTTGCCATCGAGATTATGAGCCTTGCTTGCGTCCGGAAACAGAAGACTGTGAAGAGACAGACGGTCGGAGTGCTGGCACAGTCCCTGGCCTTATCACCTTGTAGGAGTAACTTGAGCGTACTTGTTGCATACCATCTACTCCCATGCAGTGCAGACAGAGTTAATGAACAGTTTTGAGTCTACGAACCAGGATGCAACATATCTCCTGGTTTTGGCTTCGCTTGTCTTGTCTGCGTGCCATGAGACTTCTGAACTCCATCGCTAAGTGCAAGAAGTAGAAGTCAATTAAAACACGCGAGTGTTGTGGTTTTTCTTTCTTGGAACGTCAAACGAGGGTCCGGTGGCCGCTACGGACAAGCGGATGGACGTGACAAATTGTTCCGGTGTGGGAAAGTAAAAAAAAGAAAGGCAGATTTTCTGACTGCCGGCCAGGGAAAGAGAAGAAGAAGAAGGAGGAGGAGAAGGAAAGTGAAAAGTTCCTTCGCGTGTTACTTGCTCACTTCTTCCTCCTCCTGCTGTTGAGCAGCAGCAGCTTCCCACCTGCACCTCGGACACTGACAATCGCCCCCCAGGGCACCCCTGGCCCACTCCCGCCTCTCCTTCACGGGCAGCTCGACATCACAATAATGATTCAAAATCTCCTCACCTTTCTTGATGCCCGCCTCGGAAACCACTCTCTTCTCGCCCTCTTTCCCAATCCAAGGAATTCTCTCCCCTCTCGCCCAGAATCTGATACTGCCTCCCCATTCCCAACTCACGTTGGGATCACAGCTGTGGTTCGCGAGACACCACATGGGATGGACGGCGCTGACTTCGGGTCCGCGGATCGCGCGGCCCCCGAGACCCGAGAGGCGCGCGGAAGCCGTGCCGCGGAATTTGGCCAGGAGGGTGTTGAAGACCCAGACGTCGTGGTGGGGGTCGGCGAAGATGTCAATGTCCATTCGCTCGAGCATGTGGAAGGGGAGACGGATGTTGTATTCGAAGCTGAAGGGTAAGGTGCGTGGGACGGTGCAGGCGTCGGGAGAATTGAGGTCGGTGTAGATGATTTGGTCAGGAGGGGGTGTGGGAGTGAAGTCGCCCCAGATGTATTTGACTTCGGGGATTTGGAGGGGATTGAGGTTTTGGCTTTTGCCCAAGGCAAGGGCGCGGAGGAGGAGGAGGGAGTAGAGGGAGTCTGCTGCTTCGGCGGGTGGGACGTCTTTGGCGATGGCTTCGACGTCTTTGCCGCAAAACGCCAGGTGGTAGCTTTCCGATGCTTGGGTGTAGCACCATTCGCTGCAGAAGACGACTTCGCAGTCTGGACAGGAGACGACAGATGCCCCCTCAGGGCTGTTGAGGGCCGGGAGATCGGTGCTACAAGCGTCGCAGAGGGCATCCTGGAGCTTGTTATTCGCGGTGAGAATACTCGTCTCGTTCAGGATTTCTTCGCCAGGAGAAATGTCTTCCTTTGCAAACACGCCGAGCTGTTGTGACACCCCATCGCCGTCGCTAGTCAAGACGGGAAGACCTACGACGCGCACTTCGAGCTTGTCTGACACGAATCCCATCAACTCGTTCAATTCGTCGAGCATGTTCAGGCGGTCTGGCTCGAGCTCGTTCCAGGGATATATTTCCCTCCTGACAAAGCCGCTGTCAGGCCAGTCGTGTAGAGGCGTACTGATGCTTTCGGGGCGCGGGATACCCAGCTTGTCGCCCTGTTTGACGATATAGGCGCAAATGTCGCCAAGCTCCTGATCTCCAGGATAGAGCTTTATGGCTTGTCTATAGTGAGATAGCGCACTACGCAGACAGCCGCACAGCAAGAGAGCTCTCGTGAATAGTCGGTACATCACGAGGCGATAATGAGTCTTAAGCCACAGTGTGAGCTCCACATCCAGGGTAGGATCAAGTTCAGTCGGAGTTGTGTTCTTCAGCTCTGCGTCCATGGCTTTCCGGATAATCGCAATTCGCTCCTCGAGCGGCTGCATCTGGATGACTTCCTTGAGAGAAGCAGACGCCTCATCGTGGTACTCTTCTGCCTCATTATCCAAGGCATCGGAGAGTAGTAAGGCTTTGTAGGCAGCGCCGGCCGCCAAGTCAGGGTATCCAAGGCCTAGAAAGTCGACGGCAAGAATGAGATACAGAGGAAGACAGTACGGATAGTCTTCAACGCGAATAGTCGTTATCTGCAGTCGACGCAGGCGAAAGCTCCCGGAGGCATCTTGCTGAAGAAAATATCAGCTTACCTTGAACAGTAATCCGCCGGTGCCTTTGCAAGGCAGCTCATGGTAAGATCTCTACGCACCTCCGGGTACCGCTGGCTTGATCGGAGGTTGCGAAGGAGGTCGTCGACAAGGCGCTCTTCCGGATCTGACACGCTCTCCGGACGGATAGACGCTTGTGAAACAGCATCTGATGATGCCCGAATCCCATTGCTCTGCTCTAGGTGATCACTCCGCGGCTCCTGTACCGCGTCGCTCCGGATATGAGTAGGTTTCTGCACAGCAGCATTGGATCCCGCAGGAGCCGCAGGGGTACTAGAATTGGCAGGATCCGAGACGAGCAATTTGTACGAGGCCAAGGTCTGATTCAGGCGGTTCAGCGCGCTATCTACACTCTCGATGGACGCTTTGTATCGATCCATGATTCGGAATGGTGAGTGGCCGCGGCTGCACGCTGATGTCTCCGTGATTGGAAGGGGGCAAGGGGGATGGAAAAGCATTTTCGTGAGAAAGTTTTCCGCGTTTGATGCCAAGAATTGCGCTGGTCTGTGCGACGGCATCACGTGGCTGCCGTGTGTTCGGAATTCGGCTTCTTCTGTGTCGATGAGGGCCACGAGGCTTTTTCGATGCGTCGATGCACTAGAGTCATGACCCTCTTTCTGTCGACAACGAACCAATCTATTGGTTCGCGACTTGTATCTGACATACGCAGCTTCCAAATTTGGACCGCCGAGCCTACGTTGAACGAAGTGTGAAGGATGGTGGCGATGGACGATCCTGCGGCTGTTGCATTTCCTCACAACTCCGTGGGCTCCTCCATAGGCCAAGAGAACGTCTATGATCTCGGCACGACCTGCTGCGCAACAGAGACGTCATCTGCATATTGGCAAACGAGGAAGAGACGGGGATGCTGATTCCAAGCCGCTAGCAGACAGGCACATCGACTGATCGCATCAAAACTTGCTGCCTACGTTGGAACCTTCCTCACAGTCGCAACACTGCTCCCCTGCTCGCCCGGGAGAAGCATCCTCTATCCTTGGAGAAAGCGCGAACGTGGACCTTTTGCGACAGCGTGAGCGCCACACTGAACGAGCATCCCGGGAAATGTTTGCTCCCCTCATTCGAATCTGAAGCAATCAATGGACAACCTTAAAAATGGTACGCCGCCCTAAAGCCACTACTTTGTGATAGCATGACTCCACCTGCAATTCGTGCTCGGCCACGTTCGGTAGGACACGCTATTTTTCGTTGAAGACGTCGTCCGAGGATTCGATAGTTCGAAGTAATCAGAACGAGAAATCATATGGGCGGGGCCAAAGGGATCACAAGAAGATTGCTTGTTGTGGAATGCGAGCGCAACGCAAGGTTCTTGGCATTGCTATCGGCGATGCTATGTTGCATCGTGTTTGCCTCGACGGAGTTTTGCTTGCAGGTCACCGGGAAAGCTCCTCACCCACGTAAAGCTGTCAAAAGTAACCACGTTTGAGAGCAGTGACGCATGTTTCATAGATGGTGATCAATGCCACCGCGATTCAAGATGTCTTTCGGTAAAAATATATGTCTTTGCAACAAGCGTTGCTTCGAGCTCGCTAAATTGCTACTATGGGGTATCTTCAGACAGGACGTATCTCGTCGATCGTGAACAGGTCTAGCCCTGTTATGTAGCCAGATTTGATAACCAAATTCTCGTTGCCAGTATAGTTCCAAGCAAATACCAAGCGTTTTGCGAATGGTTGCAAGACTACGCGAGCTTCCTCCCAATTCTTCCGTCTATGGTTACCGAATGCCTTCTCCATCGCTCAGCGTTGGTTGGTGTGAAAGCTTGGGGGCGTGAAGACGCCGGTGAATTTGATCAAGTGCTCGAAAGCTTGTCGATGATCGTCCAGGGTCGTAGTGGTGAGAGTGCTCGTGGCTTTTTCGGTGGCATGTCTGCCTCCATGGCATTGGCAAGCAGTGAGATTAAACCGCATGACGTTCGATATTGTGTTGAGTGACTCCAGTGGTTATTTGCCCTTCAGCGCTTGTCAAAGCCAACGAGGTGTGCACATCTCAAGCAGTACCACAAGTTCAGGCCATATGGAACCATGTTGCTCCCTCCAGTCTTGACATCGATGCTAGGCGTCCTCTGGCATCGAGAGCATCTGGCGAACTCGGGCGATGACATGTTGGAGTCGATGGAGGAAGATTTGGAGGATGAGCTGCTGCTGGAGGTCGAGTCGTCGCTAGTCACATGCAGGACGTTCTGGACTGGATGTGGCCTTGGTCGATTGCTGTGGCCGTGGGCCGCTGATGTCTGCATTGACATGAGACTGGAGGCCATTTCGGGCAAGGTGGGTTCGTAGACCGGTGATTCGACTTCACAATAGGCCAGCAAAGGATGTTCTGGGTAGGCTGAAGACTCGCAAACGGGCGAGAAGTTGGGGGAGCAGCAAGGTGTCTCGGTGGAATAGTGGGTGTAGGCGGGAGGGTTGATGGTGAAGTAGTCGTTACGGCGTCCAGAATCGTCGAGTGGAGGAGGTAGCATATTGCTCAGAACATGAGGGTGAGCAGTGAGCAGCAGTGGGGACTGCAGCCGTCACAAACAGATGATGGGGAAGGAATCACGAAGCGTAAGGTGCGAGGCAGTGGAGGAGGATGTATATCAAGGCGCTGGTCGGCGGCATCCTCGATCGCAACCCGGCATCTTCGATTTCGGGGTTTGGGTGAAGACAGCAGACAGCAGGCAGCGACAGGCTTTCCAGGTTTGGGGCGCTGGTGCGCCGCAGGTCACGTCGCACACAAGTCGCCGTGTGCTACGCATCGCCCGCTGCAGCGCATCGCCAGATCTCGAGCGCATCGCCAGATCCCCGGGAAGCTAGGAGACTTCCACACTTCCTTCAGCCACACCCGCCCTGCACACTGCAATCTGCCGTGTCTCATTCGACCGTCGGGCCCAGGACTCTCAATTGTCCATGACATGGGAAGAACACCTTCCGCTTCGACACACATTGTTGACACGCAACTCGCTCGCCCGACTCGCAGTCTCACTCCTCGGCAAGTCATCAGGCCTCACTAAGCACTACCATCGCAAGTGGCATCAAAAATGTGATTCCGCGCGGAAGCGGCTGCCGCGAATAACTGCATAGCCGCGTTCGCTGGGCGTCAAGACAACAACAACTACCGGCCTGTCCAGCACACCGATGCAAAGGTAACGCCAGCGCAAACCCGACTGCTTCGAAAGACAGCCAATACCTGAACTGCCGCGGCTTCCCGCGACTGCACCTTTCGCTGCAGAGCCTTAATATTATTATTTGCGTCCGGCTGGTCCGCACAGATCAATGTTTCTACCGAACCACGGGCCTACGTTCACCCTTCATCTCTGAGCTCCACGGAAACTGCCCGCGGAGGTCATCCATACATCAAACATCTGGAATCCATCGGTCCCAGCCGCTCGTGAGCTTTGGATGGTGGAACGGCGCAACATCGTGTGGCAGCTGGAGAGGCAGCTGGAGAGACAGTTACACACGGGAATCGCGTGCGGGCCGTCAAGTAAGCTTGATTTGCCCAAAAGCCTAGACCCGCCCGTTTGCCAAGACTTCCGCCATTCATCGCCCTCTGTGGGCATGGGATGAACCGACGAGCACCTTGTGGAGTCCACGCCCAAGCCAGTGGCCTGCCCGAAGGGTCCGACACAGTGGAACCTTCGTACTTTATTCCGCCGTCCAGATGCACATACGAATAGGGGAGCCTTGGTAAGTAATGATGGAGATGTGCCACGCGACTGGGTGACAGGTTCGTAGCAGTCAAGCTCTTCCTGAGGCTGACCGACCTTCATCTACGCTTTCTCGCCTTCATCGCACTATTTGTTTCGAATAAGCAAGCAACGGGACACCCACGGTAACGAGCCGGAGCAATGCAAATAATAACCGCCAAACACTGGCACGGCGCGCCTTGCATGATGTCCCACCGATTGATGGTCGTCTCGCACTGGGTCTAGACCTGTTCGACCTCTGCGGACAGTCAGCCCGCCAATCTGCTGGCTCCAACCAAGCGCATTCCAAATGCAACTGGTAATGCTTAGCGTTTCGGGTGGAAGCTCAGTGCAAGGCACGAGAGCTTTTGACCACGTTAACATAGCGGCAAGGTGAGACTGGAGCTGACATATGGACGTGCCACGCCGGAGAACTTGGTAAGCAATCAGTTCTCATGCTGCGTGGCACAGCATAGATGGGTAGCTTTCAATCCATCAACGTGGTTTCTTCCTCTTGGCAAAAGCAGCTGCTGCGCACCCACCGATCTCACTGTCCCTCGTAACGGCTGACCCATATCGTGCTGCTCGCACTGGCTGAGCCATGTGAAATCAACTCCAGAGCCGAGAACTTCTTTTCCCCTCCATGGGAAGCACCCATCCCAGAGTCTGGATTCCTCGATCAACATGACCTTGGCATCGATGAGGACTCCTTCCTTCTTGAGCATTTGGAGCTCCTTCTCCTGATTGATACCGCTTGGGTCTTTTTGCCATCCTGCGATAGCTACCGACGTACTACAGCAGATTTAGCAATGAACTTGTTGCAAAGTGACAGCTGGTCAACGCAGTCAACTCACCCTATCCGCGCCGATGACTCTATGACATGGCACATTAGATGTATATATATCCTATCTTAAAGCGCCACCAACGGATCTCGGACTCGATGAGAGAGCCCTTGACATGACGGCGTACGTGCCCACCCTTCCCGAAGGTATCTGTTCGAGGAGCGCGTGTACGCGTTCTTGGTATTGTATTACCACCGGCGCCGTCATGGTAGGTTCAAGGGCGCCCTGACGATGGTGAGTGAACACTTCTCTGGGCTGAAGCCCTCTGTGCTTTTCTTCTTAATGTACGCCCCTTCGCGAGGCGGTTGTTCTCCAGCAGCCACTCTCACAGGATACGTTAGAGCAAACGCTGGGTACTCGTATAGGGCTCGTGGGTCCTTCAACGCCAGATCACATGCTCGAAACTACGTGCCAAAAGCTCTGACAGCGTCTTCGTGTTTCGCATGAGCGATCGTTCTGTCTCGGCTTCAATAATAATGCCATATTTCAAGCGTATGTAAGAGCTCTCAGTAAGTGCTTCTATGGCGAGTTCGTGACCATGCCAGCGTCGAGCTTTTCCTGGATCCTTGCCACGACTTCTTTCAACCCCGCTTGTCTGACGTCGGAAGCTAAACAGTCAACGTGACCACATTGCAAGGCTCCTACCCTACGCACAAGGACAACAAATCCCTGATATTCACTCTCATTCTCCATTTTGACTGATCTCGGATCGTCCTGAAAGGCTTCCAGCAGGAGACATGTCGATAGTGAGGGCATGAGGCCGGCAGCCTGAAGCTAATCCTCGACTCCTTCTCCAAGACTCCGACTGTCGACGAAAGCGCCTCGTTCCTGGTCCTCACGCGACTATCAAACATGTCTCGAATCTCTCGCCTGTTTCCGAAGCTGACGGTTTCGGCTCTGCAGGCGACGACTTACCTACTCGGAATCGCGCTCTTTGGCATCTCGTTCCTCGTCTTCCTTAATAGCAGCATTTCGTTTGTGGTCACGGAGGTCATCGGGCAAAAGAGCAAGGTCGGAGATGCGGTTGGGACACTCACGTTCGCAGATGAGTTGGTGGCGCTCGTCGCGTGTCCGCTATGGGGGCTGTTGAGCGATAGGATCGGTGTAAGAGCTGTGGCTGTGGCCGGATATTGTATTGTGGCGATCAGTTTGGTGTGTCTCGTCCAGAGCACGAACGTATATCCAGAGCTATTGCTGGGAAGGCTGGGCTTTAGCGTCGGAGGAGCAGCTTGCTCGACGATGGTGACGGCCATTCTTCCCAGCATGGTCGCGGAGCGCTCTTCCGACGAGGACAAGCAGGATGAAGAGCAAGCGCCCCCGAATGGAAATGTTGCCAGACTGCAAGGAGAGGACCGGACAGGAAGAAGCGGCAGTATTGGTCACGCGACATCGCCAAGCGTCAACAGCGAGCTCACGATCACACCCGCGAGCTGGGCTTCGGCTTCGCAACGACGAAATGGTGCGGCGCAGAAGAATTCGTCGGGAGATGAGGACGAGAATGAGACGAAAGACGAGTTTGATAAGACGGCAGGCACGGCTCAACTAGCCGGACTTGTTGGTTTCTTCACCGGAGCTGGCGCTCTAGTCGCATTGGCAGTCTTTCTACCGCTGCCAGCGTACTTCCAGGGTGGTGGTTACGACCAATCGAAAAGTGTACAAGCAAGCTTCTACGTGGTCGCCGCCGTTGCTATCTGTGTTGCCATCTTCATATTCATCGGACTGCGTAACCTTCCGGGGGAGGAAAAGAAGAACTTCTCGGCGTTGCTAAGACCGCCGTACGATGAAACGACACGAGTCGGACCAGGAGGTCACTTACACACTATCCTATCGCCCGCTCCATCCTATTTCCTTTTGGCAAAGGAAGCGATCAAGCTTGGCTTTACCGACCCCGCCATCAGTTTGGGATACATTAGTGGTTTCGTCGCACGGGCCTCCTCCGTGGGCATAAGCCTTTTCATCCCCCTGTTCGTCAACGCGTACTTTGTAAAGGAGGGTCTCTGCAAAGACAATCCTGGCAATCTTCCCGACATTAAGAAAGAATGCGAGCGTGCCTACAAGCTCGCTGCCGCACTGACTGGCATTGGCGAACTGGCAGCGCTGATCTGTGCTCCCCTTTTCGGCTGGCTCGGAGGTCGTGCTGCGCGTGGAAAATCCGAATGGCCACTGCTAGTAGCCTCGCTTGCGGGCGTCGTAGGCTATGTGAGCTTTGGGCTGTTGAGAAATCCCGACGCGTTCCACGGCGACGGAGGGCAATGGTCTTTCCTGGCTGTCATTCTCATTGGCATTAGCCAGATCGGCGCCATTGTATGTTCACTTGGGCTGCTCGGTCGCGGTGTCAATGCGAACACAAAAAGCCTAGCTGAGTCACGTGACGATGAACCTGTCACATTGCGACAGGATGAAGCGGGACCTGCCGAGGGCCAAGAGACGGTACCTCTCCTCCTCAGCGCTCAAGCAAAGCCCTCCGGCGCAAGTATCGACCGGTCGCGCTTGAAGGGCAGCATAGCAGGCATCTATTCTCTCGCAGGCGGTGCTGGCATCCTGCTACTGACGAAGCTAGGCGGTGCTCTGTTTGATAGCTGGACGACAGGCGCGCCATTTTACCTCATGGCCATCTTCAACGGTATCTTGACCATCGCTATAATTCTGATTGGCGGCGGCAGTGCTGTGTTGAGAACGCAGAAGGGAGCAGCCATGTCAGAGGTCGCAAATACCCAGACTGAGCGAGATCCGCCTTGAGGAGTCCAAGCCTGTATAGGCTGCATATATAGCACAAAGAAATTAGGAAAGTCTCAAGTCTCGCTACTCGCTCTGCGCGAGGACCTTCGCTCTTGTTGTTCTCCTAGTGTGATCAGACGCGCCAAGATCCAATGGCTACCCAAAAGCGGCGCTATATCGACTTCACGATATGAGCCTCACGGAAGCCATGGTCCAGCTTCAGCAGGTTAGCGACGTAGGCGAGATGAAAATAGCTAGCTCTATAGTACTACGTAGTATATGGCTCGTGGCTAGTCAGACGTCTCGCGGCGCGCATGCTGTCTAGCAGCACTATGTAGCATCCAGCTCCAGTATTAGAATCAGATGTCGATGCAGCTTCGTATGAAGAAGTAGCAGCTACCTATACGGTTAGACATACCACAAAATCTCTTCGAGCTACCTAGCGAGTACGGAACCTCTGGTTGTGACGCATGCGGCATGCCACTTCCATCGCGTCGAATGTAACCTATAGAGCTCTGCTTGAGATTCGCTAGCTTGCTTCAATTGACCTTGACGCCGCTCTAAGCTGCAGCGGGCGTCCCGAAATATCGCTGATCCTACTACAAGTTCGTGTGTAGACTACCAACTTATGGCACAAAAACGCTACGATAAACCGACTGCATTGCGGATTTTTTTCTTGGTATAGGTCACGTGCACTAGGTAGATTCCAGCATGTGAAAGTGGCGCTAGTGAAGCTTAATTACGTCACAGTCGAAAACGCCATCTGCTGGACGCGCAGACGACCAAAAGAGACCTCCTCGTAGTTACAGTTCCCGAGATGTCGAGTCGCGAACTGGAACATCACGCGTCTGGGCATTGTAACGCTATGGACATACTTTCTTCTTAGTCGCCCCATACGTACGTACTACCGAGCGAGTGCAAAAACGCGTCATGACATATCGCACCAATGCGATTCGGAATTTTCGGCTAGATAAGCTATCTACCACTAAAGCTCATTTCGACGCGTTCGAGTACGACTCCGAGTACGCGCAGGTCGCACGCGTCCTGCAGCATCGATGTAGTATCCGCCTCGTACCTCTTCTCTTTCTTGTTCATCATCTTCAGACGCGTTTCCGTCGTCTTGCGGACGGTATTCTGACGCGTCATTAGCAATGCCTATAGCGCGAGAGAAGTTAGCACTTGAAAGTCCAGAAGGTAACTCAAGGTCTCTTACCAGTTGCTTCGTAATCTTCATCTTGGTCATCGTGGTCACCCGCCTCTTGCATTTCCACATATTCATCAGTCTGCGCGTTCTTTGCGCTCTTCGCTCGAGGAGGTTCGTCCTCGTCGTCGTTAGCACCTGCCTCTTGCATTTCCACATCTTCGTTAACCTGCGCCTTCTTCCCGCCCCTCGGTCGACGCGTGCTCTTGCCAGCCCTCTTAGACGACGCGGTCTGTACACGAGCCTGCGAGCGAGTCGTACTCTTATTGAACTTCTCCGACTTGCGGGCGCGTCGAAGGCCATGTTCTTCCACTTCTTCCAAATCATGAAACTCGCTGACCAGGAGGGAATTGCGTACGTGTGGAGCGGACTTGGTCTGGGGCTGTGTCGTACTCTTGATGTCTGCTCCACCCAACTGAGTGCTTGGGAACATCGGTCCGTAGTCAAAGAAGAGCTCTTCGCCTGGCTTTATCAGTCTCGAGCCGTACAACGCGATACGATGCACGGAGTTGCACATTATAGTCCGCGCGAAGAGATTCGCCTTCTTGCTGACTGCGTGGTTGATAAATCGAACCTTGTTGCCGAAATAGGTGCTGTCGATCTCTTGCTCATTGTTCAGAGAGAACAGATAGCTCAGCTTTTGGTGTTCGTAGACGGCACCTCGGCGCTCAGCTTCGTTCTTGGTGACAAGCTCTCCCTTATACTCAGCAACAAAATCGTTCTCGCGAATCTCTTCGCAGGCATAGAGGCCCAGACCATGCACACCGCTGTCGCCTAGCACGGTATGCTTTGGGACGCCTCGCTGGATGTTGGCATTCGCGCAGTTGTTGTGAAGTATCTCGTCATTATGGCGGTGCACCGGGTCCAAGACATCACACACGCCGCAATCACCACAGAGGTCAGCATCGCACTCCCTCCCTATTTGGTAGCATGCGCAGTCTTCGCTCCCATAGCAGACGCGTTTTCGCCCCCTTTTCATCTTGTCTTTCGAGCAGTTGCAGCCTCGAAACCTTCTATGGCAATCTGAGGCACAAGCGCATGTTTTCTCGCACGGGACCTTGGCCTCAAAACACGAGCAGACTGCCGAGCTACAGGAAAGTCCAGGATGGTGACATGGATAAAACGGGCCACGTGAATCAGGCCTGATGTTTGTCATCAAAGCTGCGTTGGGTCCAGTCTGCCAGTATCGCGAGCTCTGTTTGCTGCCGCCACCAGACGCTACAGGGCGCTTGTCAATAGAAGGAGGGAAACCAACTCTTGTCCTGAAATTGACCTCTGTGGGATGGATAATATCAGTTGCAGCAGCGACTTCAACCTCATCATCGTTCGGTTGCGCAAGCGCCTCTCCATCTTCGCTTTCTCTGATTTCCCCATGATAAGGACAGCTGAAGCGCATGCAGAGCCTGCAAGTCAACTCATCTGTGTTAGGAGCAGCTTCTGCTCTTTCGAGAAGCTTGGCAACTGCATCGCTTCGTCGGGCAACGTGCCAAACATGGAGGCCGGCAAGCACTTCAAAGTGATCGCAAAAAAATGCCGCCTTACGGGTGCAGGCAGGCTCGGGTTCTGGTAGATCTTTGACGACCGTAGTCCACGGCTCATGTGACGTGACAAGATCTTCTTGGGGGAGACTTATCCTCTGTGTGACCGCCTTCTGCGCCCTAGGATCGTTTTCGACATCTGGAGACGAATCCAACAAAAAGTGAAGGATGTCTGACCACTCGAGGCCAATGTCCTGAAGCATCTCTTCACAGTATTCAGCGTATCTCTCTGCGCGAGACATCTTGTTAAGCTTCTCTCGTCTTAGAGCAATGTCAAGCCAGTACTGATCTCTGACGCCCTGAGACTTTCCAATATCAAATTCGTCGCCGAAATATGGCCAGTGCTGCAAGATCACTTCGTTATGGGCGAGAAAATTGTCCTTGATACTGACGTAGTGCGAGTAGTTCGGTACGTCCTCGCCAGAAAGCTCAAAATTTCGGTACGGTGCCATCCAATGAGTCCTTAGCACAGGTTTGGCGCCACCGATAGTAAGCTTCTCAATAGAAACCTTTGCAAATCCAGTGGGAGGTTTCTTCTTTTTGCTCATCTGAGCCGCAGTTTTCTGCTGTAGATTCAGCGGACGCATATTTCTGAATATAGACGTTGGCTCGCCATTGCCCTGTACTAGGCCTGGCTCTGGAGGTGCATGCCTTGCTTCTCTCAGCCAAGTGCGCACGAAATGTTCGTTATCGTTTCGCATCTCGTCGAGGTATTTTCTGACCACTAGCCTCACATGGTGGAAATCACTCATGTCTGAAGATTTCAATGCTCTAGGACGCTTGGCCGTGGTCTTTGTTGGGGCTGGAGCAGTTTGCGCATGTTGCGTGAGCTCGCCAAGATCAGAACCTTCGGCTGTGATTGCAGAGCTGGACTCTGCAGGTTGCACAGAATTTTGCGCACGCAGAAGCCCTGCATGAGACTGTATCACAGGCACAAGCTTTGCTGAACTTTGAGGCCCAAAATGCTTCGAGACGTAATCCACAGATCTGGTGGGCCGGGTCTCATCTTCGCTCTCACTGTCCTCCTCTTGTTGGCGGTCTTCCCTGATGCTATCGTTGTTTACGCGCAACCCGTCTCGCGCGGTGTCTTGTTCCGATTGAGCTCGCACGGGCGAAGTGGTGATCGCATCACTTGGCTCGACCGCCAGAGAAGTCTTGCTGCTGGTTTGTGGAAGATGCGTGATTGCACCAGAGCTCGGTTGTTGGCCTGGTGTCGAGCTAATTTGCCGATGATGACTACCATTTGGTTGTGCAAGAGGGAGCTCCTCTTTCTCCGCGTCCCGATTATGTGGCTGAGCGCTATCCTCCAAACTTGTCTCAGACGGAGAAATAGGATATCCACGCTTGGATACACTGGAGGCAACATCTTTGCCATGCATTTCTCGACTTGGCGAAGCTTGCTTCGGATAATTGTCGCGACGCGGTGTTGGTGGACCCGACTTCTGCCTCGACTCTGCACGCATGCGACCTGAATCGGACAGCGAATCTCTCTGAAACGTCTGGGTGCTGTCTAGGGCTTTGGGTAGTACTTGTCGACTCGGCGAAGCTTTCTTCGGAGACTTGCTGAGGGGCGGTGCTGGTGTGGTCGACTTCTGCCTCGACTCTCCACCGATACGATCCTCATCAGGCAGCGAATCTTTTTGAGACGTATGGTTGCTGTCTAGAGGTTTAGGCAGTACTTCTGTCCCGGGCGGGCTTTCTGGCACCTCAAGTCCTGGCCCTTGCGAGCTTTGCTCGTGTGCTCTCACAGTAGGCGATTTTCGAGTGGGTACTTTTGAGACTTGCAATGGCTGCTCGAGCGCCTTTGAAGTTCGTGTACGCGATGAGGATGGCAGGTCTCGATTCCTGGAGCTCTCAGAGCCAGCTGAGGATTGGACTGGCGCCGGTTTCTCAAAGATTACAGGCAACCTAGATTTCAATCCGCTGGAGGAACCGGTTCCAGACAACACTCTTCTCGCGTCTGAGGATGCAGGCTGTCTGCTCGACAAAGGTTTTTTTACATTCCTTTGGATGTTGGTAGAAGCACTGTTTGCTGAACTTGCCGTCTTGATCGATACAGCCGGGCCGTCATCTTCCGTAGTCAAATCAATCATGCCGGAGATCTGAACATTGGAATTTTCAGGGCGTCCGGATCCACTTCCAAGTCTACGCGAGAACGGAGTAACGCCGCCATTTGGTAGTCGCAACTTTTTTGCAGGATGTCCTAGTGCAGAAGATGATTGATCATTCTCCCGCGGTCGCTTCAGGCCGGTGATATCACGGGATATGTGTCGGTGGCCGGGTGAGCGGACAGCAGTGCCGTATCTATCAGAAGCGGAGGCTCGCCCAATTGTCGATGGCTCCGCTTTCGGACGACTCGAGCGGTTGGTGACTTGCTCGCCAATTTTCTTGGATACCAAAGATGAATTGCGATCGCCTTCGCGGCGGGAAGGGCCCGGTCTCACACTTCCACCAGTCGAGGGTACCTTTTCTCCATTTCGGTCGCCATTGGGCGCGCCATTATTTCTCATTTGCAGTTTCGCACCTGCTTTGTTGCGTTCGGAATCTGAAGTGAGGTCAATCATGTCCTGGGTGCGCTTAGGAGTAGGCCTCGACTTGGCGCCATGATCGGAATCGCTACCACACAAATCGATGACGTTGGCCTGTCCGTCTTGCGAGGCCATTGACATTGGTGGAGGTGAGTCGCGCTCTTGGTGCAGGACAAGCGAGTCCACGCGCAAGCGCGCGCACTTGCGCAGAAAGGGCGTGGCGGCTGCAGTGGAAGTCGAGGCACCACGTGCTAAGGTGATCTTGGAAATGCGCCCATAGGGGCCCTGAATGCGGTGAAGAGGTGTCCGGTGGAGAACACCCGCCGATGACACGTATTGGATCCGTTTGCGCTGCATGGTGGTCAGTATGTGTTCTTTCATGTGCGTAGAGCTCGTGACTTAGGGTGTTTACTGGCGAGTTACCTTGTGCGATGGAAGGTGCGAAATGCACGTCTTTCCTTAGACGGCCCGAGCCATCCGATTGTCGCCTGATGAATAGGGAGCTGGTGTATGTCTGAAGATCTCAAAGAAGCTATTGTCGTCGTATCGACAATAACAAAGAAGAGGATGCAGCGAAGCAAAGCGTGAGGTGAGGAGCGCGTTCTGGTTGGAGCGAGAGGCCCGCTTTCCCTTGTTCGGACCTGCTGACTATGGCGGGTGGTAGCCGCCAGTGGGACATTTCATCCGCGGAAAGAGCGTCTCACTACAATAGTCTCTCCCAGCAGCAAGCAAACACCAATTACATCTTGACCACTCAATTTAACCATCAAATACATGAGATAAGCCTACACCATTTCAGGACGAAATGCCCGAGCTCCGTGAGACTATTCCACTTTTCACCTCTAGCTGTCCTTCTTCCAGAGTGCTACCTCTTAGATGCTAGACACGCTACGTAGCAACCATCGAGAGTATGTGGTGCAATAGCAGGTGTGGAGAGCTAGAGATACAAGCCGACCAGTCCTACGCTCTCAAGAAATTCTATCAAATTCCTACAAGTGCCCCACTAAGCCCAAGAGTGCATCTCCCACAGCGCCCCTCGTTTTACTCCTTCTGCCAAGATTTATGTTTATATATTATAATTGGGTGCAAACTTCACATCACATGACTAGCAGCTTTAGCTCACTTGGGAGAGCGCCAGACTGAAGTCCACTTCGGTTTAGCACCACTGTGCGGTATCTGGAGGTACTGTGTTCGATCCACAGAAGCTGCAAAGTTTCTTCCCGTTCTTTTTGCAGAAATCTTTTGCCCACACTTGCGTGCCGTGCCTGATTTGCCACAGACCAAACGTTTCCAGGTCTTCAATAATATTTCTTGTCAAGCAACAAGGTAGGAATTGTCCTTCTTTTCTTCTTTCAAAAAGACCATCAGCACTAGATATGTGCTCTGGCAGAGTACATCCATCTTTCACATGTATACAACGAGCTATCTTTTGCAGTTGCCATTGGATTCTACAACCCCGTCGCTTTCATTTCATCTCGCAGCATCACTGTTCACAGCGACATATTACAAGCATGCAACTACAGCTCCACGCCATTAAGCCGCATGGTGACGTTCACATCACGACACAGTTCTCTTCGTTATGCTTCTGATCCTTTCGAGTCAGTTTCCCGTTAGCCGGCGCTGGCCGTGAACTCTTGCCGCCTTTCTTCAGCTCCTCCAGTCGTTCGATGGCCTTAGGGAACTTGTAGCTTGCCGCTCGACCGTACCATCTTCTTGCCTAGTCCTTAAGGTTAGCAAAGCTTCACTGCATTAATCCTGAGACTGTATCGACTTACCTCGTCCATGCTCGCTGGACATCCAATGCCATTCTCGGCGAAGTAGCCCATGGCAAACATGGCTTTGGCCACTTGAGGTCCGCCTTCACTGCTCGCTGCCTTGCGCGCCCACAGATACGCCTCGGTATCCGAGTGCTCGAGAATCCCTTCTGCTCCCGTCAGATACCAACCAGAAAGCGCCAACTCGGCCTGGTGTTCGCCTTGAGAGGCCGCTTTCGTATACCATGCGATACTATCTCTGTTCGAGATGGGAAGTCCAAGATCACCGTACTCGTATGCCTGGCCCAGTCGGAATTGAGAAGCCTTGAAGCCGAGCTTTGCAGCCTGCATGAACAAGTTCTTCGCGTAGGCATCGTCCGGCGTTACTTTGTTCCTGATCTCTGGATTCTTGTTCGCACTTTCATAAATGGTCGCAAGCTCGTGCAGCGCATGCGGATTGTCCAAGTCTGCTCTTTCCGCTCCACGCTTGAGCCACGTCACAGCTTCTGTGATGTTTTTCGGTTGTCCCAGCAAGCCCTTGAGCATCACAGCTCCGACCTTGTACATAGCTGCAGGATCTCCAAGAGCAGCTGCGCGACGATACCACTGCACTGCTTTCGCGAAGTCTTTGCTGGTTCCGCCGCCCTCCTCTGGGCCCATTTCGCAGCAGACTGCCGTTCGATACGCTGCTTGAGCATGGCCAGCTTTCGCAGCAGCCTGATATAGCTTGAATGCCTCCTTGGTGTCGGCTTCCAGCCCAAGCATTCCTTGGCCGTAGCAGTCCGCCATGTAAAATTGAGCCTCGGCATATCCGCCAGCCACGAGCTTCTTTAAACGTTTGTAAGCTTCGTGTGTATAGCGCTCGCGATTCTTGGCGGTCGTTTTCGCATCAGCACGCCCACCCTCTGGTGCGAGAACAGCACATGCCTCCACCAGCTTCTTGACCAATACCAGATGCTGCTTGGGGTTGTTTGGACCTTTGTCGACCGCGTTTCGAAGCCGTTCCAATTCGGCATGCGTGACCTGCTGAGCAAATGGGTCTACAGAAGCTTGCCGTTGATGTGGAGCACCTCCTTGAGCACCGTCATAGTTCCGTACAGGCGATGGCTTGTTCGGTTGAGGTTGACCTTGCTGCATCAGACCTGGTCGAACTGGTGTCGGATGATGGGGAAGTGCGTCAGGATTACTGCCCTGTCCCGGCTGCTCAGGTGCAGAGCGTTGCTGTGTCAGCGGAACGCCAGTATTCATGCCAGGACGCTCCGCCAGAGCATCTTGTGGTGGGGGAGCGCTTCCAACCCTTTCCAGGCCTGGATCGGACCACACCGTCTGCGCTGTGGGATGGCCGTCGAACCCAGGCCGCTGCGGCGGGTACATCCCTCTTGGCTGGGCGCCATTTGGAGGGAATCGCGGACCGGGACCGGGACCTTGCCGGCCAGGAGGCCCTCTTGCATCATCCAAAGACCGCCTAACAGGCATGTCATTTGCGTAAGGAGCATTAGGGGGCGGCAACGGCGCATCCTGTGGATACATGGCGTTCTGCGGCGGCTGATTCCTGTAAGGGATGTCGTGTTGCCTTTGGCCTCTCGCAGACATCGGCGTAGAACTAGCGCTATTGTTATGGGGATCTGTCATGCCACGTCTGGGTGGGCCTCGCAGTGGCCCTGCCGTACCAGGTCGTGGTCCATACGGATTCTGGGCGTAATGAAGGTCGTGCGCCGACTGCGAAGGTGGCATCGAACTTGGAGGCGCCGTTTGCATTCTCTGCATTGGCGGAGGAGCGGCTGCTGGCGCTTCTTGCGTTTGCTTGTCGGCTGGCTGAATTCGCCTGTGTAGGTTGGAGGTTTGTCCAGGCGCAGCACTGTCGAAATCGGGCATTTCAGCCTCGATCTCTTCCTCTCGAGATGTAGGAGCGCGCTTGATCGCACGCGGTGGAGTAGTATTGTAATGATCGTAGATGTCCTCGAGACTGCCGTGCTGTGCGTGCTCCTCTGGCCAGCGCTTCGCCGATTGCTCGGGCAGGCTCGCGTAACTTCCTTGTGGTATACCGGATTGAGAGTGCTGTGCAAGAGGGCTTGACGGTTGTTGATGCGGTGCAGGTCGCTGGCCTTGCGACGTCGAGGGACGGGGAGGGACATGAGCTGGGCTGAAAGGCTGAGGGTCTGCATAGAGCGGACGCCGTGGAATCTGATTTGTGTCGATTGGAGGTGGGCCACGTTGCTTCGGCAAGCTTTGCGAGGGAGGCGCCTGATTTGGTCGTTCGAAACCTTGCTGATACCGTGGTTCCTGCGCCTGAGAGGGATAACTTGGATCATGCACGTTGGAACGTGGCGGAGACCGTCGGTCGGATTGAGCCTTGGGGGGAGTCTGTCCGGCAGTCATCGGCCACTGGTCGGGATACTCATCTCGTGTCGGAGTTAAGAGACCGTGCGGCGCCTGCGAAAATGTGAGAATCTCGTGCATAACAACGGATCAGAGACAAAACGAGTGTCTTGCGTGTTCGATACAGAAAATACAGCCCACGCTGCTGCAGTTCTTCAGAAACTAGGAAACCAGGTAACACACGTACCTGTCGTTGTTCTTGTGGATGTATGTAAGTTGTTTGCTGTCTTTGCGGAGCGTCTGTGGAATATTGACGATCCAAATCAGGTCTTCGAGGCGGCGATTGAACATCATTGTCGTGTCTGTAGCTGTTTTCTCGCGACGTGGCTGGTCGTTGGCCATTTGATGTTGGTGGCCTTCCATAGCCTTGCTCCACACTGCCTCTCTGGCTTGGTATGCTCGCGCCTCCAGATTTGTCTGACGAACGATCTGATTTCTTGCCGAACACGGGGAACGCGTTGTCAAAGGGTAGAGTTTCTGGAGACGTTGCCGCCTTCTTCATCTTTGCCTTCTCCTGTGCCTTCCACTCCTCCATTGACGTCCTGCCTTTTCCGCTGGCCTGAGGTGGACCGGATGGCTTTTGTGATATCTGTCCGCCTCTGGGATCTTGCGGTGGATACTGTCCGTTCTGCTTAGGGCGTTCACCGTACTGAGCATACGGATCTCTTGGTCGCTCGGCTTGACGCGGTGGGGCATATTGCCCATTTTGCTGCTCATATGGGTCCTTGGACCTCTGCGGTGCGTACCCTCTTTGAGATTGCGCGTCATACCCGTTCTGCTCTTCGTAGCCATTGTGCGGTCTCCTTGCTGGTTCATGATAATTTACGGGCTGCTCGTACGGGTCTCTGGATCTCTGAGGTGGAGGGTGGCCGTTCTGTCGCGGCTGGCCTCTAGGGTCTCCTTGATATGCACCTCGCGCGGGCGGAGGCGGCCCTCTTGACTGCGGACCTGGTCTTGCATGCTGCTGCGGAGGAGGGCCTCGCTGAGGTCTCTGCTGGTATCTCGGATCGTAGCTTCGAGCTTGCTCTTGCTGCCATTGTTGTCCGTCGCCCTGGATCCCGTAGCCGCCTTCGTTGTACATATGCTCTTGCGGTGCGTTCAATTCCTGACTATAGCCGTAATCGTAGCCTCCCGCTCCGCGCTGATGTTGGTGGTAAGGCTGAGTGTTGCCTTGATTATACTGGTCATCATATCCATGGGTACTGTAGGCGGGATTTGAAGCTTGCTGTCGCTGCTCCATATACCCTCGCCGCGGCGGCTCGTAGGCCGAGTTCTGATCATAAGCCATGGTAGAGGAGCGTGGAGAGCGTTCGATCCAATGGCAAGACAACCGCGCTCAATCAACGCATCTCGAAAAGAATGGAGGGCGAGCGAGAGGACAAAGGATATTCTGGGCCTTCGGCGGGGATATTGGTCCGGCTGAGGAGGTACGCTGGTGCTTCTGCTTCGGCGACGGATGTGTAGAGCTCGCTCTTAGCCAAATTACCAATGATTGCAAGGAAGTGGTTTCAGGATGTTGGTGATGATCTGATCGGGCACTTCCGTGGACGGGTCGCGGTCGCAGTCGCAGTCGCAGTCGCAGTCGCAATCGCAGTCGCAGTGTCAAGCGTTCTCAGATCGCGAAGTCCATTGTCGACGGCACATGCACAGTACATGTAGGCAAGACGGTTGTTTTGCGCAGTTTGCAGAGAGGGCGTCCCGTCCAGTCGCACCGGCGCGTACACCAATCACGAGACCCGTCCAACCAGCGGCCCCAGCGCCTCCAGCTTGAGAGGTCCAGAGTGGCTAGTGTCGTCTCAGCCTCAGTGGCGTACTACGCGAATACGAGTGCTCCTTCCCGGTTCCCTGATCTCGTGCTCGGAGGAACAGGCGCGACATGGGACAGGGCAGGCGCGAAGATTCGCTTCCCAGACGCTTCGATTAAGTTCATGTTGCTCCAAACGACTCGAGTGTCACGGTGACATGTCTCTCGCGGTGCATTACAGATCACGTGCTCTCTGTCTTACTCTAGTCCAGCCGATGGTAAGACTGGCTCATACCTTAGGGTATCGTTCAGTCCCGTGCCGTGCCGCTCCGCGAGTTCAGCCTCCCAATTCATTTCCTCGTCGTTTCATCTATCCCAACTTGCTTATCCATGATCGTCTCCAGTCTCTTGCTCACAACCGGTATCTTGCTCTACGCCTTCGCCGGCTGTCAAGCGAGTTCTGCCCAAATCCCACTGACGGAGAGCCAGAAACCGGACACAGAAGATGCCATCTCACCTTTGAACTTCTCTTCTTCGGCACCACTGATATTCCACTCCACCTTCGCATTACTGCAGCAATGGCCCCAGTCGTTCTTCCCGAACGGTCATATAATTGCTCCCTGCACGATCCCCAAAAATACCAATCTATACCATGCTCATCCAAACGCTTCTTTCCCTCCATCCCCCGAATGGTTCGCCTTGGACTCCGCAATGGCTTACTCAATCCTCGGTATGGGCGATGACGCCCACATGCTGACCTTTCGAACCACGAAAGACGTCAAATGCATTCTCTTCGACGGGACCTCTGCAGCTCTTATGGATGATGGGTCAATGGACAGCCAGATGCTGCTTATCCACAACAACTCTGAAAACGTGCTGGGCAATATCCGCTTTGGACGACCGCCAGGAAAGCGTCCGCCAGGAAAGCGTCCGCCATATGGAGATCAGCCGCCGAGAGGACCAGGTGGCAATTGGTCAAATTTCAACCCGTTGCAGCCTGAGTATGACCGTGCTACTGGCCTCTGTGACTTCATCAGAGAGAAGGACCTCGGCGGCCTGGGGTGGGGATATGAGGGAATCGTCAGGATGAATGCGGCTTTCGAAGTCATATGGTGCAACTTTTCGTCGCCTTCTGCTAGGTTGGTGTCTTGGCTCAACGTTTCATCGCCCACCTATGAGGGTTTGGATCGTAGCTGGAGCGCACTGGATAGCAAATTCGACACTACTGACGAGCCAGAACCACCGCCCAGACCACCACGCCCTGGTGGACCGCGAGGAGGCAGGCAAAGCCAGCACCAACCGTTTCTTCCCCGGACTGCGTACGCATGGTTCTATGCAGCTGCCAAGGCATATGGATTCGTTGGCGGTGTGCCCGGACGCGGGGAGGCTAGAGTGAAGATCGACAGCTGCGGCTTGTTCACTTTCTACGACCCATCGTTAGAGCACCAAACCCAAGTGCGGATCCAAAGGGAGCGCGGTCTATTGAATCTTACCGAGGATGGCTACTGGAGCGCACCGAGCGACCAGGAAACGCGGCATCTGGGCCTGCAAAAACTTACGCGTAGGAGAAGATACCAGCGAGCCACGAATGTGAGCGTATCCGATGGATTACGCATGCGACACAATGTGGAAACCTCACTGCGCGACACTCTCAAGAACCACGACCGGACCTGTAGCGGCCTTGATTGGGTCGCAATATCTCAGCAAACCGTTGCAGATTATAGCAGCGAGCTGTATGATCTCAGGAACCTCTTGTCCAACAACACCGATCTCTCAAACGCTACAGATGTGCGCCACTGGCTCATATATCTCCGAGGTGCAGCTCATCAACTAGCAATGCCTTTCTACGAATATCCACTCTACGACAACACATCGCTCAACCAAGCTTTCTCCATCTCCACGGTAGAATCTCAAGAAGCGCTGGAACGCTGCAAAGCTCAACATGCCCCTTTTGCTGCGGGGAACGAGCTCTCCCGAAGCGAACAACTAACACATCAATCGGTCTCTGAAGTGATCTCAGCAATCTGCAACACAACCATCGCTCTATTCCTAGCACTAGAACCAATCTGGCTCGCTAACTTCAACAACATCTCGTCTCCTCCAAGTACCATTCCACAAGACCTTCAAACCCACATACGCCGTACCAAAACTTACCACCTGCAAAGGATTGAAGAACTCATGGCCTGGCTCGGCTGGGCGGAACAATGGACTTCCTGCAACCCTGGCTGTGCTGTTGGACAAGTATGCGCTATTCCTATCTGGCCAGTCATGGGCGTGGGACATTTCTCCGGCGGAAAGTTCGGGTATGAAAGCCCGGAGGAGGCAGAGCAGAGTTTGTTCCACGGGAGGTGTGTGGATGCGCAGCATGTGGGCGGAGAGGAGGTTTGGTAGGATAAGAGAACGGTTTGGGAGCTGCCTACGCCTGCATCTCGTTCCGTTCGAACGCGGCATTTGACATTCTTCCATGATGCGACGACCGGACGACGAGCGTGACAGTTCCTTTCATCAGCGGCAATGCTCCTTTTCCCCACCCTACCGCCTGATCATCTCTCCCAGCCCTTCGGCAACCCAAGCACGCTTTGCAACTCCCCAATCTTCTCCTGTACAAGAGCCTTCCTCCTCCGAAGTATACCGTCAGAACCTTTGAAGGTCTCAGCGTCAAGACTGAAAAATTCTGTGTTATACTCGACAAGCTCTCCCCAGCGCGAGTCAAGCCTGCTGGTTCAAGGCGGTGCCTCTGGTGTGGTGCTGTTGGTGGGAAAGTGAGTGGTAATGGGATGATTTTGCTCTTTAGTGCACCGCTCTGACCCGGAAGATGGTGCATGCTTCTTGGCTTTGTGTGCGAAAATAGAGGATCGAGCTTTCCTTCCAGGCTGTGTATTTGAACTTGGAGCCATTTGTGCGTCGCTAAGTATCTTGACGAACAGGTAGAGTTTCTGCATAGACTGCAAGTTTAGCACGCCATCGTCGCGCTTGTTCTGGGCCTTGACACTTTCCGACTTTGCGAGGAGAGTCTCCAAGCACAGCCGTTCGTGGAGCTTCGATAGCGCCTTTCAACTCCAAAAAAATCACCTGTGTGCTGAAGTTCGCTTGCTTGATCTTCTCCGAGTTCCAGAAGAGTTTGAAGTCCTGCTCGCCTTCATCTGGCGCGCTTTGCGCACGGCAGCCGGGTCCGTGAGGCTGTAACTCGAGGATGTGCTCGATTGCAGTGCAACTAAATCCCACCTCGGCAGTTACATAGTTGACGCCATACATTGGTACGCGTAAAGACCTACCAAGCTTCGTCGTATGGTTGCTCAGCAGGAAAAGCACCAGCTCCGCAGCCTCCTTCGCGGGAGAAAATTGAAGGGCCGATGGACACTCGAGAGGGCAATTGATTGATTTTCTGGTTTCCCTCACCAATCACTCGAAACGAGAGACTTAGAGAGACTGCCATCTAGCTCCATATCAGGTTGACAAGGACGTACTGGCGCTGTTCTTCATCGGAAAGGAGTGCTGGTCCTTAAAGTAGCCGCTTTAGACACCTCTCCGGTCTTGTGGTCCCAAACCTGATCGCCAGAGATCATCGAGTCCCGACGCTTGTGGTCCTCTCGGTGGAGACCCTCCTTCTTGCCTTGCAAATACCGATGATCTCTCGCTTCGCGATGGATTTGTGTTTCAATCTTCCCCTTGAGCATGGTTTCTTGTGAGAGGCAATCGAAGGGCTGTCGCCAGAGTTACGGGTGTAGAACTGTCTTTCCTGGCTAAACGAGCCCTGGCAGTGGTGTGTCGGCCATTTCAAGGCTCGTTTCTGCCGTGTCCTCTGTTCCGTGTGCATGCGCGGCGTCACAATTCTTGTCCGACAATGTGCGCGTGTAATATATTCCTTTTCTCGCGTGTGCAGAATAGTTTTCGTTTTGTTTCGATTCGAGAAATGGAAAACCTGGCAGAACTTTACTATTGGTGCGTCAAGCGCGGCTCAGATGATGATCCGTGCTTTAACTTTCTACTAGCGCGTCTTCACGTGGCTGCTCATCGCGTAGGTGAATGCAATCCACGTCAATTAGTCTTCCTGATTGTCTCTTGCCACTTGAGTTTCTCAAGATTATGCCCCACAGCCCAATTCGACACATCATTCAGCAGCCCCCAAGCCTGTACCATTATGCCGCTGCGATTATACCCAGCCCTGGTGAAACCCTCAAAGTGAGCAAGCGCTGAGCTCGACTTCCACCACGGCGTTTTCCATCAATTGCTGTCCACGTCGGGTCTCGCAGAAAGTCCCCAGTGAGCTCGGAAAGATGCCGTTCAGTCATCTGACCCCGGAGCTTTCTGAGTTCCTTGTCCCTGTATCGCTCTTCAGCTCCATCATGGAAGACAAAGAAATGTTTCAACTACAATTCAGGAATTTCCTCAATCTTTTCAGGATATCAGACTGACCAAGGCCCATTCTGACAATGCTGCTCGACAACACAAAGCCGGTGATTTGCCGGAATGAGCTACTCCGGCGCAGACAGAAACTTCAGCATATTCAGTAGAGAATTTGCAGAGAGATTGGACATATCCCGGAAAACCTCCAGCGTCTCTTCAGCGAAGTCGCCGTCGCCCACGATCATGTTGAAGAAAGACGCGAAGTCGTCACTATTAGCGAAACCATTGCAGATGCGAATAAGATCGCAGATGCCACCAGCACTGTCCTAGAGTGCGAGGAAACAGTGTCGATAAGCAGTCCTTTCAATGTCTGTGGCACGGTCGCCGAAAGCGAAGGTCACTTCGAATCTGGACTCTTACGCACTCTGGGGATCAAAGCTCGTTTGTCGTATGGGCCAGAAGTGAGCGCAATGGCATTCTGAGCATCTCCATTTGTATCCCATGACTGGGCGTTTTGCAGCTCTGCCTGCTCGGATGCACCCGTTCCTTGTGGGTCCCGCCGTCTTTTGGGCGAGTTCAGTGTCGTTAAGGGTTCCGTTGGCCTAGTCGCTTGGGCATCTTCGTCTGCATACCTTGAATGAGCAGCATTTTGCAGTTCTCGCTGCTTGGATATATCGATCCCTTGTTATTCCGCTTGCCTTTTGGGCGTACCTAGTGTCATCAAGTTTTCAACGGACATCGTCCTCGCGCCAGCGGGATAGCGATTCCAGCGATGATTGGGATGATGGCAAGGAGGACGCAGAATTAATTCTTCGTCTAGAACTTCAGTGACCGCTGGCCTGCGGTATCGCTGGCTTCCTGGATTGCCGGGAGATCCTGGGACGTATACCTGCTCTGGCCCCTCGGGCCCGCCGTTTCGCAGACGGAGTACCGCAACTCTGAGTGTGCAATGGAACACGAGTCCGAAAAGCAGAGCCATGGCTTCTTAACTCTCGTGTTCCAGGCGTGCGAAGCCTCTCTATGGACTCTCGCAGAGATATAACCTCTTCCTCATCAAACAGGACTACCACGAAACAGCTGAGACCAGAGATCTCCAACCTTTCTACCAATCGAGGGCGTTCGAAGTCCTCTTCCCAGTCCGCCGCCTGCGAAATTTCTCCAATAGCGAGGAACCGATAGTCCATCTTCTTAATATTTGTGCCGCAGCCAGCTGCAGCGCCAGCTGGATGTACAAGGGAAGAACTTTAGCTGTGCAGAGAAATGTCAGGTGTAAAGTTAGTTTGAATTGTTAACAGGAAAACTGCCGCGGATATGGCTCGACTCCTTCATAGATCACTTGCTTCGTTGAACGTTCTTGGCCCGACTGACCAGGTCGCCTTTGTCCCGAGCAGCATGGCTGGTGCGGGCTGAAGCACAATGACACAGCATATCAATCGACAAGATGTTCTCAAGGCCGCTCGAAGCGAAAGCGATTGATGTGTTATGTGAAGTCGTTTATATGCTTTTTCCGTGGTTAATAGAACTCGAGAGCGCCGGTATACATATTGCATCGATTCTCTTGCTTGAAGCTTCCTGCGCCTCCTCAGGAGTCCTCGAAGAGCCGCTTCATGTTGATTAGGTATCATTGCAGGTTCTTTCAGTCTCACGCGACTCTACACACGTGTCTCGTCGCATCAAACGGCGTGCACGCGTTCGAGTTCGATCGAGCAGCATTGCGGACGGGTTTGTGGTCAAAGGACGTCTGGCGATTCTGTAGCGGTCTCATCGTAGCTGGCGCGTTGTGATAGGCGCGTTCGAAGGCGGCAGCCATGTAATGACTCATGAAATGCGCATCCCGGTGAAGGTGTCAATTGTGTCTACTAGTGTGTGTGGGAGCTCCAGGTGGAGAGGGATAGAGAAATCCACTGAGTGTCTTGCCAAGGCTGCGCTAAGGCTACGGCGGGCGATAGCGGCGCGTGTCAGGTGATGGAGCGTGAACCTCGCAAGGTACACCGCACACACTGCCACACTGTGAGTCTGTGACACAGTATGTCACCTTGGCGACTCTTGGCTACGACCAGGAACCAGGAACCAATCTGCTGTCATCATGGCCATGATTTGCTCTCACCACCCACACCCTCCTTCCCCCTTCTCCCCCTCTCCATCACCGCATCCACCTGGTTGGTGTCTCTTACCACAATCTTCCCTCCTCTCGTTCAAGACCCGCCATTCCGCTCGCTGACCCACCGCCGCTGCCTACCCACGCGCATCGCGAAGACATCGGGCAAGAGCAAGACAATCTGCCAAGCACGCCGCTCCGCCACCTCCCTCCGTCGATTGCGCGTCCCGCCGACCACCTCCATCGCCACTTCCACCGACAGCGACATATCGCACTGCACACTACTAGTATCGTGACGGCCCCCGCTGGCCGCATTCTCCTCAGGCATACATATTCCGCGACAACACAATCATGAAGCCTTCCATGTGGCTCGGCGCCCTGCTGGCAGGCTCCGCCAGCGCTCTCGATCTCGACCTGAACAGCAAGGACTCGATTAGAGAAGCAGCGAAGACGATTGCGACTAAGATGGTCGCTTTCTACCCCGGTGATCATCCGGGCGGAATTCCCGGTCTGCTCGGAGACCCATACTACTGGTGGGAGGCTGGCGCCATGTTTGGCGCATTGGTTGACTACTGGTACTACACTGGGGATACTCAATTTAATGCTATTACAACTGAAGCCTTACTATTCCAAGTCGGGCCGGACAACAACTACATGCCTCCCAATCAGAGTAAATCGCTTGGTAACGATGACCAGGCTTTCTGGGGTATCGCAGCTATGTCTGCGGCGGAGCAGAAGTATCCCAATCCTCCTGAAGACAAGCCGCAATGGCTAGCGCTGGCCCAGGCTGTCTTTAACTCTCAAGCTCTGCGGTGGGATAATGCCTCTTGCGGTGGTGGTCTGAAGTGGCAGATCTTTACTTTCAACAATGGCTACAACTACAAGAACTCGATTTCGAACGGGTGCTTCTTCAATCTTGCCGCGCGTTTAGGAATGTACACGGGCAACTCGACCTACCTCGACTGGGCTGATCGAGCTTGGGACTGGACCAGAAATGTGGGACTGATGACGGATGGATATAATATCTTCGACGGCTCAGATGACAATCTCAATTGCTCAGAGTTTAATCATATCCAGTGGTCCTACAATGCTGGCGTGTTCCTCCTGGGAGCAGGAGTCATGTGGAATATGGTGAGTTCAATCAGACTCTGGTAGACTGGAACGGCTACTGATCAATGCCCTAGACCGCCGACGCTGAGCGAGCCAAGTGGGAGGAGCGTATCAATGGACTCATCAGCTCCGCCACCAAGGTCTTCTTCCAAGATAAAATCATGTACGAAGTCGCGTGCGAGCCTTCTGGCAACTGCAACGTCGACCAGCAGTCCTTCAAGGCGTATCTTTCACGCTGGATGGTTGCAACCACCAAGGTCGCCCCATGGACACATGATACCATTATGCCTTTGATACAGGCCTCAGCGCAAGCCGCAGCGAAGTCTTGCTCAGGAGGCGACGATGGCATAACGTGCGGCACCAAATGGACCACTGGTAAATGGGATGGCGCATATGGTGTCGGACAGCAGATGAACGCACTGGAAGTCATACAGAGCAATCTCATCGATAACGTGCAGGGTCCTGTCGGTAACAAGACCGGAGGTACTTCGAAGGGTAACCCAGCGGCCGGTACAGGAGGCGACGGAAACCCAAGTGCACCACAATCCGTCATCACCACGAGCGATCGTGCGGGCGCCGGTGTCGTCACCGCGCTCGTACTCATTGGTCTTCTGGGGGGTGCCTGGTGGATGGTGATATAAGCATGTATCCTATCTCACTTTCGGCGCCCATGGGGAAATTGTACAGTATAGAACTGGTCGAACAGGGACACTCCTTTATCAGAAGGCCGCACACAAGAACGCCAGCATGGGAAGACATGCACGCAAAGTGAAAGAACGAGCAAACTGGTGGCCAGATGGGGGAGCCAGCACATTGCTTGCTCTCGTCCCTGGAAGTGGCGTTTCATGCACGAAGAAAGAACTTTGGAAAGCTTCGGTGGAGTTTGCAGGAGGGTGGCTGTGGATACCTTCTACTGCTTTAATTAAGATCATTTGACGAAAGGCATCAGTTCCGGTTATGTTGCTGGTGTCATTTGGGTGTGGCTCTTCCATCTGCATACATGTGCTCGCTTCGCTAATCTGCTGATCGAGCCTGTGAAGTCGTGGAGACTTCGATGTTGCAGTGTGCCAGCCCTTCGCTTTCCATGTTTCATGTTTCGCAGCTATATATGTACATTCTCCTGCCATTCCGTTGCTGTTACATGCCCAAAGGCTTGCTAGCAGATTGACCAGTCGGCCTCATGATGTCTCCCTTGCCTCGATGCTGGGAGACTCTGCTTTACTTCTTCCTGCTCTTGACGACCTTTTCAACACGGAGCGTTCGAACTCAATCAACGACCCAAGCAGTATCTGCAGTCTTGCCATCCTCGTCATCCAGGACAATGACCTCTCTATCGTCATCCAAGACAATAACTTCTCCATCCTCAACGCTTTGTGCCTCAGTCTCCTCGATACCGTCCGTCTTCTTCAAAGTCTTCAAACACTCTTTGAAATGGAGCTTCATCACCGTTGAGGCAACGGCATTGCCACACTGTCTGAAGATGGAGGTCATGCATGCTGGGGCAAACTTGTGGTGTGGCCATGGAGGAAAGCCTGCCAACACAGCGAGCTCGGCGCCGTTGAAACTACCACCGCCACCTGGATGCGTGTTCCCATCGCCGCCCGACGTCGTGATGCAAGCTTTGAGGGGCTTGTTTGGGTCATATGGGCCGCCTCCCTTTCCCTTGCCGTATTTTAGCATGTGCGCGGGAATCCTGCGGGCAGGTGGGAGCAGGTTTAGGCGATCCGCAACCGTGACGTAGGGCTTGAGTCCTGGGCCATGTGTGGGCTCTGGAGAGCGTGGTAGAGGCTGGCCTGGGCTGTGAATATGTTAGAAAGTTCCAGGATTGACGAGGCAGGGATATTCTTCTCACCATGCTGCCATCAGTAGTAACCTCTTCCTCTTATGTACGTAGTCCCATTCGTTAAAGCACGAGACTCTCCAGCTAATGCTGTATCCAGCCCAAGTGAACTGGTGGATCAGATTTGCCCACCTGTCATGGTGGCGTGAGAATATGCCTTCTGTTTGCTCCACGGTAACGATCCTGGGTCTGCATTTCTTGACGGCGTCGAGTACCACGTATCCTGCGGCGATGTTTGCCGCGTCATTTTTGCCATCGACCGTATGTGCTGCCGAGTGAGGCTGACAGGGTGGAGATATGTGCAGGACATCCACGTGCATGAACGGTTGTGGCTCCGTCATTGCGAGGAAAGTGAAGATTTCTTCCTTCATAACCTTAGCCTCGGGGAAGTTCTCTTCCAGTGTGCGACACGCATCGCCATCATGGTCCACAACGAAGTTGACACGCAAGCCTGCGAGCGCAGCGCCACGGCTGCATCCTCCAGCACCCGCAAAGAAGTCACCGTAGGTGTATTCATCTGGTGACGAGCCAACGGTATGGACAGGAGAGCCACCGGTACGGATCGGACCACGCGACTTTTTGTTTGGACGATAGCAGATCTCATTGGTAAGGTCGACTTCCGGCACCTTATCTGCATGCCGACCAAATCGACACCTCTTTGCCTCGTCGGAAATTTTGGCGTCTGCATCACTCTCATGCTCGCCGAGAAGCGTCAGCCTGGCTGAAGGCACTCTCCCCTTGCGATCGCGTTTGAGCACGACCAACTTCCATCGACAGACTAGTACGGCTCTGTCCTCCCGCTCGAGGTCGTTAGCATATTCCCGGTAGCCGTGCACTAGGAAGTCGCGGTAGCTATGCGCTGGGAAGTCTTTGTTGGTAAACACAATTTTGCGAGCTTGGATGACCAGATCCAGTGGGCGAATGACGAGCATGCTGTCGCTCAAATCATTGATGTCATCGCATTCGATCTCGAACTGAGCACAAAGCTCGTTCAATTTCTTCGGCAACCAGTTGTTCATCCACCTTGTCCGGCGCAAGAGCATGCCTCTGACGATGATCTTCCCATATACATCCTGAAGAATATCGTGGATACGGAGAAAGTCCGCGTCCTGCAATTCCACGTTCATGCCTGGACGTACTTCCAGGCCACTTGCGGTAGTTGCAGAAGCCAGGCGTTGATAACCGGTAGGAGTACCTGAGAGAGAAGTACTGGCTAGGCGAGTTCTCAACCTTCTAATCTCATCCTGCTCCTCATTTGGCTCATCTGTCTCTTCGTCGTCGCGGTCGTCTTGATCGTCGTCGAGCTCGTCAGAACTGTCGGAGAGGATGTAGGCTGGCGGTAAGTCTTCCTGGTTGAATTCAAATTCATCCACGGCATCTCTAACGTCGAGTTTTCGCTTCGGTGGCCGAGGAGTGGGAGAAGATTTACGCAGCGGAAATGGCAAACTGCTTTGGCGCGCCATCTCGACAGTGTCGACCGATATGGTGATCGTATGGCGCAGGCCTCCTCCAGGGTCTACGTGTGTGGCACTGGTGAGATCTGAAGAGCGGCTGATTTGAGATGTGCAAGGTCGAGGAGTAAGTGAGCGTACAGCGCGCGGATGACCGTGAAGATAGTCAGATTGCCGGTGACAGTGATGATCGGGTTCGACTCGGTTGGAAATTGTCTCCAGCGGAAGAGGTGGTGTCAAGATGGGTCTCAATCTGACCGGGTTACCCGCGTTACGGGTGCAGGTTGCCGCCGGCGATCAGCAGGTGCAACTTGCCAGCGCGCTGTCACTGGGGCAATAGGATGTTGTGCCGGCGGTGTCTCATTGCGAGTGAGAAGAGTGAAAAAGTGCAGTAATGAAACTGTCTTGGTTGTCAATGAAAAAGAGGCGTTGTCGAGTTTCGGAGAAGAGCAAACGAAAAAGCGGGCTAGTCGCTTCGCAGGCGCTCGGACCACCATGGGAGCGACATACATGTGAAAGCTCCTACCAACGTGTAGATGAGCAGAACATCAGTTCTTAGGGTGTGCGAGCTCACTTTCAAGATATCGTGCTATGCTTCCTGTATCTGCGCGAGAATGTGAGCCCATCGTGATGTGTCCGAACGTTTGACTATTTACGAAGACTTCTTTCCACGTCTCTACTGCTCATCGAAGGGATTGTGGCCCATGGGGCACGATGGGCAGCAACACGATGTGTCGCACGCTGGCAAAGCCTTTCCGGTAGTAGAGGCGATGGATTTATCATCGGCTCGCCGCAGCCGTATGATATGTTCTTGTAGCATGTTCTGCATCATTTCCCCGGGAGCAATGTCTGTGGGAAATGTACTGCTAACACAGCGCGAGCAACAAGTGAAGTGCACAGAGGAGGCGCGCCAAAAGTATGGGCCAGCGGGCCAGATGTCGTGGCATCTTGTGCGGCCCCAGTAGTAGCTTTCTGGCAGCGCGGAGAGGCCGGCAAAGCATCTCCAATTTTCAACCTTGGGCAGATTTTTATCTCAGAACATCCGTCCCGTCCCTTCACAATGGACACCTCACCCAACGACCCCGGCCCGCCGTCCTTCCTCCACCACCACATCCCGCCATGAACATCCGCCCGTAGACCCGGCCTCGAGGCTGTGGGAGCATATCCAACAACATTCTCTGCGAACGCGAGCTATCTCATACCATCCCGGCGCATTCTCGTCCGTCGCCCTAGTCGACCACTTGCTGGCGCGAGGTGCAGCATCCGAGGTGAGCATCACGAGCCCCTTGACCGCAACACTCGTGTGATGAGCCAGAGAAATTTTCAAATAGATGTTAGACTTGGGACAAATCTTGACCGGACGATCTCGTTCTGATCCGCGTTCGCTACGCCTGAACTCGCAAGAAGAAACGCTGCGCTTCCACGTGCTAATCGTGCAGTAGACGCAGACCACCGCGCGCACATATCTTGATACCTCAGCCGAAACACACACGCCATGTGCGGCATTCTCGCAGTCATTCTTGCCTCGACATCGGCAGATGCGGCACCCGAGCTTCACCAGGCCCTCTACTATCTCCAGCATCGAGGACAAGATGCCTGCGGAATAGCCACGTGCTCCAAGGGTGGAAAGATCTACCAATGCAAGGGCAATGGCTTGGCCTCCAAGGTGTTCCAGGACGGAAAGAGAGTTGCAGACTTGCCCGGCTACATGGGCCTGGGGCATTTGAGATACCCAACCGCTGGCAGCAGTGCCAATGCTGAAGCCCAGCCGTTCTACGTTAATTCTCCGTATGGCATCTGCTTCACGCACAACGGCAACCTGATCAATGCGCCGGAATTGAAGGAATATCTCGACCAGACTGCACACCGGCATATCAACACCGAGTCTGACAGCGAGCTCATGCTCAACATCTTCGCCGACCAGCTCAATGAGACAGGCAAGGCGCGGATCAACGCCAATGACTGCTTTCGTGCTCTCGAGGGCATGTACCAGAAATGCAAGGGCGGCTGGGCCTGCACGGCTTTGCTCGCTGGATTTGGCTTGATCGGCTTCAGGGACGCATACGGCATCCGGCCTATGGTCCTTGGAGAGAGGGACTCCATTGACGTGGAGGGCGGCAAGGACTACATGATGGCCTCCGAATCCGTTGCGCTCAGTCAAAACGGATACAGCAAGATACGTGACATCAAACCTGGCGAGGCCGTGATCATCGAAAAGGAGAAGGCACCACAGTTCCACCAAGTTTGCGAGCCTCGGGATTACGCGCCCGACATCTTCGAATACGTGTACTTTGCGCGACCCGAAAGCATCATCGACGGCATCTCTGTCTACCGAAGTCGACAGCTGATGGGATATCGACTTGCCGAGACGATCAAAAAGGCGCTTGGACCTGATCAGCTCAAGGAAATCGATTCGGTTATTCCCATCCCCGAAACATCCTTGGTCTCTGCATACGCGGTCAGTAAGCACCTCAAGATCCCTTACTGTCAAGGCTTTGTGAAGAATCGGTACATCTTCCGTACCTTCATCATGCCTTCTCAGCGAGCTAGGCAACGTGGCGTCCGTGCCAAGCTTAACGCGATCCCGATTGAATTCAAAGACAAGAATGTGCTACTCGTCGACGACAGTATCGTGCGTGGTACAACTTCACGCGAGATTGTGCAGATGGCCCGGGAGGCGGGCGCGAAGAAGGTGTTCTTCAGTAGCTGTGCACCTCCCATTACGCATTCGCACATCTACGGCATCGATCTCGCCAGCAGGACCGAGCTGGTCGCACATGGTCGCACAGCAGCAGACATTGCAGAACACATTGGAGCTGAAGGTGTCATCTATCAAGACCTGGAAGATCTGACTTCTGCCTGCGCTCAAGACAGCCCTCGTGATCCGGCAACCCAGCGCTTCGAAGTCGGCGTCTTCTGTGGCAAGTACGTGACGCCCGTCGATGAGCAATACTTCAAACACCTGGAACAGATCCGCGGCGAGACAAAGAAGATGAAGGTCAAGGAAAAGGCTGTACAAGCCGTCGCTGCTGGTACTGCCGGGCCCAAGGAATTGAAGATGGCCGTGAACGGCGTCGACGTCGACGACCACGGAGAAGTCGTTGCTAGGGACAGCGGCTCGGATGGCGAGGGTCGGATGCCCAAGCGGGAGCGGGTCGACCGATTGTCGAGGGGCAACAGCTTCGTCGATCAGAGACGTCCCAATGGTATGGAGGCGGAGAAGCGCGATAGCCAAGATATCGCACTGCATAACCTCAACGACCACGACGGCCATTCATGAGGTATTGAGCTGAAGATCATACGAAGCGATGATCTCTGGGCGAATGACTTGGCGTACGGGTGGCTCGCTATGGAAAAAATCTCGGCGTTGGTAGAGGATGAAGCTCGAAAAGCTCGGCGGCATTCCCTTGATTCGATCCCACTGTATGTAGCTGCGCCCTGTCCAAAGTTTACGTGTGCATTGAAAAGTTCGGATTCGTGCCTGTCGCAGAGACTTGATTTCTTGATGTTGTTTTGAGACTACTGGGGCTCCGCGCCACCATGCCTGTTTTCTCTCCCCTTCTACATGACCACCCACACCTGCACAAACAAATGATGATTTTTTCGCCGCCTTCCGCTCCTAACGCTATGCACGCATAGCCTTTCCGTCATGATGAAAATCCGAGGGCCACAGAGAACGCCTCCTAAGATGCAATTTGAGAAATGCCACAACTCCCCAGACCATCCTGTCTGTGCCTTCCAATCTGTCCTCTATTCATACCAGCAATGACGTACGGGTTAAAGTGCCTCCTCTTCGTCCTGCCAATCCCACACCGTTCGCAAGAACTGCGTCATGTCGACACGTTTCGTCTTCATCTCGACCATCCAGGGATGTTTGGTGATGTGCCAGGGTGTTGCTCTCCGGTTGGGATCCTTTTCGAGACTGTGATTGTGTTAGCGAAAAATGGTTTGCATGGTAGGCAATATCTCAACACTTACCAGCATTCAATGAAGTATTTGAAATTCTCACTCCATTTGAGCTTGTTCTCCGGCTCGTCTTTTAGTTTCGGAATGGGTTGCCGGACGATGTAGGTGAGAAGATCGATGAGACCAGCTCGAGGGTTCATCTCAGTACCGTCGGCGGGGAACGGGAAGCGATGCTGTGCCACTTCCAGGAGCGTCACACCCAGACTCCACACGTCACTCGTGATGGTATAGCTTTGTCCAGTGATACGCTCGGGTGCCATATAGTAGCTTGTTCCAATGAAAGTATTCGCGTCGCCCTTGGTGCCGAATTCTCCACTCACACCAAAGTCGCAGAGCTTGACCTGTCCTTTCCGGGTCAGGAGGATATTAGAAGGCTTGATATCGCGATGGATGATTCGGTGGCCGTGTAGGTATGTCAGACCGTTCAGTACGCCTTCTGCCACTTTGCCGAGCACCTTTTCGCCAGTCCGACCACCCAGCTTCTTCACCTCTCGGTACACGCTGTCAAGTGAGCCGCCCTCGCAGAACTCCATACTAATGCCTATTGTTCCAGCTGTGTCGTCCATGAATGCACCATAGTACTGGCAGATGTGTTCTGATGCGCAAGATTTGTTGAAAGAGAGCTCACGAACAATCTGTTTCTTCACGTCGGGGTTGGGGTCTGTTGTGATGATCTGCGTACTCTGTTAGCCCGGGCGTCCATGATGGGTACTACTATACCGACCTTCAACGCAAACACGGTCTTGCCTCCTTTCAATACGCATCGTGTCACTGCACCACCAGCACCTTCGCCTAAGCTGCCAAGTTCTACAATGCGACCCTCCTTCTTCGCAGCCTTCCAGCCCGCATCATCGAGATCTTCTACATCAAGTGGCCGACCCTTTTCCAGACTCAGTTTCTCGAGATCAGGGAGTATGCCCTGCATGCTGTTCTCTCTTTCCATACCCACACCTCCTGAGTGAGCCGAGCTACTGCTATACAGTGAGCCGGTCGCTGATTGAGGGTCTTTGTCGCTGCGCAGCATCTCGACGAAGTTGTAGGCAGAATATGAAGAGGTGGTTGACACGGAGCCATTCTGCGTGGTATTGGCACCGAAACTGTTTGTGCGGCTATGTGCCGAATCGTCACTACTGCCCCCACTGCCAGATATTTGTAGAGGAGGTCCCCTCCGCCTATGCTGCGCGTTCTCTTGAGGGGTGTGTGCTGTCCCCATTGGCGTCGCTAGACTCAGTTTCGGAGGCTGTTGGCGGGGAATGGAGAGAGGAGGCATGGCAGGGTTCTCGGACATGGGAGGTGCGGCATTGCTGTGGACGGGACGCTGACTTGGGGATGCAGGTATCGCCAGACCGAGCCGTGGCACCTTGCCAGACTGCTGGCGGTTGGCACCCGGAATGGGCGGACGTAGCAAGGGCGCGGGCGACGCCATGTTGGAGCGATCGGGAGGGTCGAGGGCGGGGTGATTGTCGGCCACGATGGGCAACGAGCACCGGAGGCAATTCAAGAGGTGCCGCGAGCACCTCTTGATAGCCTGCAACAGCGATTCAGCTGGGCAAGAAGTGGGTGGTACACGGGGACGTGTAGCTCCGCTGTGTGGGAGCGGAAGGGCGGTGATGCAGCGGGATGGTATGATGGTGGACTGGTGACGTTCCGATGCAGTTGAAACGAGCGGGGAGCGAGGCGTTTCGACGGCGGACGACGGACGACTTGGTTGGAGTACCGCGAGATGGAGAGTGGAGGGATGAGCCGCGGTAGTGTGTGAGTGAGAGAAGTGAAGTGAAGTGAAGTGAGGTGAGGTGAGGTGGGGTGGGGTGGATTCTCTCTGTGTCAGCAGTGATAGTGATGGTAGGTGGTGACTCCGATCCCAAAGTCAGCCCGGGCAAGCGCCGCCTGATCTCCTCCTTCTGTGTTCGCCTTCTGTGCCTCCCACTCACACGCTCTTTCCCAGGCCACTGCAGGCACGAGCATGAAATGCGGACGACTCGGGAAGGTGGGACGGTGGTACGAGTCGCTCTCCAACTAGCCGCTCACCCTCACGCTCACGCTCACGCTCACCCTCACCACTACTGCACCAACACCACATGGAAAACGGCCCCCGCCGGATCTGCTGAAACGCGCGCTCTGACCACGGCCCCTCACATTGGTGCGTTACAGCGTGCGGTCTGGTATGCTGTTGGCTGGCGCTGCCTCCAACATCCCATCCACACCCACAGCATCCACCATCTCTTGCATCTGTCATCTGTGATCGCCGGCCTGCAGCGATCGGCAGGAGGCCTTCACACAGCTCATGCACCTGTACTCTAGTAGACCGCGACACGTGCTGGTCTGCGAGACTCCGACGACAGACCTCTACCGACCGGCGGACATTGCCTGAATCAGCGCCCCCGCCAAGTTGGATGTTGATGATGCACGACCTGGATGCACGCTGCACACTGCATCCACTTCCTGCCTTGCTGCTCAGGCGGCCTACCATCTACCATGCCATGCTCAGACTGCCACCATCCGCAGCCAGCCGGACATGATCATCACTTCATCCCACGAGCAGGCTGGAGCAGGCATCCGCGGCGTACCGTTGTTGGCGGCATTCACTTTGAAAATCAAATTCCTCCCTTCCGTCTCCCACGGACCCGTCAACACCGAGTCTTCATGCTGACAGCACAGTCAAACACCTCACATACAAGACCACTGGTCATGCGCCGCTACTTGGGTAACCTGTGACCATCCACGCCTTGCCCACGCCCATCATATGAGCAAGTCATTTGGGACCTTACCTGCATGCACACATGCATGGCTCAAACGCAAATGCAATCGAACACATACGTCGCCGGAAGAGAGCCGCCCGTCTTCAGACTTTGTCTATCTACACTCTGCTTGTGACATTCTGGCTGGCTCTCGGCGAGCTCTCTTCCGAGCTGGCAAATGAAGGCCTCCTCATGTTCGACATCATGACCCTTGTCACATGCTACCAATTTGCTTTGCATTACAATGACTGTCTGCAGCACATTGACCTCACATCATCTGGCACCACTTTGCCATGATGGACGACGGGAACACTCACCATTTCACAAGATTGAATACGACTTTCGGCACTTGAAATCTGGCGCATGAACAAATATTTGCTCGAAGTATGTGACGACCTCTGATTGCACTCCTAGAGCATTTCTAAGCGCCATGCAAGATTTTTTATCCAGTCGCGTCCTCGTTGACGACAGGTTTTGTGCCATAGTCTGAAGGACTGCAAGCTTCTCGCTCAGCGCGGCTACCACCTCTCCCTAGTCTTCAGCAGGTCCTTGCTCGGCTTGCAGTATTCTAATCTCGTAGTTGCTAACCTCAGCCTCGACCTGGCGCTGGAACTCTTCAATTTCGAACTCTTACTTCTCTTCGCGGCGCTTTTCCTTGGCCACGCCTCGTTGGAAGTTGATGGCTTCCTGGATCTTAGCTGAGAGATCCAACTTCATGAGGAGAGCCGTCACCTCCTGAACACCATCGAAGGCTGATATCATCCGACACGGTCCAGCTGTATAGTCTTCATCGGCTTCGCCATCCATCGCCACATATCGCGCATCACGTAACGCTTGCTTCTCCACGAATTCGGCGACTGTTACACGTTCAGTGGCCCCTTCTTGTGCCGTTGGAGACTCTTCTTGGCCCAGACCATGCATGCATGCCTCCGTGGCTAAGTCTGGCTTGGGCTCTCGAAGATTCTGTTCCTCTTCATCCTCGGTCTCGGCCGGATGTGGTTTTGATGAGGCAGATGCCTGGTTCTCTTAGTAAACGGCCTCTATCGCAGCCGCTGGCAATGTTCCGGTATTCGCCTTTTCGAACCATTCCCTCGAAGAACGTAAGAGTCCTGGGAGTATCTCGCGTTTTAAGACTTTTGCTTGCGGCCTTCTCAGGAGCGCTATGGCTACCGAATCTATAGAGATACTCGCTGGCAGCGTTTTAACGTTTATTAGAAACTATGTGCAAAAGGTACGTTGATTGAAGGCTTACTACTACATTCCAGAGAATCGCGTCGCAGTATAAAGTCGCCTGATCCGGGGTTCCGAAACCTTTGTCTATGTCTAATTACTCTGCGACAACTACCCCACCTTACGTTCCACCGTTGTTGATCATTATGAGCTCGACAATTCCTGTCCTTTCTCAATTCATAATATGATGTCACGTGACTATCAACTGATTGTGTCGTCCGTGCGTCCGTCCGTGCACTCTCCATCGACGGGATGGCAATTTTGATCGTGACAACTTTGAAACTAGTCCATTCATGTTCATAAACTACTCTGGACATGCGCCCGACACGTCTCACGGAATTCCTCAATCTCCTCTCGATAAGTACCCCAATCGACACAGCTCAGACTATCACCAATCTCTACCTCTCTGCAATCCCATTCATCGACCTCGACACTAATCTCGAAATCTCCATGAACCGGCAGCATGTCTTCCACCAGCTTCTCCAGCCAGTCGTCTACAGCCGGGACGGCACGTTCTTTCGCTGCCACGGGATCGATTTCCATGCTTGCGGGATAGCCGCCTGGATTGCTGAAGTCGTCGCCGTAGTCTGAAGACTCCCAACCGGGGATGTGCTTGATCCCGGCTGCTTTGGCGGCTTTCTTGGCTTGTTTCAAGGCTTCTTCGGCGGTGATCAGGTTGCGCGTGATCTCTCTGAAGTTTTCGACCCAGTGGACGTCGAAGTCTTCCTGCGAGGTGTAGTAAGTCTCTTCACCTCTCATTTCGGCTTCGTTGTTGAGGATTGCGTCCCGTTCACGACTGACTTCTTTGCTGTCGAATTGCTCCTGCATAATTGTGACGTGTTGCAGTGCTTGCTGGAGTGTTTCCGCCATTCGTGCTCTTCCCAGATTTTCTGCTTCTTCTTCTGGTGTCGGTTTAGGGACTTGTCGGTGGAGATAGTCTCGGCTAGTGTCTAGCTCTGGAAGCTCAGGACTGTATCCTCCACGGATCATCTCCTCTGGCTCTTGCATATCCATGAGCGTGGCCTTATACTGCTCCTGAAGATCGAATTGCTCGACGGGAAGGTCGTCTTCTTCGTCGGGGTTCAAGAGCGCACACTCTACGAACGCCTCTTCGAGGTTGGCGTTGACTTCTTGCTGGATCTTGCGATGCAGCTGTGCTTGGAAACGGAGGTCGGCTTCCAACTGGTCCTTCCTACGCTCCATATGCGAGCACATACGCTCCAAGACCTCAACCTCTTCCTTCAGCTTGGCTGCGAGCTCTCGATCCGGCTCCTCATCAGGATCATTGGGGCTCTCTGCGATCTTGATGCGAGTGGTATGACTAGTAATCTCCCGCTTGACCTTGAGTCGGAACTTCCGTATCTCCTTGACTTGCTGAGTGACTTGCCGTTCCTCTCGCATGAACTGTCTTTGATTCGCCACCACCTCTCGGATCGAAAGTGAAAGACTGTGCGTCAACAGTAGCGCAGCACATGGCTGGACACCGTCATCTCCAATGACGAAACGAGTTGGTCCTTTCGTGTAGTCATCGGGGTCCTCATCCTGGAAGCGTGCGTAATTTATATCTCTAAGCGTTTGCTCATCTGGTGCTAGCGCCTCTGGAGAGTTGGTGTCGTTCTGAAAGGCCTCGCCAAATTGACTGTCCTGGCCGATGTGCCATTCGTCAGACACGAGATCGACATGAGAGATCTGGTCCAACCCATCGCACGGAGCGACGTTTGGCTGGCTTTCCTCGTCAATAGATTGTGGCTTTGGCTCAGCCTGGAAGAATTTGGAGAAGTTTTCGCGAATCGTTTTCCGGAAAAGGACTGCCTGCAGTCTTTGAGCAAGAGTAATGGATACCGGATCCATACTTGGGAAAAGGTGCTGTTGTGTAAGGCGTATGGAATGTCGAAGTCCGGTAGACCCAGTCGAGGTGTTCTTGCTATAGTTCAGGCCGGGGGGAAAAGTTAGGCTGACAAAGGATTGGAAGGGAAATGTGCAATTTCCAAGACCTTTATCTTTGATTGTAAACTTTCTTTGTTAGTGTCGTGGTTTTGAGGTTTTTGACATTGTCTCGACGCCTCGGAGCGAGGCTTGGGTCTAATTCAGGAACAGGAGTCAAATACCAAGGATCGCTTTGAAGGACTCGGTCCACTCAAAGCTATGTGCCCGCGGTCTTGAACGACTCTTTCTGCAATCCCAATTCCTCACTGTCATCTTCTGATACCTCTCCCTCCAGCGAGTAACAGCAGGTCTGTTCCATTTGTTGATCTTTTCTCCGCAAAATTGTCAGCTTCCTCGAAATCATGCCTCTGCTCAACAGCAAAGTCACTGGCAACGGTGCGCGGTCAGTCGGCAAATCTGTATCATTTGCCCCATCGCCTCAGACGCAGCATGCTCCAGCGAAGTCTGCATGGGCTCAAGGTCCTCCAGGAAGCGGCTTCAGCGGTGCCAGCTCAACCTACTCCCGTGTGGAAGTAACAGCTACAGCTACTTCAGCTCAGGCTCCCACGTACGTCCCGCCTCAGAAGAAAAGCGGTGCTCAGTCCACCGCGTCTTCGATGAACCGAGCAGCAGCAACGATGCAAAGTATGAGCCTCAATGTGCCTTCTAATGGGACACTCAAGGTCCAAGATCCATCAGTGGCGCCTCTGCCGTCTATTGCTCCCTCAATGGTGACATCTTTCAAGCCATATGCCGGAAGTCGCTTTTCCACTCCAAGGGCGGATCAGAACGATAAGCGGCGAAAGTGGATCAAGAATGCCGTTTGCGTGAAATCACCCTGGGTACGGAACACTTTCCAGAAGGGCCATGTTATCTCCTTACCATTCCATGTTCCGAACATGAATGAGAATTGCGACCCTAACGACAAAGGGTTGACCATCAACCAGAACTTTGATGGCGGCATCTTCACCAAGCGCAGGATGATGGTTGTTCTGTTCAAGTATGCGGAGCTGATGTACTGTTTGCCTCTTTACTCTTTCACAGGTCGAGGTATCTTGTCTCGACGGCCCGAAATTGTCCATGAGTACACCCAGCTCATGGACGAAAAGCATCGCAAAGGATTCAGGAAGCTGGGTCAACACGAGCCGGTGGAGTTCAAGCACAAGTCTTCTGACAGCAGCTTGTTACCCGATACGGTGATTCATATAACCGGTGGGCTATCCGTCAATTGGGAAGAAGACATCCATAAGGTGGGGCGTATCACGGAAAACGGTTACGAAAAGTTGGTGACTCTTTGGCATGAACTCAACGAGCAGGCAGAAGCAGAGTCGACTGACTGGAGGCTCGATCTGTAAACCATGAAAGCGATCATTCCACGGAGATATGGATAGGGGATGATGCGCAGCCTTGCGCTAGCACGGTCTCGGTCAGCTTTTGAAATGAACACTGTTTGGATTTGATCAATGCCATAGACTGCATTCGCTTCAGCAATAGATGTCTCTTCAAGCGTTCTTGACTGTGTTTAAGCGCCCAATTCATATGGTGCCATCGATAAGCAACTGGTCTCCATAGGTGGAGCCATATCCGCCAACAAAGTAGTCCGTGGTTTGGAATCTTGGAGTAGGAGGCTGAGGCCAGTGATCCAACACAACGGGATCGCCAGTCAAAGTGAAATTCACCATCGCCAGTGGCTGTGTGTCAATGAGTAGAGCATAGTCTCCCGGATACAGAACTGTATTGCCCATGCCGTCAACCCTCGCCAGACTTCCGAGCGTCAGGTTCAACGCAGCTGTCTGTGTCGAGCCAGCTGTGATGTTATGCAGTCTCTGGTAGGATACGAGTCGCTTGTTAGGATATGGAGCAGGGCCATGCTGTCCAGCGAGGAAACCGAGAGTGACATAGTCACTTTGCACAGAGCCAGTATTCTTGACGGCGACGTTGAACGTCTTGAATGCGCATCGGTCTTTGTAGGCTTCGGTGCAGTTGCCGATCAGAGAGCTAGTGCTGTACGGAGAGCTGGATGAGTTGGAGGAGCCGAGGCTGGCGGTGAAGTTGGTGTAGTGGAGACCGTATCCGAACTCGTAGATAGGCTTGCCTTGGTACCATATGTAAGTGCGACCCGGTGAGCCTGACGTAGCATTAGGCCGAAGAGTCATGTCTGTCATTGGGACCTTTGCAATGTAGTCTGCGGGATACTGTGTCGTTGGCAAGCGCCCAGCTGGAGCGGATTTGCCCTGGATGATGTCAAAGAGAGCACTACCCCCGTCTTGTCCTGGATATCCTCCCCACAACAGAGCGCTGATGTTTGGATTGTTCGCAATCGGAGAGCTGTCCAATTGACCACCGCCCATCTGCAAAACAATGACAGGCTTGCCGTACATCGCTAATTGGCCAATGACATCGAGTTGAGCACCAGTCCAGGCAATGCTGACACGGTCCATGCCCTCTGCTTCAACCGAATTGTCAAGACCTCCTGCATAGACAATGACGTCCGACTGATTCGCAGCGTTCCAGATGTGAAGCCAATTGTCCGTTGTGGGATCCCCTTGACCACCGGGGTATGGAGCGAAGTTGACCGTGGCCCCGGTCTGCTGGGCCGCATACAAAGGCGAGTGGTAATAAGGCGGGATGCCGTCGTAGTTGCCCAGCATCTGGTCCGTTGCGTTTGCCCAGTCACCGATCAAGGCGAGCTTGGTACCGTTATCGATCTTGAGAGGAAGAAGTCCATCGTTCTTCAGAAGCGTTATTCCCTCAACAGCAGCCTTCTTGGCAAGCTGCTGAGCATATGGAGTCGAAACATCCGCCCAGGTCAGATTGCGATAGGGCACAGCCATGCCATCGAAATAGCCCAGACGGACCAAAGAAGAGTATTGTCGAATGAGTGCAGTGTCGAGATCCGTCGAGTTGATTAAACCCTGCTCCAAGGCAGCTGGAAGATGCTCTTGGTAATAAGTACCACAGTTAACATCAGTGCCAGCCTTCAATGACAGAGCTGCTGCTTCCTCCCGGGTCTTGCCATAGCCATGAGGGAGGAAAACGTTTTGCACAGCATCGCAATCCGATGTCACCCATTGTTGCTCAGAAGTCCAATTCCAGTGCTCTCGGAGGACGGTCTGGAGCAAGTACGGGTCTGCGCAGGTCGGCACTCCATTGAGTGAGTTATAACTGCACATGAAGGCTCCAACGTTAGAGTCTCGAGCACAACTCTGGAATGGCGGCATGTAGTATTCCACGAGATCTTGTGGGTTGACATGAGCATCCCATTGATATCTGAAATTGCCGTTCCAGCTTTCCATATCGTAGGCGACGAAGTGCTTGCAAGTCGCAACGACTCTCTTATACTTGTCGTCTGGGCTGCCTTGCAATCCTTCGATGAGAGAGTATACGTAACTCGAGAGATGGTACGGGTCCTCGCCAGGAGTTTCTTGGCCTCGACCCCATCGGCTATCTTTGAATGGGTTGATATTCGGCGTCCAGAAGTCAAGTCCGGCGCGATCGTCATTGTTGAATGCTCTTGCTTCGGTGCTGATAACCGTTGCAACATCTCGGATGAGATCGTCGTCAAAGGCTGCTCCCATCAGGATCGGCTGCGGGAAAGAGGTCGCATATCGAAAAGAACCAGAGTCGGAGAAGTTGACACCCGGACTGCTTGCCACTCCGTGAAGTGCTTCTTGCCACCAAGTATAAGCTGGAAGGCCAAGTCGGGGAACGCCTGGTGAGTCGCTTCCAGTGTTGTTCAGCTTCTCTTGCAGGGTCAATGCATTGATCAATGCTCTCGCCCTGGTCAGTGGATCGGCCGAGGTATTGCAGACGGTATTATTCTTTAACGGCCCATTTTGGCAGTCCGGAAAGCCTCGCCCTGCCAATTGAGCGGCTGAATGGACAGCAAGCGCCAACAAAGACGTAAACAGAAGAGCAGCCATGTTGATGGCCGTGGGTGTCTTACGAGCAAGGAAGAGTGGTGTAGAACAGGACTCACGAAAGCATGACTTGCCTGTTCATATACCGCACGGAATCCAGAGTGACGTCGGGCTCTGGGCAGCCGAATTAGCCATTGTAAGGCAAAAGAGTATGTCCACGGGTCGAGATGTCCCATGTGAGCCTATTCATCGTCGTGATGAGCCGATGCCAGCATTGTCAGGTACGGTGCCTGTGCCTCTTCTTGTCGTGCTGCTCTCTCGCATGACGCCCCGCCGGGTAAATTGGCGGCATTCATCCGGGCGTGCGGCAGATAGATCGGGGGCAGAGGCCGTGGCTGTCTTCGCTAGTCTCATGAAGAGCGGCAACATCCAAATTGCATTTCGCGATTGGTGTCGTGCTGAGAGAACAAATGAGATGGATGGAAAGAAGAAAGAGAGGAAAGTCGACGCTTCAAGACATAGTGAGACACGCTCACCCGGTTCGCGCTAAGGATGGTCTGTGCACACTGCGCTAACTCTGTTACCTACCTTCCGTAGAGCTACCTAAGGTATACTTTCTTTCCCTTGACAACTTCCAGGTTTGCTAACTTTTCAATGGAGAAGTGAGCTCCAAACGGCAGCAATTGTCGGTACCGGGGCTAGCTCAATCCTAGGAGATAGGTTCGTGACCGGTATGTATGTTGGCGGCTTGTCAATGATACTTCCGATGGTGTGTAGCACTCACTAGAGGCCCGTAACTCATTGCTGGTAACGACTCCAGTATAACGCGGAAGTTTCGCCTCCCAAAGTGCGTGGTGCACTCGTTGGATTGCAGCAATTGGCTATCACAACAGGCATGATGATCTCCTTCTGGATTGATCATCAATATATTAGAGACCTTCTTATTACACGAGCGGACCTTGGCTACGACAGACTGTGGCACAAATTACATCGTCGGACCGGTTACTCCGGATATGTTGTATGTTGTCTCTCTTCTCTAACAGGGACACACCTGTTTCTCGGCCTCTTGACATTCCTGGGTGCCTTCTTCATTCTCCGGTTCTTCCCATACACCAAAGGCCTCTCGCTCGAGGAATCGGACGTCTTGTTCGGAAGCGTTGGATACGCACAAGCTGATGCAGAACGCATGCGCGAGATCCACCGCGAGATCGGACCTGAAGAGGTTGTGCGCATCGGTAGCGTTGCGGAGCCAAAAGCCGTGAGCATTGCCGAGAAGACGGAGTTGAACCACCAGGTTTTCAGAACTGTCTGAGAAACAGCTCAACGCTTCAAACGCATCGATTTGCACTCCAGGTGCTTCTTGATCTCGAAACCGCACGAGCAAGCCTACACTGTACAGATGAACATGGCGTCTCGATCACCATTCTAGGCCAGAATGTTCCTTCTTGAACTTGGTACAATGTATAAAGCGAGTGCCTGAGCACTTCTCAAGTGTACTTTATAGTCACATCCTCTCGTAGCATCCTGTCCTAATCTTGATTCTGCGCCAGTTCCTCCATGGCCATCACACCCTGCTCCAATTCCCGTATCCTCTGCCCGACCCTTCTCCTCACCTCATCCGCCAATTGCTGATCCTCTCCATGTACCACGGCCGTAAATGCCTCCTGCACTCTAGTCAATTCTTCCCTAGCAGTTTTCCGGTCTTCCTCGGCATAGACTGTCGCCCTCTCGGTCTCCTCCATAGCAATTTCGAATTCATCCTGCGCGGTCGCATACAGTTCCGTGATCTCTTCAATCTTTTCGTCCGCGATGGATTTGGAGGAGAGCCAGCGGATTGTTTGAAACGGCACGTGAGAGGCGAACCTCGATGTGGAGGTGGGTGTTCGGTATCGTTGTGGTCGTGTAAGGGTTTGAATGGTGCGTCTTGAGGGTGCGGATTGGCGCAGAACGCCGGTGAGAGCGGCTCTTGGTATCATCTTGACCATTTGTATGTTTGTGTGATTTGTTTGCGACCAAGGACAATTTGGTTCACAATGCGCTTGAATGCTTCGAGAACGGGGTTGAAGCTTCAATCACTGACGTCGGCAACTACGTTGGGCTAAGCTTAGGCAGGTGCGACGGACCGAGACCGAGACTCGTAGGGCTGACTTTGTTCTCCGTGACAATACACCAACACCTTCTTCTTGAGTCGGCCATCAACTTCTCCGGGAGCGTTGAACATGTGCCTCACCGCGCTCTGAAGACGATGCCACTAGCAATATACCACCGAATTCCACTCTCACACACCAGTCGCAAGCGCCGGCTTAGAATGCTGGAGTCTCCTTGAAACGCCACTGGTGATGGGATTTCTGAGTATCGCCATATTCATCCTCTCAGCAGTCTTCCTGGCCTACACATATCCAGAAATGTTCAGGAATATATTCCCATCGTGGCTCAGCCCCGCACAGCAGCAAGAAGCGCCAGGGGAATCGAACCAGAAGTCTACGGACGAAGGCAACACAGCGTCTTCGCCTGAAATCCACCTTGAAGCGGGAGACACAGACGGAGACAGCACGCCCAAAGCGGGGCCACAAGATGTCAGTCATGAGGTACCGAGTCTCACACTTAGTGGTAACGAGACGCCCGAGGAGGATTCTGAGCCTGCTGTCCCTTCCTTTCCGGCCGCGAACAGCGCACAGCGAGCATCAGCCGCCATGCTGCCTCCGCCAAGACCGTCCGCAGCGAATGGATCAGGTCTTATGCCACCACCAGCGCGGCCTTCTCCAGCGCCAAGGCCAAGTGCGGCAGCATCTCTCCGCGTACCGTCCAACGGTCCTCTCCCGAATCGCGGCCCACCAGCTGGCAGCCAACAGCGAGTATCCTCCAGTCTCTCACCCAACACCACCGTCAAAACGCCCAATGCACGCGGCAAAGTCTTGCTTTCACCCGGCCATTCGCCCATGGACTGGGCCGCTCTGACTCGCAAGGGCAATCTCAGCGGCGTGGAGACTTTCCAGCGCGTAACGCCATCTCAGCTCAAAGCTATGACTGGAAGGAAAGGCAAAGCTGCTTGGAGCAGTTGGCAGGGCAAAGTCTACAACATCACGCCCTACCTTCCTTTCCACCCCGGCGGCGAGGCAGAGCTGATGAAAGCAGCCGGGAGAGATGGCACAAAGCTTTTCAATGAAGTCCACCCGTGGGTGAATTGGGAGAACATGCTGGAGACATGCCTAGTCGGCATTCTTGTGCCCGAAGACTATGGAAAATCGTCGCTGGAGGACATGGACTGAGATCCAATCTTGCTAATACACTAAATGAAGCTGGAGTCTTCATGCCTCCCTGATGGCGCATCAAATTCGAGTCTTGGGTCATTCTCATCCCTCATCATAATTCGTTTCTTATTAAACATACGGTCAGCTTTCGGCCTTCATCCCACGCAAGCGATGGGCTGGTGCTTCGCAACGCTCAATCACACAGGGCATTGGAATCCTCAAGCCGACCCCAAAAATCTCCTTAGGCAGAGCGCACCGCAGCATCCAGACTCGCAATAGCACTGCTCAATCCTGCGGACCGTGCGCTGTACTCGCTCTCCTTATTAGGTGTCGGTCCACAAGGCACTTCATCAACCTCGCAAACTGGATCCTCCGGCGGAAGCTCTCCGGTCTGGCATTACCTTCCCAGGTAATCAGTCGTACATTTGCTTGGCGAAGATCGTGTGCAATGACCTGGCGACCGTAAGGTCAGCATCATACATCGGAGTCGGATCGGGGAGTTCGCAGAATTTCGGGACTTCACCTCCATCCTCTTCCTGTTCGTCGTCTTCAATACCAATGCATCGACGCCAATTCCGTCTCACATTATTTGCTGCCACCTCGAAAGTGTCGAATGCGTTGATTAGACGTGTGTCTGCAGGTGAGAAGGCCCGACATGGTACGCGATAAGGCAGAGACCAGGTCGCTCTTTCCTCTTCCAGCGTCCGGGACTATCCAACCACTCACGGCGCAGGCAATGCTTTCTGTCAGCGCGATGCCCTGTGAAACCTGGTAAAGTCAATTCGGTGCCGGAAAGTTCATCTGTTCAGTTCATCTGTTCACGCCACCTTTCACAACTTTCTCCTCCTACACGTCCATCACTACCGAATCTCAATCAACCGCAATGGCTCCACCTGGCCGGACCGGCAAGCAGCGCACCATCAAGAATCCGAGCAAACAGCAGCTCAGATGGACCTTCGAAATGAGAGAGACCGTCTTCCTGCTTTATACGGACTTGCAACTCACATCCCAGCAGCGTGAGCAGGTCTTTACCACGATCTTCAAACAGCATCTCGAGCAATGCGGCTTCCAAGATCAGGTCTTGGGTCAGCGACTTTCAGCCCAGTATGGCGAGCGTGAGAAAGGCAGCAAAGACTGGGTCAAGATTACTGCCACGACTAGACCGCCGGTGGATCAGGCCGAAAGGAACGCTCGACGGCACCAAATTCAAGAGACGGCACGCTCGCTCGGATTGCTTAGCAACCAGCAACAAACGATGAGCCCACTGGAGACTCCGACGCGATCTGATCCCTCGTCTTTCAGCCATCACGGACTCGCCATGGCCGACGGTGAGGACGAAGATGTCATTTTTGTGTCTCCTAACGGCAGACGCACAGGTCCGCCTAGACAGGCACGCATGGTGTCGACTCCAACACCACTTAGCAAGCGACCTGCTGTAGCGACCTGGGACCCGTCTGCCTCTGACGGAGAGGAACATACTCCCCCTTCGCAGAAGCACCGTAAGACATCGAGAGTGACTAAGGTCAGGGTGTTGCCAACGCCCCTAGGCCAAGATGGACGTCGAAAATCGCGGAAGCCTTCGACTCCCACATCAACTCCTCGAAGCAAGCGAACGGAACTTCTGGCATATCAGCGCCCGGACGAGTCGACTATAATGCTTACGGAGGCCGAATATGAGAACATCGAGACTCAACTTCGTGCGCCTTCGGAGCATGCAATTCGTCCACCACTGCCAGCTCTCCTTTTCCGGTACTGGAGCTACAATCCCGCTTGCGACCGTGATAGTCACCGTGGCTTCACCGCCCGTCTGTACTACAAGTCTAATGTCGCACCTTACCAGCGACCTCCATCGGCTGAGGGAGTAGACATCGTTCATATATATAATGGAAGTATAATGTCGTTAGTAATGAGACTTGGCTAATAAGCTGCAGCATATGAATCGAAACATGGAGAAATCGCCGTTTATCAGTACCTCCAGCCGCCTCATCTGGATCATACAACTGGTACTGAAGGGTCTTAAATCAGGCGATGGATGCGGACGATTGTCAATTATTGACACGCAGAAATTGGACCCACGCGCAGTCTTCTGGGCTAGACCATACCATGACGAGTGTCGAAAGAGTCGCCCCTTTTCCAAAGGCGCGCATAGATATCGCGGGACGTACGAATTTCTGGTGTGGCATAAAATACCAAGAGAGGCCATTCTCCGAAACGTCAAAGCTGAGGACTTCTTGCGACTAGTCGACACGGACAAGGACATCGCACAAGCCCTTCAATTCGAAATCTTACAAAGCCCGAGCAGCCTCTCCCGGACGAAGATTCCGAAGCTCAAGATCAACGGTGTGCCACTCACGCCAGAAACGACCATCGCCATGGCACGCATCTGCAACTTCCTAGGCCTACACACCCACCTCCCGGAGAAACTGGGCCATATCGTCAGCGACATCGTCGAAGGATGGGGCTTGCGTGTCCAGAAGAGGGACGAGGCGGAATGGTACCAGCTCTCTACTCTCTTCGCACGAGAGGTCCGCAGCTGCTCGCAGCCCACGACACTCGTGCATCAAGAGAAAGTCAAATTCGCCTTTCTCGACGGCGTGGGATATGGCAAGGGTGGCGTGAACTGCAAATTCCATCCCCAGTTGCTGGCGAAGAAGCAGAACGCGGCTTCGGCTGTGGGCCTTGCATCGCCCGCACAGATTATCGCCAATCGGCTGGACGCGGCGAAAATGGCTGTTCTGGCAAGCGAGAAGATGGAGAACCGACGGCTGCACGCGTACCATCAGCGTCGGATAACTTTTGCTGAAGACGACGACGTTGCGATGCTTGACGATTTGGCCAATGTGGAGACGACAGATGATGCGGCTGATGATGACGATGATGATCAGATGAACGAGGGAAGTGACGACGAGAGCACTGTGTTTGACTTTGGTAGCGATGGACGCATCATCTGATTCTCGACATGGAAAACGAGCACAGATTTGGAATCGGGAGATTGTTGGCAAGGCGTTGTGGACATTTGCTTCGGAATTGGGATGTAATGTTTAATGAATGGGTTATCGTTAACAAAAGGCAGCCACAGAGCCTCTATCAGAACTAGCTAGTCATACAGGTGATTGTACCCAACGCCTTGCGGAATGCCCTCTTGTCAGTTGTTCGAAGCATCGTCGCTCTAGTCATATCCTGGTGCGTCATTGGCACCCGGTGTAGGCGCCGAGTAGGGTGCTGGTGTCTCGGGAAATCCGCCAGGTGTGTTATAGGAAGCACTGGTGGTAGTCAGCAAACATTCGCATCGGTTGGCGAAAAGCATTGGCTACTCACGGTGTCTGATAGCTTCCTCGGAAGCCGCCGGGTGTTGGCTGGTCGGCATAATTGCCTGGAGTGGGTGCAGAATTGTATCCAGGGGTCGGGGCTTCCATGCCACCATATGCTGGAGTCTTCGAGCCTGAAAGATACCCAGGTGTCCTGCCGCCGCTGTTCGGGTTCCACGTGGATTGCTAGAGCTTGTCAGAATAAAGTCAAGCTTATGCCCTGGTATTCTGCACTTACACCGCCTCCACTACCACCTCCGGCTCCGCTACCACCTCCGGCCCCGCCCCAAACACTGCCGCCGCCGTAACTCGTCTGACCTCCGTAGCTGGTCTGGCCACCGTACGCGGTCGCACCACCGAAACCGCCTCCGTAAGCTGTTTGGCCGCCGCCGCCGCCTCCAGCATAAGCGGGTGTGCGCCCGCCATCTTGCTTCCAAGTCGGTGTCCTGCCTCCCATGGCGTAAGCCGGAGTCCTAGCTGCACCAGACCCAGACGGCGGACCACCAAATCCCCTACCTGGCGTCTGTCCGCCCATCATAGGTCCACGTCCAGGCATACTACGTCCTCCTGTGAAAGTGCTGGCGTCCGGATGTGTAACCTCCCCAGTGTTGTGGTCGATAATGGCGAGTTGCGACTTTTTAACGGTGGTCTTCTTGTTTTTGGCATGGAGCTCAAGAATAGCAGATGTATCGGTAGTGTCCTTAACAATGCCAATCATGCTCTTCAAAGGTCCTTGGCGGATCTTGACTGTACGTCCGATCAATCTGTCTCTGCCCTTCTGCTGAGGAGGCGGCATCGGCGCAGCAGCTCCACCATTTGACTTTAATGTCGTGTTCATTTTCGTGATATCTGGACCAAGTCGGCCGCCTTTGGCTGCTGCAAGCTCGACGTTGTTGGCCCGCGCAACGAATACACCGGCATTATCCCGCAACTCAAGGCTTCGCGCGAAGATGTAGCCACGATGAACGTGCAGTACCGGTCCGGTCTTGCCTTCTCCGCCATACTCTTTGATGACATCTCCGACGTGAATTTCGTTGTTGAGCCTGTCAGTCGCTGTTCCGGCACCATCTCTCCGCTTCTCGACCTTATTTGAAATGTTCGATGGCAATAGCGTGCGAACGCTTCCAAGCTGGTCCATGACCTTCAAGCTCTCTCGGTCCACTTTGACGACACATCCAACGGTAGAGGCATCGAGTTGGACAAGATCGAAGAGGTCATACTTGCTGGATCCGATGACACCGCCGCTATCGGTGGCTTCCCGAAGGTCTTTAGAGAAGACGGATATCTCCTGCTGGTTGCTGTCCGTGAGAATGGTGACACGGTCATCCTTGATTCGGACCACCATTCCAACTTCGTCTTGGTATTTGCTGCCCCCGATGACTTTCACGTGGTCACCTTCTCGGAATCTCTTTCTCAAGTCTCTCGTGGGTACTTCTATGCGCTTGCCAATGAGAGATCCCTCCTCAATCTCTATCTTCACCACATCTCCATAGACTTCTTTGGCGCGACCCACAAGTCCTTTCTGCTCGCCCTTGTATATCTCGACCTGGTCACCGGGCAAGTAATCGGCGCCAGCACTCGTCTTTAGTGTCGCAGCTAACGCGGCCAAGTCAAGATTCTCGGTACCGTCCTCGGCTCCAGCAGCGAACTTGGTAACCTCTTCCAAGGTAGGATTAACGTTCTCCGTCTCGAGATGATTGATGCGGAAGGTTTCCACGAGGAAACCATCGACATATGTCTTGTTCTGATACTGCCAGGTGTTCTTCCTAAGGCCTCCACCGGAAGTGAGATACTTGCCGTGTTTCTTCCTCGCTTCTTGCTCACTGAACAAGCGGGGAGGAGGCCGTTGACCCATTGGCCGTACTGCCCTCTTGCGCTTCATGCCACCTTGTCCGTCAGACTCCATCACAGGTGCGTTTGCGTCCTCAGTGAGGCCATAGTCTAGACGTGGAACCAGTCTGAGTGTGACTTCGGTGCCGTTGGCCTCCACTTCGTCAATGATGGCGAGATCTCCAGCGTAGAGGCCGCGTCGTGGGCGCACATACATACCCGGCTCCAGCTCTTTCGTCTTCTTCGTGCGCAGTAGGTCAGGCATCTCCTCAAGCGCGATCAACATTGGCTTTGTACCGAAGAAGATATGAGAGATACCCTCAAGAGCTGGTAGAATGTCGTCTTGCCGGGAAGCCTCGACGTAAATGCTACCAGCCATAACGGGACCGCCACGCTCGAATGCCGAGTAGATCTGTACTGGTTCGCGAGATTTGGAGCGCTCCAAGATCCGGCTCTGTATTCCAAAGACAATCTCGCGCTCCTTGCCAGGTCTACACTTCATCCTCCATATGCGTGGATCGTTAACACCAGGCAGTAGCAGACGCTGTGGGACGATGGCGGAGCCGGGACCGCCGGCCCTCTGCTGGCGACCGTATCTCTCTTTCAATCTCGCTGCTGTCTCTTCGACGTCCATGGCCTCCTGCGCTTCGCGCTGACGGTCGAGCTCGCGGTGCATTCGGTCGTCCCTGTCCGCACCTGGAGGTAGCTCCTGCAGGTCATCTGGGTGCATCTCTTCGCCAGGCAGATCATCCTCTTCTTCGGGCTCTTCTTCATCGTCTTCGTCGACTTCGGCCTCAACATCGATGAACTGGTTCCGTCGCCGCTTTCTCCGCTTTCTCGACGGGCCCTCATCTTCTTCTTCTTCCTCCTCTTCTTCCTCCTCCTCGTCATCGCCAGCGTCTTCCTCTTCGTCCGCCGCAGCTTCTCCACCGGCGTCGTCTCCTTCCTCGTCGTCGTCGGCGCCCGAAGGTTTTGCATCGTCGGCTCCATCTTCTTTAAAGTCATCTTCGTCAGCTGCGCCAGTTGGAGGCTTCGCGTCGCCCTCATCGTCAGAACCGATCTCTGGCTGCGGATTGAAGTCGTCGTCCTCCTCGTCGGGGAACTCCGAATTGTTGAGGTTACTCATGGTTGGTGATAGGCAAGAGTGAAGTTCAGTCGAGGACTGAAAGTGGCATGAGGAATGGGCGTGGTCAAGTCGTTTGAGGACAAAGGGCGACTGAGGTGTTACGTAAGCACGGTGTTCCCGCAACTCTAAAGCTCAGCTCATGAATGGAGTGACACGCTCACAAGTCACTACTTCACATGTTCTCCACATCAGTGTTTACAGCACGCTTGCTCGAATTGCATCGCTTGGCAAGAACGCTTCCCCAGTGTTGTCTTGTTATCGCGTCCTTTTCTAATTTCTTGGCCTATCATGTTTGCAACATGACATAAGCTGAAACAGGAACAGGCTCCCACCTGATAATAACAGCTACGTCTCGGACACTTTCCGTCGGCGATTTCATTATCCTCACCAAAATACTTCAATGGGTACCGAAAAAGCTGCTCTCCCTACTTGGGCAAGAGGACGAGAAGGATTGAGGAGAAGGGATCCTCGCGAGTGGATCTTGCTCATTACTGTTGTCGTGCTTGCACTTCATTTCCTGAGCTGGGCATACCAGGACCAATTTTCAATCCCCATTGGAAGTGACCGACCGCGAAAGACTCAGAGCTCTGAGGCCTCGGAGCGTGTTCTAGGTCTGCCTTTGAAGGCAATTCCGTTACACCTCGAGGACTTCCAGCAATGTTCGATCGAGACGCTTCGCGATGACACCCGTCTTGCTTTCCTGGACACAGCGCATTCGCTTCCAGTCAACGAATTTGTGGCTCGCCGGGACAGACTAGCTCAAGGTTTGGTGGAAGATGGTATGGACGCATTTGCGGTCGAGCCTGGCTATACATTCTCCTATTTTGCCAATGTGACCCAGCCTCAGTGGGAAGTCTGGGAGCCGGAAGAGAGGCCTTTCCTCATGATTGTGAGGCCTCAGCAATCGCATGATCTGGTGACGAACGAACTCATCGTCCGGGCGAACACTACATTCTTGGTACCTTCCTTTGAGGCTGAACGCGCGCGATTGCTGAAGATGCCAATCATGGGCGAGATTGAGTTGGTGACATACGAAGAGCACTGGAACCCGTTCGACACGCTGCTTTCCTCTCATGTCTTCGCTGCGGAGAAGAGAGCACCTAAAATTATGGTGGACGAAGAAATGCGAGATTTCATCTCTCGTGGACTGGCGGAGAATGGGTTCGATGTTCACGGATTGAGCAGTGATGTGGAGAGAGTCAGGCAAATCAAGTCTGAGGCAGAGGTCGGCATTCTCAGAGCTGTCAACACTGGCACTGTGGAATGCGTAAGGGCGATGCGAAAGTGCATGACTCCCGGTCTAAGCGAGGACGAAGTCATGCAGGTACTCGATAATACGATGCGATACGCTGGTCTTGAGCCTTTCTTCGATATCGTGCTTTTCGACGACAACGCAGCCAATCCTCACGGGGGCACCGACGGCGCCAAAACCCTGGAAAAGGAAACAATGGTCTTGATCGATGTCGGTGCGCATTTGTTTGGCTACTCAAGCGACATCTGTCGCAGCTTTTTCCCACCGTTTTTCAAGAAACCCTCTTCGGACGCAGAGCTTACCCTTCTGAGCAAAGAGGTCCAGGAAAAGATCAAGGTCTGGAACATCGTCCTCGAGGCTCAGACTGCCTCTTTGCACGCTTTACATGAGAACGGTACCTGTGCTTCGGTGGATCTTGCCGCCAGAAGCGTGATTTCCGACGCCGGCTACGGAAGTGCGTTCACTCATCGCGTAGGTCACGGTATAGGTATTAAGGCTCATGAGTCTCCTTATCTGAACAAGGGGAACACGGAAACAAAGCTGAAGGCTGGAATGATATTCACGTCTGAGCCAGGCATCTATCTTGTCGACAAATTCGGGGTGAGGCACGAAGACATACTGCTTGTGAAGGAAGAAGGGCTGCCCGAGCTCCTCACCGGAGAGAGAGCACACGGACCATGGGATCCGTAAGCAGTCCATGTGGGTGGATTCTAAATATCATCTTTATTCAGAGCATGTTTATTACGCTTCTTGTCTTATGTGTCACGTCCCTCGTTCAATGTCCTGCCGTCTCGCGTTATTGATTGGACACTAATCGATCTCAGTGTAAATATTGACTGGCTCGGCAACCGCCGAACCGCGCATGCCTAAAACGCGAACCTCACGCGTCTGCTTCTGACGCTTCTCGACTTCACATGTGAACGAAATCTTGCACAGTGCGATCGTATACCACGTTACTACCATGAAGAAAAGATGTCGACAGGAAAATAGCAGCAACGGTCAAAATGGTGACCAAAGTGCTGTGCGTGGCTGAGAAAAACTCCATTGCGAAGGCAGTGGCACAGCATCTTTCCGGTGGACGGCCTGACACTCAAAACATACCAGGCGCTCAGTTCAACAAGAACTACGTCTTCAGCTACAACTTCCCGACGTGGGGCCCATGCGATGTGGTCATGACCTCCGTGTCCGGTCACTTGATGGAACGAGACTTCGACGCTCAGTACAAAAATTGGCAGGCTTCCAATCCCTCGGTTCTCTTCGAGGCCCGGATCAACAAGAACGTCGCGGAGAACTCTGGAGGTATCGCCAGAAATATCGAGAACAAGGCGCGATGGGCGTCCGTGCTCTATATCTGGACGGATTGCGATCGAGAGGGCGAACACATTGGCACGGAGATTCGAGAGATTGCACTGCGAGGAAACAATAGGCTCAGAGGGCAAACCGTACGGGCTCGCTTCTCGAACATCGAACGAGCGCATGTCATCAATGCGGCGCGCAATCCTGTTGCTCTCGACGAAGCGCAGGCGAATGCGGTCGAGTCGAGGATCGAGCTGGACTTGCGCATTGGAGCTTGTTTCACGCGGAAGTTGACGCTGACTCTCAAACCAATGCTTCCGCCGTCGGAAGATACTGCCAAGAAGCCCATAAGTTATGGCAGTTGCCAGTTTCCTACGCTCGGATTCGTGGTCGAGCGATACTTTCGCGTTCGCAACTTCGTTCCCGAGACATTCTGGGGCATCAAGGTCATGCACGAGAAAGGAGGGATCAAGGTCAATTTCAGATGGGCTCGCGGGCATCTCTTCGATCGCATGATGGCCGTGGTCCTGTTCGAGCGATGCCTCACTGCGCGTACAGCGAGAGTAACCAAAGTGCAGACCAAGCCGACTAGCAAGTGGAAGCCGTTGCCGCTGACTACCGTGGAGCTTCAAAAGTGTGGCAGCAGATTCCTGCGCATGGACAGTCAGCGCGTGATGACTGTCGCAGAGAAGCTCTACCAAAGTGGGCACATAAGCTATCCACGCACCGAGACTGATCAATTCGATGGCGGGATGGACCTGCGCGCTCTGGTGCAGAAGCAGACTCCGAGCCAGTCCTGGGGCCAGCACGCCCAAGGGCTGATGAATGGTGGCTTCTCGCAGCCACGACCGGGTCGCAATAACGACAAAGCGCATCCGCCGATCCATCCTGTCAACTTTGTTGCACCGAATGTGCTGAATCAAGATGAACAGAAGGTGTACGAGTTTGTTGCTCGGCGTTTCATCGCCTGCTGCAGTGAAGATGCCAAGGGCTCGAAGACCGAAATCAGCATCCTGTACGGCGACGAGACATTCAACACTTCTGGATTGACAGTTCTCGAGCGTAACTACCTCGATGTCTATCCTTACGACAAGTGGACGAGTACTCAGGAACTTCCGCGCTTCGACGAAGGAGAGACGCTCACGCCCACAGAAGCTCGCATCCACGAAGGCCAAACAAGTCCCCCGGGATATTTGACCGAGCCCGAGTTGATCGCGCTAATGGATGCTAATGGAATTGGGACCGACGCGACCATGGCAGAGCATATCGCAAAGATCAAGGAACGTGAGTATGTCCAGACCAGACCTCGTGGCCGACGTCCTCGAAACGAAGATGAAGAGGTGTCCGAGGAGGAGGACGAGATTCCCGGGCAAGCCGCTGGAGGTCGGGGCCGTGGTCGCGGACGCGGTAGAGGCGGAAGAGGCCGCGGTGGTCGAGGCGGCGCGAACAGTGGTGGTGGTGGTGCTACGAGTGGAGTGCAGGAGTTCATTCCAACAACGCTCGGGGTCGCTTTGATTGAGGGATACGAGAGTATGGGCTTCGAGATCAGTCTGGCAAAACCATTCCTGCGCAAAGAGGTAAGTCTTGGACGTCGTCTTCCATGGCCGACCGCCACCAGCTAATACAGCCCAGATGGAGATGAGGATGAAGGCCATCTGCGAGGGTCGCAAGACCGGACCGGAGGTGGTTGCGGAGACGATCGAGCAGTACCGCATTGTCTACGGACGCACAGAGCAGCACATTGAACTGCTTCGAAGAGTGAGTGCCAAGTCTACGGACCAGGCCGCTGAATGCTGATCTGATCATCTAGGCCGTGCGAAAGTACGTTCTTGGGCAGCAAGTCTGAGTATCGTCCAAGACTCGTCGTTTCGGTAGTCTCATCGCTGCTAGGCGGCTCTTTATTCTCTGTTTCACGAGCAGAGGAGGACATCGTCGCCCCCAATGACTAGATGTGGATCGACAGTATTAGAGATTGCTGGAGTAATCTAAGGATTCCATCACGCGGGCAGACTCAGAAGTCGCTGCATATATAGAATGAACAAGCTGTCCCAAGCGTCGAACGGGGAGGTCAAAGCCTTCATACACCTGGATCGGTAGTCATCACAGTGTTGGGCGCCATGGCTGAATCCTCCCGTCGTCGGCTGAGTAAGAAGGCGGACCAGACTCCTGATGTACGCCGTGCAAACGGCATCATCCTGCCCTTCTGTCTATCATATGTACGGCATTCGCGTAGGCCAAGCACGATGCCGGCTCTCGGTAGCCCCATTTGGCAGCTCCGTCGACGGCATCATGGATGACTTGGACCACAGCGGAAGGCAGCGCGGCGAAACGAAAGAGCTACTACCTTAGGTAGGTACGGTCACGACGAAGCTCCCTTGCTCTGGGTGGTGAAGCTCAGCTTCCAAGCGCATCCCGGGAGGCGAGGACAAAGGAAAGGGTTGAGTCAGTCGGGGCAGGCAAAGGCGGTGAGAGCAGCTCAGTAATACGGGTCGCACGGGGCGCAGTGGACGGTGGAGAGTGGATGGAGCAGGTGCGCTGAGGTGGGATCATCCGTAAGGTAGTCGCGGCGGCGCAGAGGGAGAGGGAGAGGGAGAGGGAGAGAAGGTGCGCCGGGGGGAAAGAATTGCACAGGTGGTGGTGGTGGTGTAGTAAGGGAAGGAACTGCATATCATATTGGAAGGAAGGTACAGGTGGAGAGGAAAGGGTCTGCAGCTTCCAAGCACCAAGCGGAAGTCTCGTCTCTTCCCGCACGCACGCACCCACGCACCCACGCACCCACGCACGCTACTACCTGCCGTGCCTTTCTACTCTCCACTGCTTCTGCCGACATCTCTCCTACACACCAACACCAACACCAATGCCGACTCGAGCGATATAGCAGCTTTGCACCACTCTCCGTCCGCCGCATTCCCACTCCCGCCGCCACTCCTCGACCCTCTCTCGTCGCTCCCGCCTCTCTCCAACCTCCCATCACACCATGTGCGAATTCAATGAACCCCACTTTACACGCTCAAAGCTCCAACTGACCACTGACCACCACAGTCCACCAAACTTCCTGCGAGAGCTCTCACTGCTACTCGTCCTCCCTCACCTTACCTCACCTTACCTCACCTCACCTCACCTCACCTCACCTCACCCTCTTCTCTCCTCCTCCTCCTCCTCTTCACGCCGAACCCCCGGCCTCCCCGTCGCCATGTCCGCCGAAGACGCCTCGCCCGCCGTTGACTCCGGCATTGACAATCTCGCCGATAAGATAGGCGGCCTCAACACCGACGACCACCCGCGCACCGAGGAGGAATATGCTCAGGCACAGCTCACTCTGCGTGCCATTGTCACCTCCAAGGAAGCTGGTGTCATCATTGGCAAGGCCGGTCAAAATGTCGCAGACCTGCGAGACAAGACAGGTGTACGCGCCGGCGTGAGCAAGGTCGTCCCAGGCGTGCACGACCGCGTCTTGACCGTCACTGGTGCTCTCACGGGCATCGCCGACGCGTATGGTCTCGTCGCCGACAGTCTTGTCAAGGGAGCGCCTCAGATGGGTATGGGAGGCATAGTGGGCACACCCAACACCCACCGTACGCACCTTCCCGCTCCAATCGTCCATCTCACCCGTAGCTAACCATGTATGCAGCCATCCGTCTCCTGATCTCGCACAACCAGATGGGAACTATCATTGGTCGGCAGGGTCTCAAGATCAAGCAGATTCAGGATGCTTCGGGAGTCCGCATGGTCGCTCAGAAAGAGATGCTGCCTCAATCGACCGAACGCATTGTAGAGGTACAAGGCACACCCGACGGTATTCAAAAGGCTGTGTGGGAGATCGGCAAGTGCTTGATCGACGACGAGCAGCGCGGATATGGTACTGTACTCTACAGCCCGGCAGTACGCGTTCAGGGAGGCGGTCCACCACTCAATGGCGCCGCAGGAGGAGGCTACAACGCACCTCGGGGCTACAATCGCACTGGAAACGGTGCAGACTTCACAGGCGGCGCCCCCTCCTCGTCCTTTTCTCCTCGCCGCAACGACTCAGTCGACGGCAGTTCCCTTCCCGAGGGCGAAGACATCCAAACCCAGAATATCAGCATACCAGCTGACATGGTTGGCTGCATTATTGGTCGTGGAGGCAGCAAAATCAGTGAGATTCGCAAGAGCTCGGGTGCACGCATCTCCATCGCCAAGGCACCGCATGACGAGACGGGCGAGCGCATGTTCACCATCACTGGAGGTCCCGCTGCCAACGAGAAGGCGCTCTACCTGTTGTACGAGAATTTGGAGGCGGAGAAGATGCGTCGCAGCCAGATTCCGGAGGCCACGGCTTAGGACGCCAGCTCTTGCTGCCCACCCACCATTCCTCCGCCGTCCCAAACCGTTGCTCCAGCCATGCTCGGCCATTAGATGCCGCGAAAGTTTACCCCCCTTACCTCGACACAACCGCTACTTCCATCCTCAACACAAGACTGGCAGAACGACTTCCATCCGATACTTCATCGTTTGGACACGACATCATATCATGTTTTCTTCATGGCTAATGACCATTACGAAATTTGCGCCTCACGACCTTACGCTTCGACGAGCACCACTCTCGAAAGCTTAATGACGTCCCTCTCAATCCCGAGGTGGCTCTGCTCACTCCGTCGGACGCCCCGTCCTTTCACCCCCTTTCGAAACTCCTTCTCGCCGCCGCCACTACTCTCCGACTTTTCTCCCGGAACCGTCGACATCTACTTAATACTCATCATCTGTTTGCAAGTCCTGCAACAGCTACCCTCCCGGAAATGGCGAGGGCATTGCGTGGTTGCAGTGTTAGCTGTACCTTACGCCGGGCAGATTTGGACTTGCTATTTTGCATAGCGCTATACCAATTTCGTTATGTGGCTTGCAAGAAGTAGCGAGGCTGATGAATGGAATAAGAGTTAGAAGTTCATTGTCTCTCCGTTCTCAGACGTCCTCTAGGTCTCAGGATTCTCCCGTGCATATGCCAATCTGTCCATGCGGGTGCGTGTCCTCTCAAAAGCCAGTGTGGAGACGAAACCTCCCATGATCGAACGCCCTGCCGATCTCCTGTCCATTTCCCGTCCCCATGTCTCCAAACTCCAGAAGCACCGAACTCCCTGAACTAGACCATTTTCCAAACGCCGTATCCGTACCTGCCCTCATGATATATCATATATGCCGTCTCATGCAACATTCCATGCCATGCCATCCATCTCCGTCCCTCCACGATATGCACGCACGCCGGATCTCTTCTCTTCTCTTCCCTCCCTTCTAATTGACCTGACACAACAACTCCTGCTCCAGGATGTATTTGCCCTCCTTGTACTTCTCCGTACTCTCGTACGCGCGATCGTACTTCCACCCGACGATCTCCTTGCACTGCCGACAGCAGATGTCGCGGACGACGTGGCGGCCGGTGGTCATGTTACGCTCGCCGGCTTCGCCTTGTTGGATGTTGACGACGCTGTTGAAGAGGTAGGCTTTGCCGTGTTGGCCGCGGAAATTCTGGAGGCAGGCAGGGTTAGTAATAGGAAGGGAAGGGAAGGGCGGAGAAGAGGGGGGAAGGGGAGAGGGGACGTACTGGGAGATGATCTCGTCGTGGTCGGCGAGGTGTGTTTTGCAGTTCTTGCAGCCGTAGATTTTCTTGGCATTGAGGTAGATGTTGTACGCGAGGCCCATCTTTTGACCTTTTTTCTAACCGGGTTTGGGTGGTGGTGGGTTGTCTGTCGGATGGGCCTTTTGTTTGGGGAGGGGGTAGGGTAGGGTAGCACGCCGAGCTGTTTGTTGTGTTTGCTCTTGAAGGAAGAATGTCTGTGTGGATGAGTGAGCGGGCGTCGGAGAGGAAGTGCTAGGTAGTTGGGCGATGTCTCGCTTCGAAAGGGCACTGCTTAAGGTAAGGTAGGTTCCGTTCAGCTGTTGTTGAAGATGAGGTAAGGTGGGGTGGTGGGCGATGATCGGCCGGGGGTCACGAGGTGTTCGCGGCTGAGTCGTGTGGGGCGGGTGAGTGCTGGAAGCGAGTGATTGTCTTGTGAACAGGAAACTGGCAGACGCGTGTGGCGGAGGGTTGGGAGGTGATTATGGTACGTCGCGGTACATACGGGGTTATCCTAAGGTAGTAAGGTAGTAGTGTAGGTAGCTGGAGAGAGTGATGTGAGAGTTGGACCCGACAGCTCACTTGTTAGCCGAGACAAGGAATCGATTAATGCGCTTTGCTTCTCGCACTGAAACGTGCTGAACCTTCCATGTTTTGCCTTTGCCGACGACGCTTTTCAATACACACACATCAATATCGCAACATCTGCAAGCCCAGAAATTGAAACCCGACACCTAGCACACGATCACCGGCTCACCTTTTGGTCCAACTCGTTGAACAGCACAGATCCGACAGTATGGCCCAACCCATCACAGCAGGCCGGATCGTGATGATACTGGGCAACCTCGTATACTCTGTCGGAGCCTTCCTCGCAGACTACAGTGAGACACATGTCTTCAACCCAAGATGGCCTCCACATGTAAGCCCATCACGCCATCTCTTGGGTACGCAGACAAGCTGACGAAAAGCATGCACGGTTTCATAACGGACAGACCATGAGCCTCGGACTGCTGTTGGCCACTTCATCGTTGTACTACTTGTTCAGACCTGCTCGTGACCTTCAGGAGACCAAGGACAACCTCTTCACGTCTGCGTTGATTGGAGAGTTTTATTGTGTTGCGGCCCTCTCTGCGATATTGTATCCGGGTACCGCATGGCAGGATCCGGAATTCCGTCAGGGCGGAGAGCAGAGATATATCTTTGGTATTGTGTGCGTTGCGATGGTAGTTGGGTACTGGTTGGAATCGCGGAGGCTTGGGAAGACGAAGACAGCTTGAGATGGACGTGTAGAACGGAAACTGTGATGACGGACGACAATCACAGAGACTGCGGCTTGTGAACGAGGACGGCAATGTGATAATGTAGGCAAATGTAACCCTATGGAAGCGGTCCAGAGCTGATTTCATAGCTTCGACCCCCGAGATAGTTCCCTGGCTGGGTAAGCATTACGTCATTTCATATGCTCCAAACTTCTTCTCCCCAGCCTGTCTTCCCATCCTCTTCACTTGCCGCGAGTTGCCATCATCTTACTATCAAAATGTCAGGCCGCGGCGGAGCGGGAAACATCCTCGCCATTCAGCAAGAGAACGCGCGCATCTCCGCAGACCTCGAAGCAAACCAATCCGCGGCCGACTCCTACAACGCGCCAGCTCCCATGCGCTCCGAGCAGCAATATGCCCACAGCGGTCGTGGAGGCGCCGGGAACTACTACAGCCCAAAACAGCTGAGCGAGACAGGCCAGTACAGAGACACTAACATTGGGGAGGTCGCAGACCTCTCGGGAAGGCGAGGAGCAACGGCATCCGAAGCGACTTCTACGACGCGAACGTACGGTCGTGGTGGTGTTGGGAACTATGCATACGACGCGAGCGAGAACCAGGAGAAAGCCTTGCGGAACAAGATGCAAGAGGATGAGGAAAAGCAGCAGAAACTGAAGGCGGATATCGAGGCTGGCGTCAAGGAGACCTTGGCTATGCCCGAGAAAGCAAAACTGCCAGGCGGACACCCGTATTGAGTGCTTCAGTGAGCCGCTTGAAAACATTCAAATGGTCGCAAAGGTTCATCTTGCACATTTGAGCGCATTTGGAATCCATCACCGCAGCTGCTGTCGCCAACTTCGCAGCAGTCCGACTTGCCGTTGGCCTGGCTGTAGCGAGGACATTCGGCAAGAGAAGAGCGACACGAGGTGTGGACTTGCTGCATGTTGAAACCACGTGCTATTGCCATTGCGTGTTACTCAAGAGCGTATACGTAGTGCAGCGGATCCTTGAAGCCTTCACATCCCCGAGCAGATCCCGAAGACAACTTGACAACCTGCACCCTGCGAATCAATGCCAGACACCCAATCCAAATCAAACGCCTCCATCCCCTGTGTAAGAGCTAGCACGATCATTGTTGCTCCGGCGATTGCGATGAAGGAAGTGTATACGGCGGCACGCGCTCAAGTATTCCAAGCTGAGGCATTGGAGCTTGACCAATGGTCTGGTGGATAAGCGTAGCAGTGGTATCGAGCAAGCTTTGCAGCACCATCGACCACGGCGTAGCCGTCGACCACGCCTGGCCTTTTACTAGCGGCGTGTAGCCGCCGCTTCTGTTCCTTCGGACGACCATGGCATATTGCTGTGAAGAAAGAATCAGGAGATACTCCAGCGTTCTCGGTTTAGGTTGCGTACGAATGGTGGTTCGTCAAACTGCTTGTCTGCTCGAGGCTTTGTTGCATAGACGATCTCGTACGGACTGCTTTCGCCTGGATTCGGAGCTGCTGAAGGGAAGAGGACGGCGGTGTTCGCTGTTATCATCCCAATCAGCTCAATAATTCTCCGAATGAAGACCCCAAAAGCCTCAGAACTTACCCTGTATCCTCCTCCTCAATTCATCATCACTCAACTGCGCTTTCGCCGGTTTCCTCGGCTTCGGTGTAGTCGTAATACCCCAACCTCCGGACTGCATCGTAGATACGCCACTACAAATCAAACAAGCGGACGGAAAGGAAAGTTGCTGTCCTCCAAGAGGTGAAGATAATAAAGACCCGGATGCAGGCTTTTGAGCGCCACATTTCTGCTCGAGCAGCATCCATCTACCCTAGGCTTCTCCGTGCCGAGCGGGTGACGTGCCAGCAGCGGACAAGGTTCGAGGCTAAAGGCATATTGTGCCTAGGCTAGGTACGGCCCATGATGTAGCTACGGTCAACAACGTGGGACATGACGATCTCTTCGACCTTTTCGCACTTCAAGCCGAGTGCACTGTATCTTTTGGGGCAAACAAACTTTGGAATACTGGTCCGAGAGAGGGACTGGAGCTATCTCGGCGATTTATGAGATGCTTTATGAGACGCCAGAGTGTAGGCAAAGAGAGAGCGAGAGAGAGAGAGAGAGAGAGAGAGAGAGAGAGAGAGAGAGAGAGAAAGAGAGAGAGAGAGAGATGGGGAAAACAGACGTCATGGCTCAAAAGTGAATTTATGATCGTCTGTCATTAGGCATTTATCTCCTCGACTCAACAGCATGGTTCGTAGGCGTATGCAGCACATAGTTCGTGCCTATTTGATGCGATACTGCAGAGCCGCGTGGTGCTTGTCTTACGTCTGCGACTCTCTGCGGAACGGTGTCATCGTGCCGTCTTCGTGGACATTTCAGGATGCGACTCTGAACCCTGAAGTCATATCAATCGGCCGTCTTCCGAAAGACGAGAGTTACCACGCTCTGACCAGTTTGTCCACCAAAGGTGAATGTAGGGTAGTTTGCCTCATCAAACAACTCCATTCCGTCATGTGCCAGCCAATTGATGAGCTCGTCTTTTGTCCAATTGCAGGAGGTGATGAAGAGAAAGTGACCCGGTTTGATCAGGTCCACTACTTTCTGCCCGTACGTCTGGCACGGGTGAGATGCAGCGTTGGCGTCTCGCGGCATCAGCGAGATTGCATCGAAAGTGCCTTTGTCCAGAATGACATCAAATTTATCGCCAAGCCAGTCACCGGGGGGATCTGATAGCAAATCCCATTCCTCGAATCGGACGTTGGCGTAATCGCCTGTCTCACCCTCGGTGGCGGCTTGTCGCTGCGAGAGCAGCTGTCTGGCGAGCTCTACGCTCTTGGGGCTGTAATCCACGCCCACCATCTCGCCTCCCCAGCTCGCGCCATCGTCGTCTTCATCTTCACGCATTGCAAACAGCATGTGGCCGTTGCCGGTGCCAAGATCCAGGACTCTGCTCGCATCTCGGCTCAGAAGGCCACGAGCAGACGAGGAATACTCCGCGAGCTTCTTCAGGACGGTGTCTTCTGCATTGCTTTCGTCGAACCATATGACGCCCTCATCGTCGGCATCGTCCTTGTTGTTGTGCAGTTCGCGGTCGTACGCGGCTTCCCAGCTGTCCGTCGTCAGTGTTCCTGTCGTTATGTGCGGATCTTCCTTCAACACGTACTATTCCCTCGTACCCAATTGACTTGGCTCGAGTGGGTTAGGACTCCGATGAGCCGACGAGGTGAGGTTGTTGTCCATGACATGGTTTTCGAACCGCCAGAAAAGCCAGGCTCATCTGCCACCGGTGGGCCCGTGCTGAACTAGACTCAGTGCTTTCTCTCGACTTCACCTCTGCTGTCCTTGCTAATAAGTCGATAAGATATCGTCGTCTATGTATCAACCATCGAGGCAATTAAGAGGGCAGGCTATTGCGTCTCTTTGGTGCGTCAGCATCACATGCGTACACCTCGTCGACGCCGTGACAACTGCATCCGCAAGGTTCTGACGCCCAACCGCGAATCGCAGAGACGGCGCTCGCAGCACGACGTCCTCGTTGAAGACGCCTACGACTGCTCTTAAGCAGTGCTCTCAGCAGGAGAAGCTTCCGTGCATCGATTCGGATTCGAAAGGAAGTTGGAAGCAGCACGGCGGTGAGATGAGCTCCGCGTGAGTGCCTGCAGTGGCAGTCATAAGTTGTGTGGTGGCAGTGGCGGTGGCTCCCCGGCTTGGTCGCCGCCCCACCTGCGTCATCAATACTGAGAACATGAAACCTTGCCCAAACCACTTCGCCGCGGATCCACGAGCCGTTCTCGATACAAGACTACACGCGAAGACCCGCAACTGCTCCTTATGGTGATGCTCCTTTTCGAATAGTACGACACGATGGCCGGAGGTAGCCGCGGGCAGCCGCTGACACCCGAGCAGTCCACGGCGCTGTTTGACATCCTCACCCACTATGAGACGTACAAGGAGATAGAGGATTTTAAGTACCCCGGAGCAATCCACAAATATGGCCCGCCTTTCCAGGATGATCTGAACTCCTCCCAGTCGCCTATCTTGCAGTCGCTGCTTGCCAAGTTCGTCCTCAAACTTCCGGGCCTCCGAGACGTCCCCGAGCACTTCTGGAGAGATCGCGTCCAGAACCTGATCGAGGAGCTTGCCCAAGCCGAGCTGAGCGAAAGCTATGATAAAGGTATCCTGGGCATCCGAAAGACCTTAGCCACTGCAATATCTGCTCTCGTAGAATATCCGGCTCGTGGCGCTCTTGGCGGTTTTCCCAAACACGATGTGGACAAGTCCCGGAAATACGACATCTCGAATCCCGACGATGTATTGCAAGCCTGGCGAGATTGTATCCAAGAGGCCGTCTATGGCGACTTGATTGACAAGCTATTCGCGAAAGCTGCAGAAACGGACAACCTCAAAGAGCATCCTCCTGTCGTCCAAGGAATGCACGAGTTTATGGTTGTAAAGTAGGCGCTCCCTGTCAGATCTTCCTGGCTTCACTTCATCCATGGCAATGCTGACGAGCACAGTATCGCCTCAATCATGCACTACACATTGGTTTTGTCGCCCGAAGGACCGACCCTTCTGCGAATGATCGACAGTGTGCATAAGCTTCTCCCGTACATGGTGATTCGACAGACGCTCAAAGTCGGAAATGTTGCGACCATGCTTTCAGGTCTGATGAGGGTCATACTTGCGAAGGCCAGCGTTGCAAGCGTCACAAATTGGATAGGACTTAGCAGTGGCGCCGACGAAGGCATGAATCTGATGCAGCAGTATGCAAATGCTCGCCCTGGTACCTAAAAGTGGTTACTGATGATACCCAGGATTATCTCGCAGGTGCTTTCGTGGGACAAGCGCGAGCTCAGAAAGCGCGCCGAGAAGATTGAGAAAGACAAGAACGCGCCTCCCAAAGAAGTCAGAGAAGAGCTCAAGAACTGGATTCAGAGAAGTCGCGCTGAGCATGATGAATGTCGTAGACAGAGCCAAGAGCAAGGCATGTCGATTGTTGCGGTGATCTTGTCGCTATCCTCCGCATCAGCAGAACTCTCCGAGTCGCAGCACGAAAAGGCTCTGGAATATCTTTCGCTACATTTGGCGGTGCGAGACCGACAAGAAATAGTGAAGGTGCTTTGTCATAGAAATCCGGACATCTTGACTGCTGCTGTCCGAGATGGCGTCGACGCTTACACTCCCATGATCAGACATATACATCAGGCTGTCAACTTAAGCGACACGCTCTGGGACTTTGAGCGCTTCGTCACAGACACACTGAAGATTGCAAAGCCGACTGGGCCAAAGGGAGAAGAGAAGCCGCCCACCGTTGAGGATTTTGTGGACTTGCTACACCGGCATCAGACGAGCTGCCACAAGTTCTTGCATCAGTTCGCCAAGAACGGTCACGAGGTAACTACTTGGTGGAAAGAGTATGTCCATATGGCTGCTGCACAGTTCCGAAGCAACGAGAAGCCGCCTCCCTCGGAATCTGTTGTATCAGATAAGATGTCTACCGGAGGCATCAAGGAAGCTTTGGACGATGCCTTCGCCAAGTTATCAGAAGAGAACCAGAAGACAGTCCGGAACGAAGTCGATGCACATCGAAAGTACGTTCAAGACCTGCACGCCGCGTCAGCGGCTCGAATCAGCGCAGTCATCAAGCGAGACCAGGCGACACCGTTCGGACCAGGCGCATACATCGCTCGTTGGCAGCAGCTCATGGATGACACTTGCATCACACCAGCCCAAGCTCATGGCAATGTCCGATACGGGGCTAGCAAAAGCGTCAAAGAAGATACGCGGAAGGATATTGAGACGGGTGAGGGCGCGGGATTCGTCACCGAAAAAGACATAGAAGACGCGCAGAAATCAGCTGTCGGCAAGCTGCCGGTGGCTCCGAAGACCGAAGCTACCTTGCGTCTTCTCGCCTCTCAATTCAGGGAGAAACTTGCTTCGGGCTAGTAGCTACTGCTTTCGAGCGCTCCGGCCATCCCTTCGCTTGACATTTGCTGTATACAATTAAGCACTGCGAAAGACCCTTCTGAGTTCACTCCCGATGTTGCTTGTTTTTCGCGATTGTGCCGTATGGAGCTGCAGGGCTGATTTCACGTGCTGTTACGTTTCTCAACGACGATACTGGACCACCAAACAACGTCTGTTGAATCAGGGCCAGCATCTTAGCTCCCAAGATCCGCCAGAAGTGAGAACAAAGTGACCGCGTTGGTCATGAGAGGCTCGAGGTCAAATGCCATGTCCACGAAGTGATTTACGTCGGGGTGCAAGACGCGGAGACTGGCACGAGCATGGAATCGGTCGAAAAGGAAAGAGGGGAGCATCATGCTAGGCCTACGGGCCGAGCACACGTGGTACAAGCTTCGACACTGCGAAGACGTGATTGAACAATGAAGGCGTCAGGCTAAGGGCTGGCCGCAGGGTGTGCATGAAGACAACCAGATCACAGATCTTACTGATGCGTGGAGCAATCGGTGGCCTACAAACGTCAGTCAATCCTCGATGTAGTCGCGGACGTACGTGAGATCATGAAAACTGACGCCTTCTCAGTCGACGCTTGAGACGGTTCTCTGCGATACCAATGGATTCATTCCTCTATCGAGAGCCCCCTAGCCCCCTTGAAGCCCTCTGACCGTGGCAATGCGTGTCGCTAGAATCGAGAGATCGATTGCAGGAAGGCTTGTCAGCGGATGCACGGAGCAACACAAGGCGACACTAGCAGATTTCTCCCACCAGGGATGGGACCCAGTTGATCCGGAGCCAAGTGCACCCATTCAGCGTTCTCTCAACCCACCGGGATCGAACCAACAGAACGCGAGACCTCCCAATATTCGACTCCACAACTCCTCGAGACACTTTCCGGATCCCAACCACGTCGTAAACTCAACCCAGCAGCTGATCTACAGGACTTCGATGCATTCCCCCGAGTCCGCGAATGGTGCGCGTAGGCGACGGCAGGAGGAGGATGGTTTGAGCAAGAAGCTGATCTTCCACTTTGAGTGAGTCGCGTCGTTAACCTGATCCTGTCGGGGCAGATGGTCTTATCGAATCCTTCGCCGGCATAATCGAAGTTTCTACTATCGCTTCGCGAGAGCACAGCGGACAGACTCCATGCCAGCGAGCGCGAAACTGTCCGGGATCCAACATGAAACAGGTACTGTCCTCGTGCGTTTCAACAAACCATCTCGGTCAGGGCAGAGGGCACATTCTCTCGGCCCTTCGAAAGTCAGCTCCGGGATGAAAAGCATGGAAGGGTCGCTTTGGACGACTATACGTGTCCAAGCCTACGCGACGCGGGCAACAAGAGCACCCAGTATCCTACAGCCGAAGAGTGAAGAACGACGGATGCATATACACTCAGATTCTGCCGGATGCTGTGGACAAAGATCTGGAGTCTGTCGGCATGGAGAGGTGAAAGCCTCCAGTTGTTTCACACCCGCCTCAGAAGAATACGAGGGCCTGCTATACGCTGTAGAACTCGACACATAGCGCACTATGGAGGCGGTCTCGGGGTAGCATCAAAGATCTGCGACGGTATGTTCAGCCACGTATGCGACTCCTTCTACGCGTCGCGCCGCCGCGCTGCTTGAGCTGTGGGTCTGGCGAGGACGAGAAGGCGTCATACGAGAGCGCCTTGCAAAGGACTGCCATATTCACACCATCAGGCTGCCTGTACGTGCTTTGACTGGCGTGACTTCGCAGCGCATCAAGCGAGCCACCACTCAGCGCTGGCATCGTCTACCAGTGTTTCCTCTACCAGCATCTTGAAAGGGCGGAGGAGAGGTGGTCGGCGCGGCGAAGATATCGTTCTCAGTGGATCCACGATGCGGTTCATGAGCGGAGCGCCGTACAACATCCTACGATTCAGTGATGTGAAGACACTCATGAGCTTGATGTGGTCGCCACTAACAGCTACTTACAAGGCCGTCATCTCAATAGCCGTGGTTTTCTCACAAGGGAGGGCACCGATGGATAGCCAGAGGAGTGGTTGGCATTATCGCGCTTTTGGACGGAGATTCGGACCAAATCTCTCGGTCTTCAGAGCGATACATGCGAGCACAGGTCGACGACGTCCGTACTTGTGTGGGCAGATGCTGTCGACTGGATCACAAGAATAACAGACGATATGGGCAAACAATGATCGCTTGTCATTGTTTCTGACAAGGAATTGATGGAGGAGGAAGCAGGAGATACGTCCCCTTTTTGTTGAACATCATCATCCTACATCGACGCGCCGTCCACGGCTGGCTAGCAGGTCCATCCTGCCAAAATTCATATCCTTCATCCGCGACTTTGATTCAACCGCTGCCCTTTTTTGGTTTTGCAGTAGCTTTAGTTAGTTACACTTCGGTGGGGCATATCTATAGGCAAGCCCCATTTCCACACCATACCTAGCTCACAACCCTCAAATCTAACCTACACAACAACGAGAGAGCTTTGAATGTCATCACGTACCCGTATCTTTTGGTGGATCCTAAATTAAGTCTTTTGTTGTTCACCATCGATCTCGGAGCTCACACCGACGCCTGAACAAAAAACTCTCAGTGGGCTCGGGAGATCGGACGCTAGTGGAAGACCGCATTTCTCGCTCTTGACTCCGAAGCATGAATTTGTTTATTCCTTACTTAGCCACCTTGTTGTTGGACCAGTACGAGGGAGCCCTTTTCATACTACCTACAGAAGACATAGAGCCGCCGATGTGAATTCTTAGTAGAGTGAGCACACTGACGTCGCCTCATTCAAATGATGGAGGCCGCACATGTACGCCGTTCCAGGTTCTCAACAAGGGCTGAAGAAATGAATTGGATTTTAGTCATCGGTCCCGGAAACTATAAAAATGGGAGGAGAGCCTGCATTTCGCCGTCAACTCCGACATGTCCCCCTCGTCGTGTGAGGAAACCCTCCCCCCATTGTCTCCGCGAGTGATAGATATACTTCTTCGACGAACAAGTAGCTAAAGATCAAATGTCTTCTGCCCTCAAGAATGAATATGCGTCAAAAACGAAGCTAACGCTTTCGTTCACATGCGTGAAACTTGCAATCTTCCCCCCACCCACGCCCCAGACTTTCATCCACGCCTTCAAGTTTGATAGGCTCGAGGTCCTCGGGCGCCAATGGGAGTACGCTCACTTGCATTCCGCTCCGAGCCGCATCGACGATTGGCGTCGAATCTCCGTCCGTTCATTCACTCACGTTCTCGGCGAATTCCGCGCTTGCCCAACGAGGAAGGAGCCCCAAGGGCGACTTCGAAGCGGGCGAAGACCGAACAGCGAGTGGCTTTCGCCTTTATTACTGGTCCCGTGTAGCAGATAAGAAATGATGCCAAGAGCCATCCAGAGTTCACTCCAACCCTGCCTTGCAAGTAGTGAAATTATTCGTATCTCATGCAACGCCACCCATGCATACGTACACAGCCGTAAAAGTTGCCTTCGTCCAAGCTTCCAACATTGACCAGCCGCAGTCCCTCCTGCTTCCCGTCCAAACATGCATGCACGACTAGGGAAGAACGCTCGCTGACTCGCTTCGCTTATAACGCCTCAAAAACTGCCGAACCGATCGTTTGGATCCCCCATCCGCTAAGCTTTCATCCCATCCCGCGTAGCACGTGACCGTGTTTCGTCTCTTCATATTCCAGCTGCTTCGCGACGTCGAGCGGACAGCGCTTTCTAGTCGCCCATGGTCTCACTTCCCTCTCCAAACGCCTCATCGCCTTCGACTTCGTCGAGGACAGTGGCGCCCATCATCCCCGTCACATGCTGTGCGGCACCACCATGCTGGACAAGGACAGTAGTATGACCTCCAGACCAGACCGCACCTCCTGTGGTAGCGGGCGCACTCTGGCTGAGATTAGAGGGCCTTGCGCCTCCGTGACCCTGCGAAGGGTGATATTGTTGATGGTTTGGGTTCGAGGCAATCGGATGAAACGCTACAGGTCCTGGAGGGCCAGACACGATCGGCGTTGAGCCGTGTGGGTAGTTGTGGTGGACGTCCACATTGACTACGGGCGTGTTACTCCCATCTGAGTCGGGATTGTGGTCGTCTATGTCGATATCGATCAGGTCGCTGTCGTCGGCCACGGACGGTGTGACGGATCCGGTGGCCGCCGCATGAGCCTTCTGCTCATTGAGGAACTCTCGGAGTCGCGCGACGCCGGTGCCAGAGAAAACGCAGAAGACATCTCGCTGGTGTTCATTAAATTCCGGCGGCGCCTCTCTGCAGAACGCCAGAAGCTCATCGCGGAGGAATGCTTGAACTCCCGTCAGACTCAGGTGTGTCAACTTCGGGCAATTATTCAGAAGGATGTGAATGCCCTGAGAATTTTGTCAGTTAGAACCTTACTCGAGACAGATTCCAATACTTACGTCCAGAGTCAAGAGAGTACAATAGCTGAGGTGGACTCTCTCGAGGACACTGATCCCATTGACCTTTCGGCCGTTTCGGACTTCGCCGACCGCTAGACTGTAGATACTTCGGTCCGTGATACCAGCACACTTAACCAGTCCGATTCTCTTGAGCTTCGGGAGGCCAGCTAGCTTCACCACGCTATTGTCTGTGAGGTTGCTGCAGCACGCAAGATCGATATAGCGAATGCGATTGCAGGATTTTGCGAGGGCTTCTATCGAGATATCGGAGATGCGAGCACAGTGTCCCAGGTGAATATAATGCAAATTCTTGCCAAGCTTCGTGATGGCAAAGACTGCCCGATCAGTGATTTGTCGGCACTTCGCAAGGATCAGGTTCCGGAGGCGCGGGCAAGACTGAATGATCTTCTCTACTCCCTTGTCGCCGAGCTCGCCACAATCGGTCAAGTCTAGAATGCGCAGAGAATCGAAAGTCACGGGCAGATCAGGGTCGTTGGGGAGCTCCAGAAACGCCGAGTCGTTGATTCGCGAACAATGAGCCAAGCGCATCTCCCGCAGGTGCAGGCAAGAGGTGAGAATGGCAGCGACAGCAGGAGACTCTAGGTTCTGCAAACCGTACAGATCGATTTCCAGGAGATGTGTGCAGTTCGTAGCAACGGTCATTATGGCAACGTCCGTCAGCTGGACGCAATTGTTGAATTTGAGGCGCTTGAGGTGACGACAGCTCCTCGCAATGGCCACGATGGACTCATCTGTGAGCTTCTTGCAGCCCGTCAGGTTTAGCCCTTGTAAGCGCAAACAGTTGTCTGCCACCGTGATCATGGTGCGGTCTGTCAGCTGGTCCAAGCCGGTCACATCCAGAGCAAGCAAGCTCCTGTTCCCATCGACAAGCGGCTGCAAGCTCAGATCGGTCAACTTGGAGCAGTTGGTCAAAGTCAGGCGCTCGATTCGCTTGCAGTCCATCATTCCCAGGAGCGTCCCATCACTGACTGTGCCCGCAAGTGTGGACATGTTCAGCCGCTTGACCAGATCCTGGTACGCAAATGTCTTCTTGCCCTTGCGTATGCTGTGTACCACGCTGTGTATGCTCTCCCACTTGCTCATGGCGGGACGATGCCACAGCAAGCCGACACTGTTTCTCGCCCACTCTTTCGACACGAGCATGCAGCTCTGGAGGTCGCGCGGCGATGTAAGGCGGGAGAAGATGCTAATCAGGAGCTCAGCGGGCAGTCGGTGCACGGGAGAGACTCGACATCGCTCTTCGTATTCCCGCCGCATCGCTTCGGTCTGCGACTGCTCGGGTGACATGTCCATTCCCAGGGAGGATTGCGAGTCATTTGCCTGCATCATGAAAGAGTCGTTGTCATCGTCAATGCCGCGCTCAGGCGAGGTCGAGGCGGAACTGCTGCTGGAGCCGCTGGACATGCGCTGCAAGCGCCGTGAGCGCGCCATGATTGCGTCGATCGTGTGTGTTTTGTGGATACGATGGCGAGATGTGAGAGAAGGGTGTTCGGGTGCGCTTGTCGTCGGTGTGTCGCAAGGCTACGAGCGATCTGGCCGGAAGGCTGGATTCGTGTTACGGTCGAGACGAAACAAAATGCAGTCATGCGCCGTGCCGTGCGGTATGGCAGTGGTGGTCTGTAGGCGTCGGCAAAAAGGAGTGCGGGGGTCGATAAAAAGTCGTGTCAAGGTCGTGGTCGTGTCGTTTGTGAGGGAAGTCGAGAAGGGGGAAGGCGTGGGCGCACCCATCCACGGAGTTGGAGGCTGCGGGAGGAGCGTGACAGCCAGCGGCGCGGGATTCACCCTGGAGGAAGGCGCGCGGGGCGGACTGCAGGTGGAATGGCGGAGAATGAGGTCGAGGACTTCGGCGGCGGCGGCGGCGGCGGCGGTGGTGGTTTTGGTGGATGCGACAGGTGAGCCGGAGGGCGTAGGTCCATCGGGTGGTTGGAGAGAGAAGGTGTTGTACTGGGAAGGGAACCTGAGTGGTGTGGTGATGGTGTTGGTGGCAGGTGAATAGTCTTCCCGCTCCCGCAAACAAGCTGGAATCCAACAACCTTGATAACTCCGGTCGGCTTCTGACTTCGAACCCCGAAACTCTCACCTACAGTATATACCTATGAATGCCTTCGATGCACGTCTTCGATGCACGTCGCAATAGTCAACGCACCTCGAGACCGGGAGGCAACATCCCGCACTGCAAGGCCGGCGCACGGCAAGTGACGACCCACCTTACCACCACGCTCGACTCACAGCTCCTGCTACGACGAAGACCTTGCGGCGCTAGCGGCTCGTTCTAATCTCACCAGGATGCACTTCGTGCTTACAGGTACAGTACTACTACACATCTCTACGGCCGCAAGAGTCTCATTCTTTGGCCTGTTCTGCCCCGTCGCCCCCGCATTCATACTCCCACGCATCCGTAAAAGTCGGCAATTCCCTGTCTGAAGCCATCCTCATACTCCCACACAAACGGTCCGCCTTGGCCGCTCTCGCGCAGACGCTTCAGTGTCCACACATCCAGCATGCCAATCTTGTCTGCACCCCTCTGGCCATGCTGGCTGCGCATGCCAAAGAATGCCGCCGCATCCTCGAACCCTACATCCCATCCTCGAGCGAATCGCTCGTGCTCGTAGTGTCCAGGATGGTTCGTATCCCAGTACTGGCAGTGCGCACCCCAAGTATTGCCTCTTCGAAAGTCGCGCTGAGAGCTGGCACTGTTGATGCGGCCTTGGACGTCTCCTGGCTCGAGAGCTAATGATGCCGGCGCCACGATTGCGTTTTGCTCGGTCATTTGTTTGAAGCCCCACTCTCCACCAGGCATCCAGTCCATTCTAGACGTCCAGAAGAAACTTCCACCTGCCCGCTGTTGATAGCGCTGAGATTGCGCGCTGCCAAATTTGCGGCACAGCGCTTCCCTCGGTTCGCCTCCTCCCTTGGCCCAACACTCCTCGCCGAGGACACAGCTGTACTCGCCCACGACTGCTTGAGATGCACCTTGATCCACGACTCGGCCATCTTTGAGCTCGTTCTCGTGTAGTTTGGTCCACACTTCGCCTGTGATCTGCTGCGGCGACTTTCTGGCGTCGTCGGGAGTGAAGCACCAATATAGATGAGTATCGATGACTACTGGGCTTGTATTCGGTCTGGCCATTGAGTTGAGTTGCTGGGTCCATGTCGCGGCTTGGGTGAGGTCCCAGCCGTCTGAGATGTAGATAGGCATCGAGGCATCGATCTTGGACGTTTCACTGAGTACAGTCGTGTACCACTCGTACATGCCTTTCGCATTCGTGTCGGCTTCATTGACGAGCTGTACGCCGGCGACGCCTGGTGACAGGGTTACTATGATTCGGGCCACTTGCATCTTGGTTACACCACTCACCTTCCATGTTGCGAGCTTGTTGCACGATGAAGCAAATGCAGCGCGTAGCCAGCTCTCTGAACTTCCCAGAGCCCCAGAACCCTGCCTTCCCGCTGTTGGTACCGGAGTGCTCCCCGCCGTTTGCTCCGCCTGGAAGGCCGTGAAGGTCGATGAGGGTCCCGATGCCTCGGGCATGGCATCGCTTCACAAGGTCTCTGACGGCTTGCCATGCATTCTGGTATACGGGTGCCACGTGCTCAAACGGTGTGCCCTTGCAATAAGGGGCTCCCAGTGTGAAGTATCCGATGGGGAGACGTACGGTAGTGCACTTCGCCACGTCTTTCAGCCAGTCGAGGTCTGCATCGCTGACATACTCCTTCCAATGCTTTTCGAATCTGTTCCGGGCGGCTTCCGTACCTTCGAGCTGCACCCAGCTCTCAACAGACGCAAGTTCGCTCGTGCCTTGTGACTTGTCATTGAACATGCACCCGGTCAGCCAACGCTCCAATATGAAGATCGATCCCAGGTTCACTCCGTGGTGATAACGGTATTTGAAGACGTCGGAAGACGTCGGAGGCTGGATCGTGCATTGGCCGTCTTGCATAGGAACCTGGACCTTTGACTGGGGCTGCCCTGTAGGTTTGCTGCTACCAATGTCGTCGAAGGCAGACTTCGCCTTGTCCATGAATTTTCTCATGTTGCTTTGGACGCGTGGATGTTGTATTACAGCTTGTGAGAGAAGGACTAGGAGTACACAGGCGAATAGAATTATGAGGTAGATGCTCCAGGACAAAGACATGACCTTTTGAGAGACTTACATGTGCGACTGCATTATGAGGTATGACGTTAGATCAACAAACCTCGTCATGGGGCCGAGCCTGCCTTCTGGTACGGGTGAGACATTTATTTCGCATCGCAATCGTACTTGCTAGATACACGTACTATCAGTAGTGAGAGATGGGCCATTAGAAGGTCTGAAGTAGGAAGTGAAGTCGAGAGAAGGTAGCAGCAGCGGACGGGAAAGAAAAGCGGGGGGTGTTCAAGTCCACCTCACGTGACTGTCTGTGGATTCGAAGCATCTCCGCTGTGCTTAGGTTCAATTGGCTTTCAATGTATACAAGGGGTATAGAGACGCTCCAGGGTATATCCACCCGTTATAAAACTCCAGATATCCCTACTCGTATATTATTGGTCGTGCGACCCTGTGGTTCTGTTGCTCCCTCTACTCCCATGAGACGTAACCAAAAGCCAGCCCGGATGCCAGAGCAGCAGTAGACCACACTCCGGAGTATAACAGGGCACCGATCAGCTCAGTGCCCTCGATGGTGACATAAGAGCGCACAAAGGTGTTGACGAAGCAGCAGGCTGCAAGCGTTAAAGTCCGCTTCGCCAGTATCTCCGTCCTGCGCGAGAAGCCCTCCTGGCGTCCAAGGTTTCGTGCGATGGTCTCGCTCAAAGTAGCCGTCTTTGGATCGAATCGTCGCTGTGGAACAGGGGAAACGATATCAAGGCCCGGATTCCCAGGAGAACCGATCGCAGGAACGAAGATGAACTGCGTGGCCGCAAATCCTAGGGGCGCGAACAGCGCAAGAAGAGCCCAAACTTCTGTATCGTGAGCCCTCTGGAGGTCTCGAATGCCATCGAAGTATGTGACCATCCACAGGGTCAATCTTGTCTGGAAGCCCAAATACATGACCAAAGCGTATACCGAGGCTCCAAACGTCGCGGTGAGGAGTCGAACGGGAAGATCCTGCGCGATCAGTTGGTTTGGGGTTTTGACAGTCGAGTCCGCGTGACCTGCATTGACACCGCGAAGCAGAGCGAATGGAATGGCGACCGAGGTGACGTCGATAGCCAATGGAATCAGCACAGCAACGAGATCGATGCCGAAAAAGGTGTTCAAGAGGAAGTAATGCGGCACCTGGTTGAGCAGGGTCAGGTAGGCGAGGTCGACGTCTGCACGAGGAGAGTCAGTGAGTGTGGGCAAACATCATCGTGAGGAAACACTGGCAGCTCCACATACAGTCGTAGCAGGCATACCAAGCAATGTAAAGCTCTGCGAGCTTCCATGCCAGCATGGCGCCAATGTGCCATTCTGAGGTGAGATTGCGGCTGACGGCAGCGAGCTCATGACCAGTGAGGCCAGACGCCAGCGAGTAGAGCAGAGAGCTCAAGCTGAGAGCGACCAGAACGGCGATGGGGAAGCGAAGGCTCGAAGGCAGCCTTTGCGCGAGATTGTTCGCCATGGTGGAAATCGAGACGCGGTTCGTATCGGATGTATCGTTCTCCGCGACCTGGGTGCTGAATTGCTCGTCGGGTCGGAGTGCGAGGAAGGGGACGTGAGATGCCATGAATAAGGTACGCAGAGGACGCGCGCGTGTTGTTGCGCGAAAGGTTCCCGTTGCCAAGGTTATTTTGTTTACCCCGGGCATGACGGATACACCCGAACTAATGGTCCGTGCGTCGGCCTCTCCTTCAGCCGCCTCATACGGCCAACGCCGGTTGATACCGTATTTAATATTCCAGCTTGTACCACAGCGAACTACCCCGGGTGGAGATAGTTTCTTCAAACGACTTCAAATCTGCCCTTTTGAAGGTTCTATAGTACAGAAAGAATGTTCGTAAAAATGATAGTCACGCGAAGTAAGAGTAAGAAGGTAGTTTCAGAATGGTAGGACTCAGTTGCTGAGCAATGACCTCAAGTAGGCATGATGGCATTGTTGCTCCTCCCGAATCTCAAGCTGATCTACAAAAGTCGCAGCCGCCTCACAATCTCTTCGTACATGTAAGATGCAGTAGTGAAGGCCCGGCACGCTCTTGCCGCGTGGAAGGTACGGCAGGGCACTGCATCCTTCGAGGCAGTCCGGCTAGAGTCGGCTAGCTTCGCCATTGATGACTAGATATGGCATGCATGAGCTGATTCTCATTGCGTAGCGTCAAACTGCCTCTCCTATGACCGACACATTCCACATAAGTGCCAATTGTTGCGTGTGAGCGTTTCCCTCCTGGGCTCTCCTCGCCGTTCATACCGTGCTCGACGCCGCATGGCCCTATAAGCCCTGGCTGTAGGGTGGCATTGATTCTTTGTTATTCAGCTTTGAGTGCCTTGGGCTGTTCCATCAGGCTGAAGTTCATCCGTTTGTGTTTGCTGTGCACCTGTTCAACTCATTGCAAGCTCCCTATAATCCTCATCCTCGGGTCCCATGCCCTTCTCAAGACCTTCGGCCGCACAAAGTTGCGAATTGTCGCCCGGTATCCGGACATCTGCAAGCTCATCAGTCCGGGTCAGGAACTGCATCATGAGCCCGGCTTCCGTATGCCAGGAGACGTGACAGTGGAATGCCCAAGCACCCGGGTTATCAGCGACTACACGCAGCAGAATCCAGCCGTAAGCCTCAACAGAAGCAGTGTCTCTGCGAAGGGGATTCGAAAGATCCAAGCTATCGTAAAGCGGGGACAAATTTGCTCTGTTGATGTCTGCGCCGACTTCTGTGAGAGGCGGATAGCCGTGGCCCTGAGCGAGGACGAAGTATTTGTAACCGTGGAGATGCAATGGATGGTTTCCATCATCGAAATTCGAGACAAGAATATCGATTGTCTGAATTCCGGTAGTTTGGATGACTAGTTCACGGAATGTGTCGAAGGCTTTGTCGTTCACGAACGCGGCTACGCCATTGCTACTCGTACTGAATGTGCCATTTCGCTCAACGAGCCCATCGATGGTGCGTTGCAAGCTCGGAGACTTGACATCTGGTCGAAAAGTGGTGCTGTTGAAGAAGCCGCGACTCAGTCGGTATTTCCCAATCTCGAAGTTGGAGCGAAGGTAGAAGAAAGCGTCCGCATCCGCTGGAGCGGCGACTATTTCCACGGGCACGAGATCGGTAGTATTCATGTCCTTGCATTCGTCAGGTAGCCGCTCGTCCCAGTCTTTTGACGTTGGCACTTCGTTTGCGTCCTTGTGATATCGAATGACAGCTAAAGCATCTGTGTCTAGCTCCTCAGGAGGATCGGTGAAACAGGTCGTGACCATGCGAGCCCGGAACCAGAATGAATCTGCACCTGTCGCATTCGTGTTGACGACAACGCTATAACGTTGAGCGGGATTGATGTTGACCCTATGATACGTCTGTGGCTCGACATCGGTACCATCCACTTCGGTGACAGCCAGTTGATGCTCATCCAGCTGGACTTGAAACTCGGCGAAGGCACCAACGTTGATAAGTCGCAGACGATGATTCTTCTGAGGTGAAAGGTCGATGCGTGGAAGGCCCACGTTAGCGGTGGAATTGTCGCACCTGCGATCGGGAAAGTCATCGCAGTTTCTGATCGACCTTCCATTGATGAGACCGCTGTAAGGCACTGGCTCAGTATTCTCCATATCGGGCTTCAGGTATTGCCACAGCAGGGCAGAAGACAAATCATGGTAGTGATCCGACAAGAGAATGACACGGTCGGTGTCGTACGGGATATGTTGCAACCTTTGCTCGTCTCGACTGTAGATGATCAATGGCCCATGCAGACCATCGGAGGACTGGACGCCCTGATGAGCGTGCCACCAGTATGAACCGCTCTGGCCTGAGACCGTGAACTCGTAGTGGAAAGTGCCGCCTGGTGGGATGGGACATTGGGTGACGCCCACAGTACCGTCCATGTACGGCGTGCTGTTTTGGTAAAGCCCATGCCAGTGGATCGAGGTAGCGTTCACAGCTTGGTTGTCAACATGTACCACGATGGTATCGCCCTCGTTTGCTTCAATGAGCGGACCTGGAAATTGATTGTTGACAAGAATCATCGGCCGGTAAATGCCATCAGGGTTATGCTCCCGGTCTCGAATGGTCCAGGAGTACTCTCTTCGTTGTGGGGGTGCTTGAATGTCCCAATTCGAGTCGAGAATGTAGTCGTTCGTCTTGACTTCTCCATCATCCTGGCCGCTGGCTGGCTGTTCCAAACCCTTACCGAAGCCTGAAGCTGTGACGACTACCATGACCAGTACGACGGTTATCAACAAGCTCATGAAGATCCAAATGCTTTTGCTTGGAGAGCGCTTCTCTGACCATCTCTTCTCGTTGGACACGACCTCGACATCATCGTCTCTCCAATCACTCAACAACCCTCGCTCTTGCTCCATTTCTCTGCTGCTGCTATTGCTGCTGCTGCTGCTGCTGCTGCTCGGCGTCATGGCGGTGTCCTTGTCGTCTCGAGGAGAGTATGGCACGCTCTCTTCGCCCTGGATGCCCATCTTGGGTTTACTGGGGCTTTTCGATCGAGGGTATTTGCTGCGGCTCACTTGCCGTCCAGCGCCCGCGCAGCTGCCATTCAGCCAACGCACGTGGGATTGTTCTGTATGCCGCTGCGTGGCAAGACGATGTCACTGCTGCTTCGAGAGCCCACGGACGTCGACATGGCCATGGTGGAGGAAGAAGCGGCGGCGAGGTTGACCTGCAGCTCCGGCTCTCTTTCGAGCAGGGTCCGACGCGCTTGACTCTTCTTTCGAACAGGCCTTC